AAGGGGCCATCAAAATGATGTCTTATAATGTTGCTGGCTTACAGGCCTGTATCAAAAAGGGATTTAATCGCTACATAGATGCTGAAGATGCTGATATTGTTTGTATTCAAGAACATAAACTCAATGCACCTTCATCTACTGCTGTGAATGATAAAGTGTATAAGTATCGGTACTGGGCTATTGATGAAAAAAAGGGTTATGGTAAACATAGGCTCAATTTATGCAATACATGCTAATGTGAGCTGATTATAGCTGGCGTTGCTTTCTTTAGCAAATACAAGCCTGAGGAAGTTAGTTATGGCATTCCAGGCTATGAAAGCACGACTCGCGGTAGAGTGATTTCCTTGACTTTTCCCCAGTTTACGTTGATTGGTTGTTATGTTCCTAATGCGGGTGATAAGCTTGTCAGATTGCCTGAGAGACAAGTATTTAATGAACATATGGAAAAATACATTCGATCCCTTCAAAAAGCAGGCAAATCTGTCATTTGGACAGGGTAAGTTTACAATCGCATAAGTATGTTCAAACAACCTATCCTGTTTTGTTAGTGATTTAAATGTGGCACATACAGAAAACGACCTTGCTCGCCCTGAAACAAATCAAAGATCTGCTGGCTTCACTATTGAAGAAAGAACAGACTTTAGCAAGGTGCTGAGTCCTTCTAATCAGGATCCTTCTTTGCCTGGATTGATTGATACTTGGCGCCACTTCAATCCTACACAAAAAGGCCATTATACATTCTATGGTTATCGCTTTAGATGCAGAGAGAAATTGATGGGATGGCGTCTGGATTACTTTACTGTTACACCAGACTTAATGGACCATGTTGTATCCAGCGAAATTAGACATGAAGGCTGGGGAGCAAGTGACCATGTACCTCTTGTCTTGACTTTAAAAGATGTCAAATTACAATAAGTCTTTATTTAAATAAATTGATATTAAGCTGCATTGGGTTTTTGTTCAATTTGGTCGGGTTTGAATGACTGATAATTGCCATTGGCAGGAACAATAGGGGTGTTTATCAATGTAGGTGTAGTAACAGTAGAAGGATAATAGTTCTGTGCCGTATAGTCTGGCTGCGTATAGTATTCTTGGTGATCTTGTGGATAACTTGCTGTATTTATGGTTTGGTGATACCCATATTCCTCATCATTCAAATTCATGTAACCTGATGTAGGAGGTACAAAACGACGGGCATGCTGTTCAAAAGGAGATGCTGGGCTGCCCAAAGAATGTGGATCGACAGTGTTCTCGGTCATTTTGAAACCTTCTTCCCCTACAAAATCAGTGGGTCTATCTCTACGACGAGTACGACTCGTGCATCCACCACGACGATTCATCCAAGTCAAAAGACCGCCAATGGCAGCAACACCCACTTATCATGCATGAGTACATCTAGCATTGAACAGTTTGACTTACCTAGACAGCCGACCACTGAACCAGCAATAACCGCAGTCTTATTGTTTGAACCATCATCCTCTTGCTTATCTGCTTGACTAGTAGGTGTCATTGATGAAGCGCTTATGGAAGAAACATTATCAGTAGCAGAAGGGCGGTTTCTTTCTGTTGTTCTGGAAATGGTTGTGCCTCCAGCAATCGTTGTCAATGGGGTTTTATCATTATCTGTTGCTGTACTATCCGTTGTTTGTGCAGCATCTGTTGTTGCCTTTGTTGTAGTGACTGGATCCATTGTGGTGGTGGTGATAGCTACTGGTTTCTCGCTTGTTGTCTGTTGCTCGGCCTGTGTTGTTGTTGTTGTTATTTGAGGTGCTTGAGTAGTAGTAGCAGTAACAGTAGTGGTGATTTGTGCCTGAGTTGTTGTTACTTGTGCTTCTGTTGTAGTTGGGTTGGATGGTTGGGCATCATTTGAGGACACCTGCTGAGAATAAACAATGGTTGAGCATTGTAATAATAAAATTACTAATAGAATAGATTTTCTTAAACAAGGTTTCATTATTGTTAATATAAAAAAGAAAGAAATAGAGAAACGAAGGAAAATCCTGGTTTATTTATAATTTAAACAATCGATTGAAAGGCCGTACGGAAGATCGTCCTTTTGTACTCTGTTTTTTTTTTATTCTCTGTAGATGGCATTGGTTATTTTTTATTTATTTTTGCTCTGATATATAAAAGATAATTTTACACAGGAGCAAGAAAAACAAATGGATTGACCTGTATCCTTCATTGTCTTGCTTCAGTGTAAGATTCTGTAGTCGAATTCATCTTGATTCATCGGAATTAGGCCATATTTCTTTTAGATCTCTTTATTCTGCATCTCAGAATGAATTCTGCCGCTTATATCAAACGGATCAGTATAGTCAAACGAAGAACCATAGCTATTGAATCAGTTATGCCTGTATTGTTTTTTAACAAGCTATTCTTATGAGACAAATATAGTCAAATCTAAACCAACTTGAATTCAACATTTGCTACTAAATACACAGTCCGATGAAGCATTGGTTGAAGCATTCTATCCCACTGATTTTTCTAAAAATATATAGATGCAATGGAATTATTGTGTAATTATAAACTGAAATTCTGCTTATCATACATGAAAAGCAAGCCTTGATTTAGCACAAGTAACGCATCTTGTTTTAATCAAATCGTTTCTATGCTTCATCAAGAAGGTGTATCCATATTTTATTTTTATGAAAAGAGTCCAGAACCCCTAAGTTAGCCTAGACAGTCTAAATCGAATTGTGCAACAAAAAGGACAATGTCCCTGGATTTCAATATCAGTCGTCAGTTACTTGAATTCGATGACGCACCTTTAGGTTTCTCTTGGCATGAAAAGTGCCTTTTTTTTTCTTGAATTTAATACTCCTCTTTTTTTTTGTTACTATGACACTATGTTCTGCGATCGTATTGTTTTTCTGTCTAGTTAATTTGATTCAATATTCTATTCAACAAGACTGTATACACCCTTCTAATTTTTCAGATTTTACAGTTGTGTTAATAAACACCACCGTCATTGTTACAGGAGGAAACGCAGTAAATATACATACAATTCATCAAACCAAAAGCTAATTATTGTATAGCAAAGCCTACAAGTATGGTCTCGAGATTTAATCAATGCACCAGAGAATTGCTGGATATTTCATGAATCAAATCAAACCGATCTTTACTTACCTTATAGAAATGGAATTGGATTCAAAGTATCAGATACAGCCATTGCTGCACAAGCAGGGGATTCAAACACATCCCTTTTATCGAATCTCTCATTTTTTGATTTAGTCACAAAAACATGGTCTACTCGTATGTCTCACACATACGCACAAGATAACATGTCTTATTGATTTGCTTACTGTAGCAACCATATTTCAGGGCACACCACCTTCTGCTCGAGCACGCATGTCTGTCTCGCTTAATACAACCACCCACATCGCTTATTTCTATGGAGGTAGAACAGAACTGATGCAACCATCTTCCAGCAATTATGTAAGCATCGATGGTATACTTGCTTTTAGAACTGACCTTGACTAGTACAATGCATTTTATTCATTTGACATCAATACCTTGACATGGCATTGGCCAGATACATTATATTCTGGAGGAAATAGAGCAGCAAGATACGGACATAGCAGTAATTTAATATCAGAGCGTTTGTTTATCATTGGTGGCAAAACAGCAGTATATGCTTCTGATCTGGATCATTGGGTTACTTCACCCGTTGATTTGCAGAGTGTGTTGAGTAAGTTAAGATAGTTTGACCATCGATTCACTTGTGTAGTTTATGATACAGTTCAACATCAGGCAGTCACCATGGCCGCCCTAGGCAATATACCTTCTTCTCGATATAGTTTCTCGGCTGTCAATGGTACCTTATTCGCATCAATACAGTCAAATTCACATATGTGTTAATGTTAGGGCCTGATGGAAAATCGATTGTTTTATTTGGTGGTCAAAATGCGTCTAATAACCACTTGTTTGATGCTTACAATGATGTGTATGTGTTGGACACATGTACACTGAACTGGTCTCAACCCATCATCAAGGGAACACCACCTGTGGCTCGTGCTGGACATGAAGCCATTCTTTTCCAAGACCAATACATGGTGATCATGATGGGTAACATATCACCTGATAAAGCCAACAAAACTGATAGAACCATAGGCATTCAAAACTATTCTAGTGGCTCAGGGCCTGTTTATATTGACGATACAGCTGTTTTAGACATGAACAGTTGGACGTGGATCAGCCATATTCCTTCACACCTATCTCAGCCTACCACTCCACCTACCTGTCGATTCTCATTTCCAGTGGTCATACCTGACGATACGAGGGATGGAAATACCACTGCTTTTGATCCAACTGTCGTCTCTAACACAGACACATCACCTACAACAAAACAATTGGCGTTAGGAATCACGTTTGGTGTCTTGGGTTTCTTACTTTTAGCAACAGCCGCTGTTATTTTTATACTGAGAATACGAAAAGATGTGGATGCAACACAGAATCCTCGTTGGTTAAGAAGAAAAAAGAAAGAACCCTTATCCTAATATACCAATCTTGTTGTCAATGTGAACTGGCAACATTCTAGTTCTATATAAACACTTGTTATTGTTTTCTCTTTTTAACATTATCATGAATGACAAACGTAGTGATCCTGTCTTTTATGATAATTCAAGTGGGTATTATCTGCCTCCACCTGATGTGATTCAAGTGCCTTGGGATAATGATGATTTTACATTGTGTCTTGATAATTTTTCATCTAAGCGAATCATTGGTAGTAAATATGTCAAATATCCAACCACAGCCTCTCCTTTGCGTCGGCAATGGCGTTCTTCCCATACTTCCTCAGATGTTCCTCACGAAAACGACAAGGAAGAAAACAAGAGTAAGAAATCCATCACTTTACCTGGTGTCGACGAAGAAAAAAAAGATGAAGCTTGGATCTTATCAAGAAAACCAGTGATCACAAAGAAAAAGCGTCTGGTCAAACCAACAGACGATACATTTCCCTACAACAACAGTAGCCATCTTGCCCATCATCGCGTTGACAACAAACTAAAAAAAAAGCCCATCAAGGTTGCTATCCCTCGACAACCAAGTCAGCGTGCTGAACATGTATCTCCACTTTTGGATTCATCCATTATACTCAAAGACGAAAATGATATCTTTCATACTTCGCCACAGCTCTCGCCTCGTATCTCTTTTGCAAGGAGGAACTCAAATGCGTCTTCGTGTCTGCCTAGTATTGCTTCTGTCTCGAGCTTTAATCTGTCTCAAAGTCAAAGTGAATCATGGAAAGTAACTCAACAAAGACCATGGAGAAGCAATTCACCTATTATTGTCTCTACCACACCTACTATCTACAGTAGACCCAATACACCTATCAAGACCATGAAACTCAACCACAAGACAAGTGCGCTTTCTGCAGAACCACCCAGGTCCAATACAAGTGCTTCGACGGAACACAAAGTCATGCCTAAAAAAACAGAGGCCTTTTATGCAAACAGAACCTCTTCTGTTTATTCCAGTCGAGACTCTTTGTCAAGCAAACCAAGGACTTATTCAGGTTATTTTAATCCTACGTTTTCTCTCTTGAACAAGAAAGCAAAGAGAAGAAATAGTCAAAAAAAAAAGTCTTTAGGTCTTTTCTCAAAACTTGTCAAGAATTTAAAGCATCATTTTGTCAAGACACAATAATAAAAAAAAACTTTTTTTTTCTCTCTCATGTCTTTTCGACCTAATAAAAAGCAACCCAAACCTACTAAACAAGCTAAACGATATAGAGCAGGTCAAGTACCTGAAAACTATGTTGATGATCTATCTGATTCTTCAGAAGAAGAACAAGAAGAACAACAACCAGAACAAGAGATAAGAAAGCGTGTGGGTGAACTTCAGTTTGCTAAAAAAGAAATCAATACAGGGATTCAACAAACTGCCATTTCTGATAAAGATGTCAGCAGTGATCGACGACTTAGAAGACTACAACAAGCTCAACAAGCTCAACAACCCACAGAAAGAAGAAGAAGACATGATTCTGAGGAAGAGGAAGAAAGCGATAGTGAAGAAGAAGAAGCAAAAGCAAGAGAGCGTATACGTTTAAAACAAAAAGCATTAGAACAACAACAGCAAGATGAAGAGGCGATGAAGCCTCAACAAGACATTCAGGATGAGGAGGAGGAGGAGGGAAACGAACAACAAGAGGAAGAAGAAGAAAGCTCAAGTGAATACGAATCATCCAGTGAAGAAGACGACGATGCCATCACACGTTTACCTAAACCTGTGTTTATACCAAAAGCTCGCCGAGAAACTATTCTACAACAAGAGAAACTTGCTAAGGAAGCAGAAGAACACGAAAAGCGATTAGAACAAGAGTTAGAAGAAAGAAAGAAACAATCGCATGATATGTTGGCTGAAGAATTAAAGCGTGAAAGAGAACAAGATGCAGAAAAGGATCTGACACATTACGAAGATGCAGTGGACGATACAGATGGGTTAGATGAAGAAGCTGAATTTAATGCTTGGCGAGTTAGAGAACTGACACGTATTAAGCGTGATAGAGAAGAACGTATTGCGTAAGTTGACCATCCCTCTGTAAAGCAATTGACTCATTTTAATCTTAGTCGTGAAAAAGAAGAAGAAGAGTTGGAACGTAGAAGAGCTTTGCCTGAAGATGTGCGATTAAAAGAAGACTTGGAACGGGCAGAAGCAAGCAAAGACAAGGAGCGTGGCCAATTTACATTTTTGCAGAAATACTATCACAAAGGTGCCTTTTATATGGATACGGATGATGAAATCTTTAAGCGTGATTACTCTGCTCCTACAGTAGATGAAGTACGTAACAAAGAAGTCTTACCTGAAGTCATGCAAGTAAAGAATTTCGGTCTTGCTGGTCGTACCAAATACACACATTTAGTCGATCAAGATACTTCCACCAAGGATTCCCCCTGGGAGAATCCCCTGGCTAAACGTAGAAGAACAAACAATGATAATTGATAATAAAAAACTATATATTTCTATGATGATTTACTGTAAAGATAGGTTGCATAAATCACAAGCAATGCACCCATGCCAAACACAAGATCGACTTGAGCCTGGAATAGCCAGACACTGACAATACTAGACAAAATGATACTAATACTTGTAGCAAATCCTTTCAGGATATTGTCTGCATAACGAACAACAAGGCCAACAATTAACCCACCACCTGCTTGAATCAAAATGACAATCCATGTCAGCGTAGAATAATGCTGAAAGAAGCCCTGCTGTATGATTTGATGACCATCTTGCAATCCAACCATAAAGACACCACCCAATAGGACAGAAAACAAAGATAGTTGAATATTACGAATCCATAGTTGCATTCGATCGTCAAATGGAATAGTCAATACACGCTCTGGTTTTGTGTAATGTCCTTCCAAGTCTTGTTCTTTTTGTTTGACAATCTTTTCAAAATAGACACCTGCAAGACCTGATAGGATACAGGCTACCAGAACAGACACAATTCCCTTCAGATTGGATTGATTACCAATACTCTCTGTTTCCACTGTCTCATAACCAAGCCATGTATTCAATGCATTCTTGGGTATCACGACAAATATAATACCTACAGTTAAAATAGCCAATGCTGTCCATTTTGTGCTGGATAGTTTACGATGCAATATGACGACACTAAAGAAAGCTGTTGTCAATATCTTAAGTTGATAAGTCACTTGGAATGTAGCTGCATCTAGGTTTGTGGCTGCTATATATTGAAGGTTGTTCTATATAGACACTTGTTGTAGTCAATGGGCGTCAATCCGTAAAACTTACTTGAACAAGATAAAGAATAGCTGGTATAGCGAGTTTAATGGACTCTCGCCAGTGAATAATAAGCTCTTGATATAAAAATAGAGCTAAGTTCGATAAAGAGCGAATACGAAAAGGTAATAAACTATAGACAACACCAAAACAGACACTCGTCTTTATCACTTCACTCATCAAGACAGCAGTCGAAGCCAAATAAAGCTCATCTTCAGGTACACTCGCTCGAGTATATCGCATCGTCAAGATGAGTGCACTGTTCTGTATGACGAGTGTCAATAGAGAAATGTGCTTGAGATTCTTTTTGTCTATTCTCCTCTTTTGTTAACTTCTTTTGTCTAATTGTGTTGTTATTCTTTACCCATGAAATAAATAAATAAAAAACGAAAAAAAAACACGAAAATGATGACAGAATAAATTTTCATTGGCTTACTCAAACGCATCTCTTCTCTCATGTCCTTCTGGTTTATGCTGTGTAACTGTGCAAAGAGATCAATTTATTTCAATGAAATTTATTTTTGAGCCTTGAGGACCTTCTTGACGATCTTTTGTTCTTCGATCAAAAAAGCACGGACAATACGATTTCTGACACAGTGGGCACAACGGGAGCCACCGTAGGCACGGCTGACGTGCTTGTTGGTCTTAGAGACAGTGGCGAATTCACGGGCACGAAGAGCCTTGATCTACATAAAATGTAAGATTAATACTGTACAATTCCCTCTCTTCTATCTCTTGACTTACACCAGCGAGAGTTTCACCACAGTCACCACAACGAGGAGCCTTGACAGGCTTCTTTTCGTATTGGTAGACAAGGTTACCACCTAAATTGAATTAATACAATCCACATAACTCGACTCTATATTTACCGGGAGTCTTGACAGCTCTAACACGGTTAGAACGAGTGTTGTAAGAGAGACGACGTCTGTAGGTAAGTCTTTGAGCCATTGCTGATGATTAAATTATCTAAATGACAAATGTCAAAAAGTGAAAATAGACATAAATTGGAGAGAGAAAATCAAAAGAAAAGAGGTCTTGTTAGTAACGTTGTTGGATTGATGGATGGATGTATTTAGTTTACCTCCCAAAGGCAGCAATAGAATGAAAGGGGGATTCATCTTATGAGCTCTTGGCCCTATACAAACTTTGACGCTGTGGAGGATGTTGGGGGTGCTGGATCCCCACTAGAATTGAATCTCCACTTTCCGACCCGAAAGTTGGTAGAACGGCATAATATAGGTAACTTTGGCCAATGATATTCATCCAAGCTAGTTTACTCTTTATTCACAAGCACAACGAGGTGCTTATTCAGGGAGTCGTTTTGATAAGAACACAATCTCATTTACTATACTGCCATAATGAATAGACGGGCAAAAATAGAGTGGCATAGTAGAGCAAAGATCATGTGCTTCTACAAGGATAGAAATCCATGTTCTCCTGTACAAGCCATTTGTTATCGACTCGACTTTAGCCGAAGTATCTCCCTTTGGTCAGTTTGAGTTTAGTCAGGGAACCAATAAACTGGTCATCTCATAGAGATAGACGAGTGTTTCTTATTTTGTTTTGGTATCCGAAAGCGAGAAAAAAATGCATCTATAACACAAACACGATTTTAAATAGACAAAATCATCAGGAATGGTAAGGAGATCAATCAAGTAAATCTGTAGAGCTTCAAGTGCCGCATTGAACGATACAAATAACATGATATATTCACTATTAAATACTAAGAAAAAGGCAAAAAGCATATCATCGTTTTCAAGTGATAGCGCACACTTTTTATGTGACTTTTGCAAAACAAATATTTTGAGTGTACTCTATACCACTTTGAGAGCATCTTTTTTTTTTTTGCAATGCATGATCATAGTAAGTGACAAGGTTGTGATTTTGACTAGAAGGGCCGTATTGCCCCTCAAGGACTTTCTGGGAAATTCATCTTCACCTATTCCGATCTCCGACAATAGCAGACTGTATGCGCATGATACCTTGATACTCTCAAAATGCACAAAGACAAGGAGATAGCAAGCAAGTCTACTAGTGGAAAACTGAAGACACAATACAGAAATACTTAAAGACATGAAAAAATGACAGCAATATTACAAGAATTATGCGCAAAAGCTTGATGAGTTCATGTAACACGGCTGAACACAACTTCTTTCTGTTCATTTGTTCCATATTTGCGTTGCAAATGGATCATCTTTTGACTGTCTTTGTGATTCTTGGCACTCCCAATAACATTTTATCCTTTGCAAGAGTCCGTAGCTATCAAACTCTGTGCTATTTTGAGCAAAAACGCTCAGAACAGGGCTTAAATGCAACATTCTTTGATGTGCCATTGCTCGACAACCAGACTATCAAAACAGCTTGTTTTTTTTTATTTGAAACATGTTGTTTCGAGCCCAACAGTTGGTTAGTGCCATTGGTTTAGCACTTGAACGAAATTTATTTTTTGACCCATGGAGGGCTGAGACCTCAGGACGGCAAATCCAGAAATATTCCAAAAGGATTGCGAAAAGTGTATTTCTGGGCACTTTTGATGAAAAGAAAGCGAGCTTACTAAGATGAAAAAGTCGACTCCATTTGAGCATTGTCCTCAAACTTGCGTTCAAAGTTCATTGTACACTATGAGTAACAGAAAAGAGACTATTTTCTATAGACGCTGAATAGTACAAGAACACTAATACTTACACCTTTGGACGCAAAATTTAGTCGAATAATACAATAGTTTTCGCCTCCAAGAAGAGGTCAAAATGGCAAATGAAGGCATTTTAGATCATGTTTCATACTAGTAGAGCAAGTTCCTTGCTTTTCTTAAATATGGATAGTTCCTGACCGTTTTGCACTCTTTGAAAAAAACAATTCGTTAGGATTTTTGGCCATTTTGCTCCACTGAAATTCACTGCCACTGTATCACCCATGTTTTACCTTCGTTTATTTTACCCTCATATCAAGAGCTTGACTCTTTGTCATTTTTTTTTCTAACGTTCACTATGTAGAGATTATTTGAAGTAGACTTTGTTCAAAACTTTATTTCTTTTTATTAGCGAGTATGTTTACACTGATAAGTGAAATTCTAAGATTATAAGAAATTGAGATGTGAGAAGTGCTATTTTGATGGCGATTAATAATAGCAGGTTTACGCACAAAAGACAATTGAGACATTTTACCCACCTTTTCAATTAAAATAGAATAATCAAGCATCTTTATTTTTTGCCATGAACCTTCTAGACTAATTTTTTATTCTTTCAACTAAACGTGCGTCTTTACATAAAAGATGGGTAGCCAAATAGAACTATGCTTTCAGTACAGACGGGGCTCAGGACCGAGTCCGATAATTGCTTGTCCATCCATAGACTCTGACTCACGTAGTTCTATCAATACAGCAGCTCAGGACAGAGTCCGTAATTGCGGATGCATTGGGCTAGATCGTCTTGCAAGAAATCGGCAAAAAAGATACATGTAAAGCCATTAGTATTTCTGTGCAACTGAGCAAAGATACACGCTTACCTTTGTAAGTATACGTGCCTCTACATAAAAGATGGGTAGCCAAATAGAACTATGCTTTCAGTACAGACGGGGCTCAGGACCGAGTCCGATAATTGCTTGTCCATCCATAGACTCTGACTCACGTAGTTCTATCAATACAGCAGCTCAGGACAGAGTCCGTAATTGCGGATGCATTGGGCTAGATCGTCTTGCAAGAAATCGGCAAAAAAGATACATGTAAAGCCATTAGTATTTCTGTGCAACTGAGCAAAGATACACGCTTACCTTTGTAAGTATACGTGCCTCTACATAAAAGATGGGTAGCCAAATAGAACTATGCTTTCAGTACAGACGGGGCTCAGGACCGAGTCCGATAATTGCTTGTCCATCCATAGACTCTGACTCACGTAGTTCTATCAATACAGCAGCTCAGGACAGAGTCCGTAATTGCGGATGCATTGGGCTAGATCGTCTTGCAAGAAATCGGCAAAAAAGATACATGTAAAGCCATTAGTATTTCTGTGCAACTGAGCAAAGATACACGCTTACCTTTGTAAGTATACGTGCCTCTACATAAAAGATGGGTAGCCAAATAGAACTATGCTTTCAGTACAGACGGGGCTCAGGACCGAGTCCGATAATTGCTTGTCCATCCATAGACTCTGACTCACGTAGTTCTATCAATACAGCAGCTCAGGACAGAGTCCGTAATTGCGGATGCATTGGGCTAGATTGTTAAGACAAAGAGAAAAAAAGAAAAAAAGGTTTAACCATTACATACTTCAAACCCCGAGATTACCTTGTATTGTTTCACCAACACCCATATATACCGAGTTTGAATAAATAGGAATTAGCCATTGAGATTTCACACTTTTTGATGGAGTATGGCGTGCCAAACCAGTGTATGCTTTCCACCCTAAGCTACAAGAGAAATTAGAGACGACTATACAACATCTGGTTCAAGGATTCAATGAAAACATATTGTCCCAAGAATAATGGGATGAAGTAAAACACAAAGCCAAGTCAATCATTAGAGGATATTCAGTGGATTGCATTGATTGGCATATTAAGAGAATTCGTGCTTTGGAAAAGAAACGCAATCGTTTACTACGCACAAAGCCTCCTCCAGACGTTCAGCGCTTGGTAATTCCACCTATTGACAATGAGCTACAGATACTACAACAAGAGCTGGCTGAAATAGCTATTCTAAAGGCTGGTCTTCGCTGGCAAGAGAATGGTGAGTGCAATGCTGGGTACTTGAAAAAAATACATCAGAGTCGAACAGCCCAACAATATATGTCTGGCTTCAAAGATAGCAATTCTGAAACACCAACAATTGTACATACCACCAAATCGACAATGCAGAATATTGTACAACGGTTTTATAAAGACCTATATGCGATTGATGCAGTACCTATGAATCAAATACAAGAGTATTTAGGTAATATTCACTTTCCAAGTAAAGTTAATCAGGATGAAGCAAATCTGCTCCAAATGGAATTTGATTGGGAGGATATTGTCAGAATGACAAAGCGTAGTCCAAAACAAAGTAGCCCAGGTAGTGATGGACTAGGGTATATATACCTTCAACTCTTGTTTGGTTTTCCTTGTTTGAAGCCCCTGATACTCCAGGTATACAATGATGCCATGATAAAAGGAATTTTCCCTCAGTCATGTAAGGAAATCAGAGTGCGCTTGCTACCCAAGAAAGGTGATTTGTCAGAATTAAAAAATTGGAGACCAATTTCATTGATCAACTGTGATGGTAAAATTTTCACAAGGCTCATTACCCAACGTCTAGCTCCTATAATGAATCGAATTATCAACCCGCCTCAAAAGGGCTTCATCCAAGGACGTTTTATTGGCGAAAATGGGATGTACGTCCACTTGGTTCAACAACAAGCAAGATATGAACATCATCAAGGTGTAGGTTTGCTTCTCGACCAGGAGAAAGCCTATGATCGAGTATTACCAACATATCTTCAACAAGCTCTTGTGTCCCTAGGCTTCCCTACCTTATTTATACAAAGTATTTATAATTTGTTCTTTGATAACTCAATAGCAATCAATGTCAACGGATCCTTTACGGGTCCAGTACATCAGCAACGTGGGTTAAGGCAGGGCGATCCTTTGTCCCCTTTATTGTTCAACATCGCTTTGGAACCGCTGATCCTTTCAATCCAGCAAGGCCCTACATATCAAGGTTATGTCCCGACAATGAGCACTACGTCTCAACAGATCAAGTGCATCGCATATGCTGATGATATCTGTGTGTTTGTCAAGGATACCACTGATTTTATGCGTCTCCAACATCACTTGACTAAGTGTAATACTGCATCAAATGCAAGATTTAACAAGAACAAGACGGAAGCTTTCTCATTGAGTGGTGTCAAGTCAGAATCTTGGGAATCATTGCTTTTGAGTCATGATATCGAAACATACTACCACCATCATTCCCCTTCTGCTTTTCGATACCTTGGCTCTTATATGCCATACACAAATTCTCAACCGAATCGTGTCCAGGATATGCTATTGGAAAAAATGCGTACACGGGTTCATGGTTACTCTCAGCGTCATCTCTCGCTTCAAGGAAGAGCTACCGTTGCCAACACTTTGATTTTATCCAAAATTTGGTACTGCTTGCGGTTGTTTGCGCCTACTAAGCGATTTCTGAATGAACTTCGTTCGATTATCTATGCTTACGTGTGTCAAAAGAAGTTTTCTTATGTTTCTTTTGACCAGTTATGTCTCTTTAAGGATCAAGATAGTTTAGGAGCTCTCAACCCTATCACACAATACTTGGTGCTGCAGATGAGATGGGTCTTCACTCTGTTTAGTTCGTCTAATCTAACAACTCAGCTCCGAGTGCTTATGACAGAACACTTTGGCATCATGTCTCCAGATGCTGACCATACATTGCTACCCTTTTTCTCTAGAACTCTTCGCCGTCATGACCTTTGTCATCCCACTTCAGTTGTCAATGGTATTTATGCTGCCTTTGATCACTTTGGTATCAATTTCAAACTTGATAATACGCCTCTAGCCAACTTGCTTTACTTTCCGTTGATTAACATGTTTCAAGAGATGCCTCAGAACCACTGGCTTCATCGACATTCAAAAGTACCGGCATCTCTTTTCTTCCTTTTTGACGAACAGAGTAACCAGTTACGTCTGAAGGTTTGCCATATGGGACATTGCCAGGATTGTGCCATCAGCTCTTTATAGACGTTCTTTGCAAACAAACAGTAGAACTTCAACCTTTCCTGTGGCAATATATTACACAAGATGCGATACCATCTACTGTCTCTGTCTATGATGCTTTGACTAAGCAATTGACTGATACAAGATTGTGGCGCTCTTTCTCTTCTAGGGATTTCTGCCTGCATCCTTATGAAGACAAAGCTAAATCCCGAATAAAGGCTTCTCGTACTTCGCTCTCTCTGTATTGGAGGACTCCAATGCTCCCTCAGGCTAGAACACTGTGGTATCGTGTGCTTCACAAGAAACTGCCCACTGCGTCCAAACTTTTCAAGATTGGTACTGTCTCTACTCCTGTCTGTCGTCTGTGCAAATCACAACCCAAATCGTATGATCATTTCATAGCCTACTGCTCTACCAAGTGGAGTGTTTGGTTGGAAATACTGAACTGCTACTACCCTCTGGTATACTTTACTCCTCCCTCCCTCCACAAGATCCTCACTCTTCAAGCCTTTTCCCCTAGCCATTACAAACCGCCCCAAGCTTGTATCCATCATTGCGATAGCTCAATGGAATATCTAGAAATCCTATTATAACCTAATTCTCAACCAGGTTGCTTTTGAACATTCTTGTATCATTTCAGATACAATTTATCAGGTAGCCTTAGCTACAAAAAATCACTCCTTGCTAAAATAACTCTGATCATTGTATGATTATTCCTTACTCCTGTTTTTCTATGTCCCACCTCTCTGCGATGTGTGACTAAATAATTTTGTAAATAAAATCCAACTACAAAAAAAAACTTTCTGATCCCTCTGCCCCATATTCTCTTTGGAATAATATAAGGAACATCCGTAAATTTCTTTTAGGGGAAATTTCTGACGTAAGCAAGCAGACTGGACAGTAGAGGTTCTAATATGGGGGTGGTGAAGGTGGCAAGAACGTTAAGTGATATCCATAGTTTTATTCTATGTATAAAAAAAAAGTAATCGATAATTATGATTTCGGAAGGAACTTTGTTTTTAATTTTTTGGGAATTGGCCTTATCTGTTCTAGTATTTCTTGAAAGCGTTTTCATTGTCTTGGCAATAGAAATACAACGGGTTGGTTTTTGTAGCTGATATGAAAGCAGCTGAACTTCAATGCGCACTAATGAATATCATTGACAAGTTGGAGATGGATTGGTGAGGGCTTTTGGGTTTGGTTTCTGGGTAGATTCAAGGGAAGAAAACTAAAGAGGATACTACCAGAGGAAGGATTCTCAGCAGAAGTATAAATGCAAACTGGTGAACAGTAAGCATCAGCTAATGCTTTCATGACTTTGGAGGTAATCATTAAGTCTTTCAAAAGCAAGCATCAATGATTGGGCTGCATTCATACCCCGTTCCAAAGCACCATGGCCTCCCTCAGCTCTGTGTGTTATCTTACAACCGTAATGCTGTAGTTAGTCGACAAATACACCAGCTCATTTGTGGAAAGTGAGCTTCCATTCATATTCATAGTAATCTCGAAAATTTATTCTGGCGTTAGTTTCTTAAAATTTTCTGTTAGCATCTAAAAACCTAGTTACCTCATGCGAGACAATGTTGTATTCTAAGTAACTCTTTGAGTAGAGTAATTTCTTGACCAGTGCTTTAGAGGTTTCAATTGCATCTTCGTAATTGAAAATTACTAAACTACATTTGGCATCTAAGTTGTTTAGCATGTGCCAACTACGCAAGACTTTTTTTTTTGGATTGAGGAAACAAGGCATCAAGAGCATCCTTCAATGCTTTGCACTTGTTGGTAACCAAAATAGTTCTTTCTGAGAGTGCTGGAAAGGCCTTTAAGGTTTTGTAAGAACCAAAGATATGTTTCTGTGTTTTGATTGCTGAACAAAGCAAAGGCAATAGGAAAGGTAACGAGGTTTGGGCGACCAACATCACTTACTCCATAAGCACAAATGAGAGGCATTTTTAAATTGTCAGTGCCATAAGTTGCATCAATGATCACGACTTCAGAAAATCTTGCTGTTCTTTCTGTCATCAAGTCATTGACTAAAAATACATGCTAAAGAAATCGAGCTTTGTTACATCTATATGAGACAGTGTAGCCCTTGTTTTCCATTGCTTTAATGACCTCAGTCGTAGCCTTTTCAGAAGCCATGAAACTACTTTGCTTTCTCTTATCATTGGCGTAGCCAATATAGTTGATGTCACTAACTGATAGCTTGTTCAACCATTGACCAAAACTGATAGATTTTTGAATTGATTTTTAACTAGCATTCTGATTGATTGCATTCAAAAGATTTCTAGACTCTTCAACAATTAGGCTTGCCATACGACCAGAATTTTTACTGCGTCTTATTTTCGTCCAAAGGATGATTATGGTAGCAATCTTCTTCAGAAGTTAGTGCAGTAATATTGAATCCTTCGTCATTTTTCTTTCTAGAAAATCTTATCTGATAAGGACAACTAGTTTTTGAGCTCATAATGATTCTTTTGCGCTCAGTAGCACTAAGTCCATGAGTGCTTTTGTATTGATCACCCTTAAAACACTTGAGTTAATATTTTTGATCATCTGACTTGCTCACAACCACAGTAAAATTGTTTCTAGTTGCATACTCTGTAATAATAGACTTGATTGTTGATTTGCCAGAATTTACAGGAATCCGAGGCAATGCCTCAGGCACTTTATGCAATAAATCATGTTTATTCATTTCGATATATTTGGAAAGATGAAACAGATCCTTCTATTATGTACCACTCCACCACCTTCATCAGCATCGCGCCACCCCTTCAGATTAAGACACTTCCTATCCGGCCCGCTTGCTTACGTCAGGGGTGTTCCCTAAGAAAATCTATGGGCGTTCCTTAATATACTTGTTTATACATCTTCTGTTTCTCACTATAAAATTTGTAACTCAAAATGTCCACTGATTGCGCCATAAATGCAGTTGAACGTGCTGCCAACGAAGCAATCATTTTCCAAGCTGAGCAGCAAATTGAAGTAATCAATCAAGCCAGAAAGAGAAAGAGGGTAGTAGAAGGTATGCATTAGTACTATCTTACGCTTTTTGCTAAATTCGATGTCTTTATAGAAGCAGAAGAAAATGAAGATGAAGCTCGCGTAAAAAATTTGTATTATATGAAATATAGAAACATATAACTGACATATCTGTTTCATGCTTAGAAAGAAGTTGATGATAGTGACGGAATAAGCGTCATTGGACACAACAAATCTCTAATGTCTCTGGTTCGATCGCATGGCCTGAAAATTTGTTCTAAAAATCTGAAGGATTGCAATGCAACCGAAAAGTATTATGGCAGGTAAGCACGATGGCTTGTATATATATATATATATATATATATATATTTACTCCTTATTCAGACTATGCTTGAATTCAATTGTAGTGCTCGAAGATGAAAAATATATGAAGATGCTGGACATTAGTAACGAAGCAGCTACTGAATTGAGCAAGCATTTTCTAGTTCCTACTGTTGAAATACCAGAATTTAAAGATAATTTAAAAAATGTATTTGACAAGTCTATTAGTGTAAGACATCAATTAATACAGTTTTTATTTATTTACTTATTTTTCAATACTTATACATGTAACAATGACTTTTAGATGGAATGCAAGCAAAAATATAAATTTTTAGCAATCAAGTCATTCAGTTTTTCTGGCGATGATTCCAAGAAACTTTCCATTATGGCCAACATGTAATTACATGAATTACCATAGCCTGTTGAGTCTTTTGCTTATTTTTTATAGTTACAAACTAATAAGTCAAGAAAAAAGTATTTTGGATCACTGGCAAAGCTCTTCAGAATGGACAATAATCATCAAAATATGGGCAAACGTATTTGAGACTTTGTTTGAGGATACAATGATTGAACTGATATGGTAGCGTAAAGTTTGTTATTAGTATGATTGTGTCTAACTTCATCTCGGATAAATAGGGGAGACACTAAGAATGATCCATTCAAAATAGACCTTCGTTTGTGTGTTGTTGTGGACAAGAAAAAACATGATGTTTCAAATACTGAATTCAAGAAAAATGGTAATAGATCCGAAAGAAAAAAGGATACCGCCAAGCTACTGACCGAAGGAAAGCAAATCCTGAATGGGTTTATCAAGTTACACAATCTTGATCTTGAAGAGTCAAAGAAAAAAAAATCAATGGTTGTTCAAGTTTGTGGTAATTTTTTTCTTTAAGATGATCAATGGTAATGTCATTAACTAAAATCTTTTAGGCCTAAAGGCTTTAATAACTGAAGTAAGGCTTGTAGCCCCTGGCTGTTATATGCCAAACCAATTTGGGAAAACATTGAAATATCCCTATGACCTCAAAAGCGCCAAGTTGTTCCTGGAGCAAAGTTTACAGCAACTTTTTGCCTACAAGGTTTGCCTAACTGTTCCTTTAGCTGATATTTGACCTAACAATAAAAAAAATGGTAGGATTATGTTATTGAAGAAGCTCGATTAATAAGAGGTGCTTTAAGAAAAGATACATCGAGCTTAGGCTCAACAACAGCTACCGAAGACCAGTACTTCATCAAACAAGTATACCATGTGCAAGACAGCATGAAGACATGGCCGAAAATGAATAATGATATTTTTAAGCAATAGAAAGTTTATAAAATATATCAAAGAAAAAGCTACTAAGCAGATTTATGTAACAGTAAAAAGAAGATCAAAGACTTGTTATTGAATGTAGAGAAAAAAGACAAAAAAAAACGTATACTCACTTTCTCGCAATAGTGTACAGTTCTCACATATTTTTTGCAGAACAAACTCTTTGGCTGTATCTCATAACGATGGATAAGCATTTTTGATTATGCATTGGTCTTGTAAAAGCTGATTGTGTTTATGTCAAATGGCAATGTTATGGCTTTGAGTGAGATAGTCCAATGACCATTGTAGGACTTCTCAAAATGCACAAAGACAAGGAGATAGCAAGCAAGTCTACTATTGTCGGAGATCGGAATAGGTGAAGATGAATTTCCCAGAAAGTCCTTGAGGGGCAATACGGCCCTTCTAGTCAAAATCACAACCTTGTCACTTACTATGATCATGCATTGCAAAAAAAAAGATGCTCTCAAAGTGGTATAGAGTACACTCAAAGTATTTGTTTTGCAAAAGTCACATAAAAAGTGTGCGCTATCACTTGAAAACGATGATATGCTTTTTGCCTTTTTCTTAGTATTTAATAGTGAATATATCATGTTATTTGTATCGTTCAATGCGGCACTTGAAGCTCTACAGATTTACTTGATTGATCTCCTTACCATTCCTGATGATTTTGTCTATTTAAAATCGTGTTTGTATTATAGATGCATTTTTTTCTCGCTTTCGGATACCAAAAGTCACACAAGCTTTTTCAGTCTTGACTTTGTGGAATTCAGGTATATGCGGACTTTAAAATTGTTTTTGGCTATAAGTATACAAAAAGGGTGCAGAGGACAATTCATTAGCATCACATCAGCTGATTTGAAAAGAACAAGAGTCTTTTCGTAACAAAGATAATGGGGATTTTTATGCGCAATGATGCTCAACAATGGATTCTGAGTTCAAATGTGTTTCCGCTGCTTAAATGGCCCACTACTTGACACAAGATAGACTGAGTATGGATATTGCCATTAGAAATTGAGCTAATTCAGCAGCATTCCTGAAGATCCTTAATTGTTTTGCGTATTAGCTACCAGTAGCCGAAAATACTGCCTTTTATTTAGATATATTTGTTTGCAAGTATAAGCCCCACTATTTGTGGACTTCCAAAAAAAAAAAAAGATCAGCGCTATAATGAAGCTGATGTTAAAATTTATCTAAAGAAATTTGATTGGGATCTGACTCCCTCCTTTTTTTTCCTCTTTTTTTTTACACTAGACCATATTATTCTCTTTTGAGATACATATAGACTATGGGATTACCGAAAGCTGTCAACTATATTATAGTAGCGTATATTTTATGCTCAATCTTGTATACATCTACATATCTACTTGGGTTTAAAACAAGCCGATCACCATTTGGCAGCGTGTCTGAATCCACTGTTGCCAAGTTACAAGAACGCTATCAAGGCAAACAATCTGTAGACTGGAAAAATGAACTTGGTAACTTGATAAAGTTATCTCATCTAAGCTAACAAGGTCATTAGGACAAGTAATTGAATCAACACCTGAAGATTTGGTACTTGGTAAAGTGTTTTCAGAGACTTTTGGACCTTCCAAAGTGATTCCTTATTATTTCAAGGCCACCGAGAGATTTGATAACGAAGAAATTACCATGGCCACGCTTGTCACGTATAATCGATTCAAGGTCCTCAGTCGACTTGCTTCTCATTACAAAGGCCCTGTTTCTGCTGCTATTCACGTCAATGATGATGACTCAAAGCAACAAATCCTGACTGATTTGCACAAGCTCTATGACGAGAATGAAGATATGCGACGCTACGTTGACCTTCATTTGGTGGTTGATAAGTTTGACCGTCAATTCAACATGTGGCGTAATGTCGCCAAATTCTTTGCTCGTACAGACTATATTATGATGCTCGATGTTGATTTTTACCTCTGTACGGACTTTAGAAAATCACTTCAAAAGCAACCTCAGTTGATGGAATTATTAAGAGCTGGTAAGGCTGCTGTTGTTGTGCCAGCCTTTGAGTATGTTGATGAAAGTGACGGTGAGGATTGGAATGATTTCCCAAAGACCAAGAAAGAGCTCTTGGTTGATGTCGGCACAGAAAGACTCGATATGTTCCATAGAGGATGGACGCGTGGTCATGGCTCAACAAACTATGCAAAATGGTATCAACAAAAGAAACCTTACAAAGTCACAGAGTACAATTACTCTTACGAACCCTATGTTATCTTTAAAAAGGAAGGTACTCCTTGGTGCGATGAACGTTTTGTTGGTTATGGCGCTAATAAGGCCGCCTGTCTATTTGAAATTTATTTGGCTGGTATTGATTATTGGGTATTGCCTGATGACTTTTTGATCCATCAAACACATCATTATCCTGAAGATACAAGAGCTAAAGAAGTAAGGGACAATATAATTTGTCGATATGCATACTTATTTTCTGTTTATAGCGTACTTACAACAAGAAGTTATACGATTACTACAGAGAAGAGACCTGCCTTCGCTATGCTCGTATTATGATTGCTGCTGATGAATGGAACACTCCAAAGTCTGCTAACCTTAAGAAAGAATGTGGTAGAATTCGTGGCTTTAATGATGTAATTGGAAGAATTGCTGCTGAACACAACGAGCTATAGTTGATACGTATTCCCCCTTTAACAATAAATTATTTTGATTTTTTCATATTTTTATTTGTTCTTGTGCTACACAACTTCACAGTGATGTCTCTCTCTCTCTCTTTTTTTCTTTTATGATGAGAGAAATGGTTATTTTGTTGACCGAATAAACACACTCTATAGAGAAAAGATCTTTGACATGATTTGTCTCTATTGATTTCGACTCAAATCTCGATATAAACTCCCAAGGTTCTCAAGTTCTTTGTCTTATCAGAGAACACCCAAAGCAATGTTCAATCAAAAAAATCTAAAGACTATTTCTGAAGCAGCAAAAGACTTTCTTTAGATCGAGATTATAAGAACGGGTTTGGTTGCCTTTATCTTCCTGGTCAGAACTTCCTCTTCTTCCTGTGGTGTGCCAGATCACATATATGTAACGTATGAAAAGATGCTGATTTTCTTGCTTTCTCGGCTAGAATTCAGCCTTCTTTTGTGCTTCAGCGTCTCGTATCGCTCTTCTTGATTCCTTTGGCCTGTGTAGCCTTCTTTTACAGTCCTTTATCTACCTTGGAAGCTATTTTACAGCTATTAGCAGCTTCGCCTTTTTTTTTGTTTCTAAAAAGTTATCAGATTTAATTTTCTAAGACTCCTTATCATTGGATCTTTGACAATGCAAGAAAAAGCGACATGATGGATAGTGAGAATAGGATTCTTTGAGTCTCAGATCTGGACAAACACAACAGAATTAAGTATCTTTTATCCAAGTTTTGGAGGTACAGTCCTTTGAAATGTCTAGATATTCAAAACGATGACCATGGTAAAAGTACTATATTCTCTAGAGCTCAATATATCACCCCGAGAACATTCTTGAAGCAAAGTACGTGTCCTACAACATATTGCATAAGTGTTGCAGGTTTATTTTTCCCCATGCAAAGTAATGCCCGTTTGTGTAACACAATCTGCTTGTAAAAAGGATGTTTCTTTGTGCTAAATTGTCAGATAAACATACAGGCGCTACTGTTTTCATGTCCTAAAAGTTCTGAAATGTTTGTAGAAATAGAGAAAAAAGGATTTATATGGTAGTCGAACCATAAACAACAGTTGAACAATGTCCGAGGTTCTTTATTCGGAAAGAAAGTTTCATGTTGTGTCAGTGTGTTGACAAGTACATTTTTTCTTTTTCTTTTCCTTTTTTCTAAAAAAGATAATGGAGGATCAGTGGATTATCCAGTACAAAGATAAGGTGGATCATACACCTACACCTAATAATATGTGCTATAATTCAGAAGGCTGGGTAAGCTTAAAGAACGAAAAATGCTTTGTTATTTATCTTGTGGATTTAGGGACCATTTTCTTCCATAAGACAGCCTGATTTCACACCATGTTTTGAAGACACGTAAGAGACAAAAAAAAAACGAATAAAAACAATAGGCTTACACTACCAAGTGTTGTTATGACTATACCTTCTATCTATATTTTAGTTGCTGGCATGATTCGATTTTGGATTTTAGCTAAAAGAAAACCATTGTCCAAAGATGTTACTCACAATTGGTTATATTTTGTTAAAATGGCAAGTCATAGAACATAAAAAGTATATTTATTCATGCTTATTTTAGGCCACTTTGATTTTCTTATTATTGACAGCCACCACCAGCTTTGTATTTTCTATTCAAGACGCTTATGGAGTGATTGATAATGCTCAGATACTGGCTGAGGGCTTTACCGTTTTTGTCTTAGTAATTTTCATCTATATCTACGATTTGAGCTAAATATCATTTAGATCTTTGTCATCTTTTTACATCATTTGGAATACACTCGAAACGAAATCTCATCTGGTGTCTTACTTTTCTTTTGGCTTTTCGAAATCCTCGTTGGCACAGTCAAACTAAGAACATTGATTATCAGTCATGGCACTACTGGTAATTATCCTGATCATTTTGCCATGTATTTGATTCGATATGCACTTATCATAATCGTCTTTGTTTTGGAAAATATCGCTAAGCCGAAAAGCCAATATATTATATTGGAAGAAGGAGACGAGGTAATAACTAGTATGTATCAAACAGTGTTACTTATCTCTCTTAGATGGACTGTCCAGAAGAAAAAGCAAATATTTTTCAAAGATTGACTTTTCATTGGATGACGCCTTTAATGCGATTGGGATACAAAAATCCTTTGATTATGGATGATTTATGGTAAGCTGAATATCGTCTGCATTACAATAACTCGTCAAAGGAACCTGAATCACCAAGATCAATCTCAAATCATCAACCAACGATTTCAAATACATTGGCAAAAGGAATTAAAGAGAAAAAAGTAGAGTATGCTCAAGTAGCTATGTTATTTATATTTTATCCTTAGTCCTTCTTTACTGCGTGCACTTGTTTCGACTGTGGGTGGACCTTTCTTTTTAGCTGCTGTAAGTTTAAGATAGAGAGATATAAGAAGCTAAGTTCCCTTGCTTTTAGGCGTTGAAGGCATGTCAAGATGTCTTGCAATTCACTCAGCCTATGCTTTTAAAAGCATTGATGGGATGGGTTACTAGTTATTTATCAGACACTCCGGAACCAGGATACAGAGGCGCTTTCATTGCTTGTAAGTCATAACTAGGTCTACACATTCAGTTAATACAAAAAATAGTGGCAATGTTTATAACCGCTATTGCACAAACCATGTTTGTACAGCAATACTTTCATCTCTGTTTTACAACAGGTATGAGATTACGTGCTGCCCTTGTCACATCCATCTATCAAAAAACCTTGGTTTTAAGCAATTCGAGTCGTCAACAATCTACAGTGGGAGAGGTAAGACAATATATGCTTCATTGTGATCACTTAAATGGAATAGATTGTGAATCGTATGAGTGTTGATGCTCAACGATTGATGGACATGTGTACATTTTTTCATATCATTTGGAGTGGCCCATTTCAAATTACCATTGCTCTGTATTTGCTGTGGAAGACAATGGGACCTAGCATCTGGGCTGGTGTGAGTGTGTTGTTGTTGGCCATTCCTTTAAACATGATACTTGCAAGAACAATGCGTACCTATCAAAAGACTCAAATGGGCAACAAAGACGCAAGAGTCAAGCTGATGGTAAATTACAAATTAAGTGCAAGCTAATGTATATTGATGTGTCTTGATAGAATGAAGTTCTTAATGGTATTAAAGTGATTAAATTGTATGCATGGGAAATTCCATTTATGCAGAAAGTAAGCAACCTTGAAAGTAAAACAAAAGCAACTAACAGTTAAAAAAGATTGGCTTTATTCGTAATGATTTAGAATTAGCCATACTTAAGAAGATAGGCTTACTTTCAGCTGCACAAACATTTACATGGACAACTATACCCTTTTTTGTGTCTATCGTAACATTTACGGTCTATGTAGCTACGTCTACTACACCCCTTACAAGTCAAGTTGCTTTTGTAGCCATTTCATTGTTTAGTCTGCTTCAATTCCCTATGGCTATTTTTCCTAACGTGATCACATCACTTATTGAAGCTTCTGTATCACTCAATCGTATTGAAGAGTATTTGTCTAGCAAAGAAATTGATTCCTCTGCTATTGTCAGAGAAGATTTTCGCAAAATGCCAGATTGGAATCCTACTATACCTCTTGTTCAAGTGGAGAACGCGAGTTTCAAATGGAACGAGAATGATTCAAAGATTGATCTGGCTGATATCAGCCTGACTGTAACTAAAGGCGCATTGACTGCTATCGTGGGTCGTGTTGGATCAGGCAAATCTACTTTGATTAGCGCGCTTTTGGGTGACAACACAAAGATCTCTGGTCAAGTCACAATGCGTGGTAGTATTGCCTATGTACCACAACAACCTTGGATCATGAATGCTACTGTACGACACAACATCATCTTTGGATTGCGTTGGGACCCTGAATTCTATGATCGAGTACTTGAAGCTTGTTCATTGAAGACCGATCTCAAGATTCTTTCGCATGGTGATATGACTGAAATAGGTGAGCGAGGTATCAATTTATCTGGTGGACAAAAGGCCCGTGTGTCTCTGGCTCGTGCACTTTATGCTCGAGCTGATATTTATCTGTTAGACGATCCGCTTAGTGCAGTGGATGCGCATGTTGGAAAACATTTGTTTGAACATGTCTTGGGTCCCAATGGTCTATTGAAAAACAAGTCGCGTATCTTGGTCACACACGCCATTACTTATTTATCTAAAGTAAATCAAGTGGTTATGCTATGCAATGGTCGGATTGGGTCTCAAGGCACTTATGATACATTGATGGCACAAGAAGATGGTGAACTCTTCAAATTAGTCAGCGAATTTGGTAACCAACCTTCAAAAGATGATGACACGAGCATGAATGAAGAGAGCTTAGAGACAACAACGGAGGATCATTCCACGACAGCCATATTAGGTCATTCTGAAGAAGAATCCTCTATCAATCAAGAGATAGTAAGACGTCAATCTCTTGATTGTAGACTCAGTCTTCAAAGCGTTCTTTCCAGCACCAGTCTAAGACGTGCCTCTGTTGCTTCTTTCAAGAATCCTCGGACGGCTGAAGAGGGCCAATTGATGACAGTCGAAGAAACAGCGAAAGGAAAAGTGTCTTGGCAGGTTTACAAGCAATATGCTCTAGCATGTTCTGTTATGGGTGTAATTGCTGTAGTTGGTTTTCAACTGAGTGCACAAGCAGCACAAGTGGGTGCAAACATTTGGCTCAAGAATTGGAGTAGTGCCAACATGGAAAAGGGAACCAATGATCGTGTTTGGCTGTATTTAGGTATTTATGCCTTGATCGGTTGGTCTGCCACCATTTTTGCCTTCTTGCAAACTATGGTAATGTGGGTCTTTTGCGGCATTCGATCCGCTACTTATCTTCACAGCCACATGCTTCAATCTGTGGTTCGCTCGCCCATGTCCTTTTTTGATACAACACCTTTAGGAAGAATACTGAATCGCTTTAACAAGGACCAACATACGATTGATGAAGTACTGCCTCGAAACTTCAACATGTATCTTCGTGTGCTCTCTCAAGTGATTGCTACGATTACGATTATCACATTTTCCACGCCCTTTTTCTTAATTCTTGTGATCCCTCTTTCATTTCTTTACATGGCTATCCAGCGATACTATCTCGCTACGTCTCGAGAATTGAAACGACTCGACTCGGTTGGAAAAAGTCCTATTTATTCTCATTTCCAAGAAACCATCCAGGGTGTCTCCACCATCCGTGCTTATGAACAGCAGCAATCGTTTATATTCCAAAACCAAAGCAAACTCGATACAAACCAACGTGCTTATTACCCTTCTATCGTATGTAATCGTTGGTTGTCTGTTCGCCTTGAGTTCCTTGGGTCCATCATTATTTTTGGCTCGAGTATTTTAGCCGTGCTTGGTGTGCTGTATGGCAACAAGTCATATATTGATCCTGGTCTGGTGGGTCTCAGTGTGTCTTATGCATTGAGTGTTACGCAATCTCTGAGTTGGGTGATTCGTCAGTACTGTGAAATTGAGACCAATATCGTATCTGTGGAAAGAGTGAAGGAATACATTGACTTACCTGGTGAGAAATACGAAGCGGCTCGAAGTGTGGACCCCATGTGGCCTTCAAAAGGTATAATTGAATTCAAAGGATATGCTACACGGTATCGTGAAGGGCTTGATTATTGTTTAAGAGACTTGTCGTTCTCAGTTGCACCTAAAGAAAAGATTGGTATTGTGGGTCGTACAGGTGCTGGTAAAAGTTCATTGACATTAGCCCTTTTCCGTATTGTGGAAGCGGCCAAGGGCAATATCATCATTGACGGTATTGATATTGCTTCTTTACGTCTATTTGATCTACGATCCAGATTGTCTATCATTCCTCAAGATCCAGTGTTGTTTGCTGGTACTGTGCGGGAGAATCTAGATCCTTTTCATGCTTATGATGATATGGAGATTTGGCAAGCACTTAAGAATGCTCATTTGTATGACCATATATCTTCCATGGATGGTCAATTGAATGGTGTTGTTCTTGAAGGTGGAGATAATTTCTCTGTTGGGCAAAGACAGGCAAGTTTACTCAATTGATGTTTCTTTTATTGACTTTATGTAGCTTATTTGTCTTGCGCGTGCGTTACTCCGCCGTACAACAATTCTTGTCCTTGATGAAGCTACTGCTGCTGTAAGTAGATGTGTGCATTTTATGTTTATGCTTATACATAAATAGATTGATTTGGAGACAGATTCTATTATTCAAGAAACCATTCGTTCACAATTTTCTGATTGTACTATCTTGACGATTGCTCATAGAATCAATACGGTGATGGATTCAGATAGGTAACGGAATACGTTATGTAATTGATATGCTCACTATTTACAACAGAATTCTTGTACTCGACCAAGGAAGAATTGGCGAATTCGATTCACCTAAAAAGTTACTAGAGAACCATGATTCTTTGTTTTATAGTCTATGCCAAGAAGCCGGTTTAGTCATATCTTAACCGCGGCTTTGCTTTCCTGATCTCTAAATCAGGATTATTTGTCCATATCTGAAAATAAATACGTATTCGTACTTTAAAAGAACAAAAGATATAAAAGACAAGAAGAAAAACATTGTTAAAAGAGATATGTCTCATTACTTTTTCGTGTTTTTGTATACCATTGCTGCATTCTTCTGTAGATCAATGGCTCTTCCTACCGCTGTTACTACTACTACTACTACTACTACTACTACTACTGTCGCTACTGCTGCTGCTTCAACTACTGGCTATGACATGAAGGGATTACCTAGCAATATATTCCCTGACCTTTCTTCTCTTCATCCCACGGATACAAATGAATTATATGATGGTATTCTTTTCTTAAAGAACCAGAATGACGGTATTAAAAACGAATAATACACTTGTATATATCTTGTTGCATAATAAACCTAATCAATCTTGAAATCACTATTTGCCCATAAGAAACCATTGCTTATACTAAATAGTGCTTGAAAAACTTCTGTCTACCGAGCATCAGACATAGGCGCACTTTAGAAAGTTGTGAATCAAATTTCTCAATTTGGGAATCACATCAAACTTAAATGTTCTTTTTTTCTATTTTTTCCCTTTTTCATTTTTTTCATTTCAAACATGCCTGAAGAACCTCATAAACGTCAACGAGTGAGCAAAGCTTGGTAACATTCCTTGAATTTATGTGCATTTTTTCTCTAAACTCTCTCACAAGTGAACAGTGTCGACGTAAAAAAGTAAAATGTGACGGTGCTCAAACTATCTGTGGCAACTGTGCTTCTGCAAATTTACCTTGTACCTATAAAGAATCAACCAAAAAGGTAACAGACAGCTATGTGGATTAAATTGACTCATTTCGATAGAGAGGACCACCCAAAGGCTATATTGAAGCTATTGAAGGACGACTACACCGACTAGAAGCACTTTTGGGAAGCATTATTCAAGAAGACGATCCGCGTTCTCAAGCAATCTTGGACGAACTCAACTCTCCTCTTGAAACAGCTTATGGTGAAGTTGTACGTCCTAAGCCAATACACCCAAAATCATTTGAAGACAGTACAGCATTAAGACAGAACGACACCAAGACAGAAGACGTAGATAATGCAAATGATAATTTAGGAAATCTGTCAATCGACGAAAGTGGACAACTGCGTTACTATGGTAAATCATCAGGCTTTTATATGCTTCGTAGCAGCAAAAACTTTCAAAATGGTGCTTTCCATCTTAATTCCCGAGGTTATCATCGTACAAAACGACCTGACGGCCAAAATGTTCTGCCAAATCCATTAGCCGTTGATCCCTACGCTTTACCACCACCTGATTTGTCGAAACATTTGCTTGATTTGTACTTTGCCCACTTTTATCCCTTGCTACCTCTCCTGCACAAGAAATCGTTTTTGGAATCACTTGAATCTGACAAGCCACCACCACCCTTGTTGCTGAATGCTTTGTATGCTGTTGCTTCTCGTATTTCGCCTGATGTCAGAGTGAGAACAGATCCTACATTAAAAGATACAGCAGGCGATATCTTCCTGGAGAGAGCAAGGATCTTGCTAGATTTTGAATGGGATGATTATCGAGTATCCACCGTACAATCACTATTGCTTCTCAGCAGCCATCAAAATGGCGCCTTAAAGAACATTCGAGGATGGTTATACAGTGGATTGGTAAATATTTTGTGTCACTTTATTTTGTTACTCATCAACATTTAGGCATTTCGAATGTGTCAGAACTTGGGTCTGAATCGAAATTGCGATTCATGGAATCTGTCTGACCAAGAGAAAGAAGAAAGAAAGCGTGTGTTTTATTGCTGCTTTGTGGTAGATCGTTTAACGTGTGCTATGCATGGTAGAGCACCTATGATTGATGAACGTGATCTAGATACGCCTTATCCTTCTGAAGTAGACCAAGACGACAAGAACAACAATCCAACTATCATGGACAACTTTCATCAATTGATCAAATTATGCGAAATTCTGGGCGATATTCTTTGCCAATTGTATATGGTCAAAGGAAGAAAACAGTTAGCCATGATGGCTTCTCCGGATGATGTTATCTCCAAGCTGGATCGTGCATTGAATCGATGGATGGCTAAACTTCCTCCTTCTGTGCAATACAGACCACCCAACACTCGCATGGCAGAAAAGGCCCCTGCGCCTAAACTAGAACTTTGTCAGATCCATATGCTCTTCTACACTTCACTCATCTTATTACATCGACCCTTCATTCCTGGTCCCACACAAAAGACAGCACCCTCTGTATTTCCTTCTGCCTCTATCTGTACTTTTGCCGCCAACAAAATTCTGGATATTGTAGAGTCTCTGATGGCAGAAGGACGACTGAAGAATGTGAACAACTATGCGCTTTATTTCATGTTTACTGCTGGTATTATCTTTATCAATGACGCTTTATCTTCAGATGCCATGTTTGCATTTGAAGCCAAGATCAGCATCAACAAGATTATGCGTGCTATGGAAGAAGTAGAGACGACATGGATTACTTCTGCCCGTCATTGCAATATTTTGGGCGAGTTAGCAGGTTTGCGCGATATCAATTTAGAAAATGTGGATGAAGGGTATAACCGACCTCCTTCGCTTAAACCACCACAAGCACTTTCGATTGCTGTCCCCAACTCACCTACAATGGGATCATTGGATCCAGCTCCAGAGTCTTCGTTGCTTAACTTTAATCGTAATCCTATTGATATTAAGCACGGTAGAGAACAGAAATTTCCTGACTATTTAACGCAATATGACAACCATTCATCTAGCGCTAGCCATGACAGTAGGATGGATTCACCTTATACACAGCACCCACCAAGTTCAACACCGCCTCTTTTAAGCCACTCTTCCACAAATTTTAATAATTCTTCTCGAGAAGGCTCGACCATTGAGTTTAGTGGACCTAGAAAACGTTCTTCGTTTGATCCTATTGGCACCGCATTTTGGGGCGTACCCATGTCGTTCGATATTGATGAGTGGAATAGTTATTTTAGTAATCAGAATTTTAGAAGTCAAGAAGGGCAGATGGAAGGTAGACCCAGCGATACCAATTTTTATGACGGATCAACCAACACACCTATGTAAAATCCCCATGTATAATTCTTTCTTTACAATTGTAGTTTAATAAATATAGAAAAGATGATATCAAGCACAATAGAGACAAGATTCATAAAGAAGGGAGGTAGCGTGGCCATGAGGAGATGACCGCTGTTTTCATTATGTTAAAATGCAGCATCATTTATTGTTTATTCATCAGCCTGCATAAGTAAATGATATACTCCTGAACCTGTCATATGAGTCTAAGCAGGCAGCAGATCGTTTAACTTGACTCAAGCATTAATTAATGTGTCCTACTCCTTGCTTTCTGTATTCTGTTTTGTTTAGCAATGTATTTACGAACGATGTCATGCGTACATAATTAGTTTCTTTGTATGTTGAACTAAAACAAATATAAATACGATTTTTTTTTCTTTTTTGATTGTTACAGCCTTTCCAAAAAGAAAAGACAATGAAGCTTATACTTATACCCGTTGTGGCTTGCATTTTTCAGATTGCTTTTTCAATTAGTCTTCCCCACACTTTTGGTTCCGAATTAACAAGCATAAACCAGCAAAGCAATACCAACATGTATGTATATTGTCAAGCAAAAAAAAAAAAAAAAAAAAAAAAAAAAAAAAAAAAAAAAAAAAAAAAAAAAAAAAGTATGGATACTAAAACAGTTCATCAATAGCCATTTAATCAAAAGAAGATCCAAGCCAAAAAAAAGCTCACACAAAAATAAGACAGACTGTAGTAAGCGAGCATGTTCCTTAAAATTGAAGCCTTGCCCGAAAAAGTGCCCGCAATCCTGCGGGTATATAAGTAAGTTCATATTGAATATATTATTTTCTTATGCCATTGTGTCAATCTAGATTCGCCTGACTCATGTTGTCCTCTTCTTGGCACTCCTGTTTGTCCCAAATACTAAACATAGTTGTATCCATAAACCAAAAACAAGCTAGTTTAAAAAGAGCGATAAACAAGCAAGAATTGCTCCTAAACCTACCATACTCCATTATTAAGATAATGAGATAATAGAAGAAGTGATAGAAGTAATGTAATACTTACAAGATCATATTGTATACTTTGATTGTACAGTAAATATATATACTTCGACATTTCAATACTTATAGTTGCCCGACCTTTATTCTCATTAAACCCTATTCCAAATCTTACACTATTTATTTCTGCCTCTTTATTATTTTTGTTTCAATCAATCTATCGCATCTTTAAACAACGTACATGCCCGTCGAACAAAGGCTGTATAGCATGTAGAATATATCTTGTAATTAGGGTTGTTTCGCATATATCTGAGTCAGTGTGATATCAAACAAGAATCACATCTGGTTGCACCTTAGCGATAGCTATGATACGCTTTCCGACTGGATTCAAGCCAATGTAAACGCCAAGAAGCAAGTCTTGGAACTTCGTCAACGTAATTTGGATGCTCTTCGTGCACAAGCAAATGCCCCCGTCCTTCTCTCTGCTTGTAGGCCCTTTGTTGGTCTGATTGATCCTATCTTGCTGTTGCCTATGTCAATCTATGACCGTCAAAGAATTCTCCGTTGGCTTCTTGGGTGGACTCCAAAGTACACCTCTACCTGCTCATGTGGCACATCGCCTATCAGCCGAAGACATGTACTCCGTTGCATGCGCGCTGTTGAACGCTTGCGATTACCAGCGGATATACAGCCTAACCCAATTGATTATGTACTGAATCAATTGCCTAGAATACCACGCCCACCATGCCCAAAAGCTCAAAGACTTGACCGCTACACACGATGGTCAAATTGGCGGCCAACCATTTGTCAACTCTTGCTTGAAATTGAACTTGTGGATCTTCCCGACAAGGCTTTCTCAAACAAAGAAAAAGATACCTCTAGTATGACTTTCCTCCTTTGGCTGATACCCTCGCTTTATCCAGTACAGATAAGCAGCTGATACTCTCCTTCGTCCGGTCACGTTTCTACGCCTATTATGCAGCTTTTTTTCTCTATTTCTTCTTTTTTTATCTTTTATATGTTTCCTGTCTTTTTTTCTATATTTTTATAATTTTATAGTTTTTTTTTTTTTTTTTTTTTTTTTTTTTTTTTTTTTTTTTTTTTTTTGCACTCTCCTTTCTTTGAACTGATGGTTAGGCATTTACCCTATAGGGCCCAGTCTCCATAGCCATATAAATAAAATATAAACTTTTACCGAGTTAGTGTGATCCAACGGAAGTAATTGTATAAGCTGAGTTGCTGATATAATAAGCTTCTTATCCATATGATCATCCAAGATGCTTGCTAAGCTAAGCAGTGAAGCAGCTGCATTGATCCGCTCGACACTTTGATTGTATACGATTTGAGATACTTCGATAGTTTTCAGCAAAGCTTCTCCAGATTTTGGCTGAACATAAATGCTTGAACTGGAACGAATTGAATCCTTTTAGGTAATGAAGGAAGTCATGGTCTTAAAGATTGTAAAACGGCCTTCATCGGTAAACTAAGACATGCTTGATGAGATAGCGTCATCTGGCCAAAATCTCGAGGCAAGCGATCTACTGCGGCATATAACAGATAGATTGTTGAAACAAATAATAATTTTAAAGTCAGTCTTTTTTTTTCCAATCCAACAAAAAAGCGTACCGTGCCAAAAGAAGTACAATAAAAAGCGCACAAACAAGCGTTAGTTAGTCTCAATTATGCAGCATTTGAAGCAGGAAGAAGTTAGCTGTCTATCTAGCTGATTGATTCAAGAAGAAGTCACTAATGAAGTGCGACAACCTTGACTTGTAAATAAGTGTCAAACATGGTAGATCAAAACAATACTCTGTGAATGTTTTGACAAGCGTCTGTCGGCATGCGTGTTGAGGAAAAATATAGAACACATTTTAATAATTCAATAGTATGATTGTAAGTGTAACTCTAGAATTACGACGTGATAAAAAGAAGCAGCAGTTGAAATTTTTTAACGCGCGAGAGAATCCGATAGAATGATATGTTGTAACAAATAACCAATTAAAATCTTTGATTCATGCATAATTCTAAAATTACACTCAGGATGATTTTTATTGCTGGCAAGCACGTTTTCCAGTTACCAAAAAGAATTCAACTTGGTTTGAATGCATAAAATAGCTGGTGTAACTTTTGATGAGGCCTTGTTTCAAGCTAGATATCTGTGCACAATGCACACATAAAACAAGAAAGGGAAAGAAGATCATTTATGGAATCATTCGTCATCCATTGTTTTACATGCGGCTTTTAGTCTTTGTGGCCTTGTTTATGAAAGAAATGGGATATGTTGATATTTGTCACGATAGTAAGTTGCAGTGCGCAATAAGAAATGCTTATGTATTGTTATCATTTTTATAAGCAGTTTTTTGATTTTAACAGATCGAATAAACGGTAAAGAACTATTTTTCTTTATTTAGTCAAAATTACCTCTATTTACTAGATTGACAGGCCGTATAGAATTAGATTGGAAAAGTTCCGTTTTTATTTTTGAAAAAATAAAAAAAAATGTTTGATTACATCGAATAACATGGAAGATATACATGCTAGAATTGATCGTAAAAATAGCAAGCACCAATGGTAAAGATGTGCAACATCTTTTGATTAACTTACTAAAAAACCGAGCTTCTTTCTTGTTTTTCTCTCTATTTTTCTTCTGCTTTAGTTTATAAATGCAGTCCTCATAATGACTTTTAGTAGGGTATTACAAAAACAATCTACTTTAAGAATGACTTGTATTCACAAACATAAGAAAATGGAGAACAGATTTTGTTTTTTCTGGTTTTGAGCGGAGTGATGAATAATGTATTAGTTTTTTACCAAATTCTACATGATTTTACAAGTCAGAGTATCACTGAGAAATTCCTTTTGTATAAATTTCACACATGTTTCCAAGTTAGTCAAATGGCTTGCTTTTAGCTCCACATTCACTTGAAACTGTCCATAGACATTGAGAGCATATCATGGTCTTCTATACAACAATGGTTGTTTTTCTATCCTGAGCTTAGTATCTATTGAATCCTCTATATTACAATGCAATTTTTTCCGAAAACTCAAATACAGATGTAACATGATTGTGTAACAGTAGGAATAGCTTAAAAAAAAACGGCTGGATTGTTGCACATTTAACTTTAATCAAATAGTTTCCCTCTTTCCTTCTTTGTCTTTTCCCCCCTTTTCTTTTTTCTTTGTTGTTAATGTCTCATTTGATGAAAGAAGGCATTCTGTCTGTTGAAATCGAGCCTAAGGCCAGCTATTTAGACTTTACAGGCTCTATCAAAGAGCCCCTCAAGTCAACCTCTGAAGACGGTATTGTCAGCCATAGCCAGCTCTTGCGAGGTCGAGTTCGACTCAAGTTGGAAAAATCAATCAAGATCAAGTCCATGTCAGTCAAATTCAAAGGCGAATCACTTGTCAACCACACCTCCCAAGTGCCTAACAATCAATACCATAGCTACCAGCAACAACAGCAATACCATCCTCAACAGGATGTTTCTGCACCTATTCTGCCTAAATTAAAAACCAAAGTGCTCCAAAAATCTTCTATTTTGGAAGAAGGCGAACACTCGATTCCCTGGGAAATTGAAATTCCCAACATTTATCCTCGAAGTTTCTCTAACAAACGAGGTGTTGTACGATACAAAGTTGAATTGAAGATGGCAGTGGGTTACAACAGAACAATCACAGCAAGTAAACCTATCCTTATATGCCGCCATCTATTACCTTCCAAAGACATGGTCATGAATGTATCTACAAAGCGATATGAAAACACAATTCCAAACGGGTTTAATTTTGAGATCGAGACGCCTAAAACAATTTGCCTGGAGCAAGGCTATATGCCTGTTTTACTCAAGTTCAATTGTATTAACAACAAACCTGTAAAATTCATTTATACTCAATTTATTCAAGCGGAAATATATAGGTTAGCTGATTTTTTTTATTTTATTTTTCTGCGTGTTTACATATTATAAATAGATGCCGCAATGTGTCCAAAGCAGAAGCCGATATGGCTATCATGGCTAGCAAAAAGAACAGTACGATCGTTGGAAAACAGTTGTATAAATCGTATAAGAATGGCGATATTGGCCTGTCCAAATTCTTTAGACGTGTTCAACCTGTAACATTGAACACAATTGACTTGACCGACGAATTTACTTCAATGCCCTTGTTACTCAAACATAATCTCGATACGACATTAACGAATACAATTGAGTCCCCTCTTGTGGTTGTTTTACATCAGTTAGAAATCACATTCAATTTCGGACAAGAGCAGGATGAGATTCGTGCCAAGGTGCCAGTGGCAGTAACTTCGATACCAGATGCTTCAGGTTCAAGCAATAGCAGTATATACAGTACAGGCTCAACAAGTACAGTACAGAAATACACCATGGAAGCTCAGTTACACAAAGGTCCTCTCTCGATTGAAATCGTAGATACGTCTGCTAAACGAACCGAGCACCACCGAACCACATTGGATGAATCGACCATCAGTTCACTCAAAGACAATTTACTATTGAATTCGTCTGACAGTGAAAAAAGCATCAAGAAATCAGCATCAGACCAAAACTTGCGAAGAGTAAGAACAGCCTCTGTCAAGAGCATGGAAGTGGCCGTCAAGAAAGCTAGCAACAGACGATCAATTACACCACCTCCAAATTCACTCAGAATAGCTATCAACAAAGCAGCTTCCATCAATGGTGAAGCCAAGCCCAGAAGCCATTTAGAAATCGTTACAAAAAAAAGTAACAAATCCTTAGATGAAAGATATACTGTTCAAACACCTAAATCAGCGACTGCTACCACATTCTCTTCTTCAGTATCACTGAGCGATAAGGCATTGCAGCCCTTTAATACCTTTGTTGGCCTTCCTCCTCCTCCTAGACGCGCACGCAACAAGAAAGAGTCAACAGCCAGCGAAACAAGTGGGCGTGTTGGGCTTACTAGAACCTTGACCAACAGTAGTTCCTCTTCTACATCTTCTCGAGCTAATTCAATCAGCTCCTCTGGTTTTCTACAAACGACTGATTCCCTCACTTCACCTGATACATCATCATTCTCACCCCTTTCTCCTGGTAACAACAACACCAATAGCAAATCAAAACAGTTGCTAAATTCGAGCAAGAGTACAAATACATCCAATTCGTTTTCTTCCACTACTTCTTATTACCAATCAATCAAGAAAAGAGCCAACTCTATCGATACAAACCAGTTTCCTACCAGTCCAACACAGTCGTTTTCTTCTAGCCTACTAGACCACGATGGCTTAAGCTCAGGACCTTATTTCGCTGTTGACCTTCCTCCTATCCCTTCTCCTCCTGCTATCACTCGACAAAGACTACCCTCTATTCCACTCAACTCCCTTAATCTCAGTGAAAAAGATGAGCATAGGCTTACTAAAATGTATTTCGAAGATGAAAGTGATGAAGATGGAGAAATAGACAATTATGATTTTATGTTTGATTAATATGTAAATAGACTGAATAAAGTATAGATTTGTTTATTACTATTGTAAATGATTGAAAATGGTATAAGTTATAATGAATGTAAGGGGGTTTTATACGAGAGCCAATTCTAACGTCCAAGTTCTTCTTGCCCATAAACGAATGGATTGGCCTTCAATTTCTACAGAATTGCCATCCCACCAGCATTTCCTCTAAAATAAGCATGAATAAATAGATTTTAATGATGATCAAACTTACTGCTGGCTTTCTCCAAAACAAAAAGAGTTTTTGAGCAGTTGCCATATGATTGTTTGGACCAATCGTTTTTAACAAAACAAGAGCCATGCTTACAATCGTAGTACGCATTGGTTCAATTTCTCGATATCCCCAGTGATCATCGCGCTGGAAACCAGCATCACAAAGCATATCAATCAAATGCTGTTCTGCAACATTGTTCTCGCGCGAAATATTCTTTTGGAGTGCATCAAAAATAAGATCGTGTTGCTTTAGAAATTGTCCAGAGGCCAATTTAAGGTGCTTGGCATTCTGATTCTTTTGTGTAGGTAAACAGAAATACTCCAGTTCTTCACGGAGTACGATAATGGGCTGCTTAGTCAACAATGTATAATACACAGGCGAGGAAGCAGCAGAGGCAGCCAAGAGGCGCTGAAGGTCTGCATTCTGTTGGTTTTGGTCGCGCACTTGAGCAGCGTGTGTATAGAATTGCAAGACGTATTCGAGACAGGCAGGATCAAAATCGACAATATTCACTTGCTCGTCCATGCCTACCGAGTGTCCGTCATAATCTTCATCTTCCTCATCAAACTCTTCATTGGGCCGAGCTAAAACAAGTCCATTAGGAAACATGGCAATTAACAAGCTTTCTGGCAAGTTGACTAGCGTATCTCGGTGTAGTTCCATACGAGTGCCTCTCAAGTCTAACTTTAGTTTCTGAGGAATAGCATCGTGATTATCAAAATCGTCGAGCTCATCTTGTTGTTGTGGCTGTTGTGGTTGTTGTTGATAGATCAAGTCATCACTAGTATATGTTTCCTCTGGCTCTGCCACCTGTACAATAGGTGATTCAGAAGACATAACAATAAAAAGTTATAGAAGGGGGGGGAGGGAGAAAAGAGAAGAAAAAGCACCAATTTTATCTTGCTCGTTTTTACTATATAAAAAGAGTTTATTTGTGCAACTTGTATTTCCATTGTGAAATAATAATAAAAAAGGACTCATTGTGCATAGAGATTCAAGCAGAAAAAAAAAGAATAGTCTGTTATGGAATAGCTTCCATTGAGCATTATGACATGGTGTTTCTAGATGAGGTTTTCTTTATTTCTATGATATAGTATCTATGTGTTTTTTGTATGTGATATGGGCAGCACTTCCATTGTGTTCTCACAAGCCTTTGATTCACCTTGATCTACTTCTCGTTTGGCTTGTTGATACATCCACAGACCCACAAATGTGAGCGCAATACCCACACTTTGGATCAAACTGACTTGTTGTCCAAACCATACAATACTCATTACAATCACAAAGATACGCTTCACAAGTGATGCAATAGAATAAGTAACAGGAGACGACATGGCCAATGTTGTAAAAGCAAACCAACTTTGTGCAAAATGGGCTGTACCATTCAATAAGAAATAACCCACCAAACGAGCCTTGCTCACCTCCATCATTGTATTGCTATTGAACATCAATCGAAATCCATCAGAATATAACCAAAGAGGAGCCATCAAGACAAAAGCAATAAGAGAAGAATAGAACATCATGTTCATTTTGTCCAGTTTGTTTGGATTACCAGCACCCATCTTTGATTCTTTAAAGAGAAGCTTTTTGCTGAATATGTTTTGCAAAACAAAGATCAAGCAAGAGATCAGGGCACACGATAAACCAATAATATTGTCAGATAATGTAAAGCTGCAAGCAAGAATCACACCAAAAGTCAGGGGTATCAATGCAGTATATACTTTTGATGAATATTGTACATGAAAAATGAATCGATAAAATAACACTGTAAAAAGTGGTGCCAATGCCTAATCAGAGTTAGCATCCTGACATACTGATTTTTGTTTACTTTAATGGTATGCACCAGACTGACAGGAATACGACTAATAGATATGCTTGAAAATATATGTCCCACAATCATAAACAAAGATAATGGTGCAATTGTTTGAAATATGATTCTAGTAGGCTTCTTGATACCAGTAGACCGAGATACCAGTTGCTCCATGATAGCGCACCAACAAGCAACAAAAAAGAATTGGGCAAATGTTAATGTCACTGGGTATTTGAACACATTCATGATTTGTTTGCCTGTATTGCTTGAAAAAGATGAACTCAAGTACCATAGAAAGCAACAAATAAGAAACTTGGAGCTTTCAGATAACGAAAAGTGATGCGCGCTAAAGCTAGATTGTACAGATGAGGTGAAGGATTTAAAGGTAGCTTGCTCTTTTTCTAGAAACTGCCCTTGTTGCTTTTTCCCCAGGGTAATGTTGTTAAAAAACCTTCGTTGAGAGGGCTCGTTTATAGATGCTGATAATAGCGTTGTCATGGTGATAAGGTGTCGAGAAGAAAGAAATCTTTTTTTTTTTATTTTAAAGCCCAAACCATCAAATCATGATTTGGCTGAGTGCTCTTTTTTTTTTTTTTAGCTCAGATGCTTTAGATGATCGACAAGTCTTCTTTTTTTTTTGGCTTGTAACGAAGTATGGTATTCTGTACATGCAAAACAAGCTGTTTTATTATTGATCATGTTGTGAGTATATCTCTAAGATAGTGAGGATAGTATATGTATATGTAACAAAATTATTTATAAAAACAGAATTCTTAAGCCAACAAAGACTTTCCGGTCATTTCCTTGGGAATGTCAAGACCCATATAAGCAAGAACGGTAGGAGCAACATCACAAAGAGCACCTTCAACACCCTCAGCAAACTTGGCATCCTTATCAGCCATGACGAAAGGAACCTTGGCGCAGGTGTGAGCGGTGAAGGGGCTCTTACCATCATCAGCAAGCATCTTTTCAGCGTTACCATGATCAGCAGTGACAAAGAGAGCATAGCCGTTCTTCTTACAGGCTTCAAGAACAACACCAATAGCCTTATCAGTGGCAGCAACACCCTTGACAGCAGCTTCATAGACACCAGTGTGGCCGACCATATCAGGAGGGGCAAAATTACACATGACAAAGGGATACTTGCCAGATTCAATAGCTCCAGAAACCTTTTCAGCAACACCTGCAGCATTCATTTCAGGTTGAAGATCGTAAGTGGCGACCTTAGGAGAAGGAACCAAACCACGGTCTTCACCTTCAAATTGAGCTTCACTACCACCGTTGAAGAAGAAGGTAACGTGAGCGTACTTTTCAGTTTCGGCAATGTGCATTTGAGGAACACCGTTCTTGGCCAACCATTCAGCAAGAACATTGTCCATGGATTGAGCAGGGAAAGCAACCTTGAAGGGGAAGTCGCTCTTGTATTGAGTCATGGTGAAGATTTCAACATTCTTGGGCACAGGAGAGTCGAAGGGAGGAGGAGAAATACCGAAAGCTTGAACAATTTCACGCATACGATCAGAACGGAAATTGAAGGTGAAGATGGTATCACCATCCTTGATTTGGCCTTCTTCGTTAATAATGATAGGCTTCAAGAATTCATCGGTTTCATCATTTTCATAACGAGCTTCAATGGCCTTGACGGGATCTTCAGCTTTTTCACCCTTGGCTTGGGTCATACCTTCAAAAGCAATTTGGATACGTTCCCAACGCTTATCACGATCCATAGCATAGTAACGACCGTTAATGTCAGCAATCTTACCGTAACCAAGTTCCTTAAGAGAGTCAACAAGTTGAGCCATGTACTTGGCAGCAGACTTGGGGGCAGTATCACGGCCATCACCAAAGAAGTGAATGTAAGCTTCAGGAACACCAGCTTCCTTAGCGGCTGTCAAGAGAGAAACAAGGTGATCGATATGACCGTGAACACCACCATCAGACACAAGACCCATAAAGTGAAGACGACCGTTACCATTGATAGCGCGATCGAAAGCACCCTTGATGTTTTCAATTTTGCCAAATTCCTTGTTTTTCATGGCGAGATCGATACGAACAATATCCTATAATATAGTTAGCTCGCGTTACTTTTAAGAATTACGTTTATATACCTGATAGACGATACGACCGGCACCAATGTTAAGGTGACCAACTTCAGAGTTACCCATTAAGCCATCGGGCAAGCCAACAGAAAGACCGTGGGCAGCAATGGGAACGAAAGGTTCTTCCTTTTCGAGCTTATCCATAACAGGTGTTTCAGCATTACGGATAGCATCACCCTTAGGATCAGATTCGGGAGAGATACCCCAACCATCAATACAGATAAGGCAAGCCTTGTTCTTGGGAGTTTGCTTACTCTTAGGCATTTCACCACCACCAGTCATTTTGTATAATTATTGAATTCTGTTATGAAGAAAAAAGAAAAAAGAAGAAAAAAAAGGTTTAGAAGTACATGTATTTTGATACACGAAACGTGTCACAAAAAAAGTGACGCAACTTTATATTTGATCATAAAGATTGTCTTGATTGCATCTTTTCATTCTACAACACTAAAATCCTTTCACCTTGTGTTGTATTTTTCATTTATTTTAGTTGGAAAATGTAAAACCCGCTGTCAAATAAAGATAGAGAAACATATATCTTGATACTTGTTTACGACTATTTCGTCATAATGCGTTTTACTTCATAGACGAAAAAAAAATTGCATGTTTCGAAAAAAAAAAACTGCCTCTTCATTTTATTCTGCTCCTTCTCATTTAATAGCTTTTTTTTTTTCTTTGCGATGTCAATCGACACGCCGTCAATTACGATAGACGAAAAAGAGTCAATTGAACTGACGCTGGTATTGTTTGTATGGTAAATAAGGTGCTTAATTCAATTTTAACTGTGTGTAGCTGGGTTTGATGATAATCAAGATAAAAGATTTTGGATAAAAACGGAGTTAGATTTTACCATCAATAATGCAGATAAAATTCTTCTGATTTTGACTGCATTTACATTGACAACTGTACCAGCCATTTTGAGAGTCTAGTTAGCAGCGATGTTATTAAAGAGATTATTATTACGTGCTTGTTTGTTTAGATCGATTCCCTAAGATTAAGATGTAATTTCTTATTTTTTCTCTCACGTATTTCTAACACTTGTATGTCATAATAAATTTAACCATATCCTTACTTTTGTCTCAGGACATCTGTATTATCTTATGAAACTTAAGTATAGTTTCCTATAGCATTGATAAATTGATCATATCACATTTGACAGATTGTGAAGAATTCAAATATCCCTAGTTTTTCATATTTAAACTTGGCATTTGTTTGTTTTGTCAATATTGCCTGTTTCCTTTTGTAGCAAGATAGGTTTAGATATTGAATCAATGAGTAATCAGGTTATTTTTTTGTTAAGAACTTTTTTAAACACAATTGCTTTTGCGAAAACAAAAGACGACACAATAATATTCACAAAAAAATAAAATGTTAAAATTCTGATATGTTGTACCTTTTTTTTTATCAAGACGCACCAACTGACATAAAAAAGTGTGGATGTCAAGCTATATTTTTTAAATTGCTTATGTAAGTTCAATACGAGCAACACGTGTATTATATCAAAGTGTATCTTGGTCGTCCTATCGCTGTCAGATCATGATATAAGACCTGTTTAGTAAAGCATGGTTACATTACAATTTTTTTCTAGATAAGTCACCCAGAAGAATTATATTTACTTACTATATTTGCTTACAAAAGAAAAAAGCTAAAACTTTATAAACATAATTTATGCAATAAATTAGTCCCTGAACAATTGTTTATTTGACTTTCATAACAAGAGCGTCATACACTTTTTTGAAAAAAAAAAGTATTGTTAGTGCTTGAGGATTTCAAAGAAATTGATATCTATTTATAAAAAGGATGACAATTATAGTTTATTAAACGCCACTTCTTATCTGTAAATTAGGGTTACAGACCATATGAACATGCAGAATGATAAGCAAAAACAAACTGATACAGTTGTCAGTTTTGATGACAATCGAGAGCTTTTCATCTAAATAGAAGCAAAAAGAACATATTTTCTTTCCTTGCATAGGTTTGAGTATTTGAATTAAAAGTTAGAATTGACATGCTGTTTGAACACAAACACACTATTGACAAGCGACAGTAAAGAGCGCGGTCTAAGTTTTTTAGTAGATGAGAAAAAAAAGCTTCGTGTTACTTTTAAATAATAGGAAAGAAACTGCTAATACGCTGAATTCATGCTTGAAGGTCAACTAGATTAGTTCTAGACAGCGAGTTTCGATTTTTAAATTAAAACAAACTATTTCTCACAAAAAAAAAAAGGCTTGTAATTAAAAAAAAATCCTAAAGGGTAGTCTATGTTCCCCGAAAAAAAAATGACAGTTGCGTAACAGCATGGTTTTATTTATTTTCATGACAGAGAAAGCGAAAGCGAAAGCAAAAAATACAATCTACACATAAAGAACGATGTTTTATGAACATGCTTACTTGATTGTATGGAAGGAGAACCATGATAAACAGCTTGAGATGTATTCACATTGGTAGTACTAATGAACCTTATTCGTATTTTCGATCCAGTTCTTTAAAGCCTTTTCACCGCAACATGTCAGAGACGTGATTACAAGAGAAAAAAAAGCATTGTAAAATAAATGACTAATAAACCGAGCGGTAATATATTTTCTTAGTGCTATTGAATAATAAAAATATAGATCTGCCAATGATAAAGAAATAAAGAATAATATCAAGTTCACAGACCATACAAAGATTGATAAGCACCAATTAAACAAGCGGCTATAGGTAGCACAGCTATGAGGGTTCTTGTGTGACTAACTAACATGAAAGAGTAAGTTTGCCTCGGCACTCTCAATCATTTTTGGCGCCTTATATTCATCCTCATCTGACATTCAGATTTTCTGTATGGTTCTTATGAACGTGAATTTAGCAAGTTACACAATAGCATATGATCTTTCTTTCTATCGCTCTTCTAGTTAATTAAAAGATAGAATGAAAACTCTAGACTATTTATGTGTTTATTGTATACAATACTATTGAGTTAATAAAGAAGACAAGTTTAATTTTAGCTAGTTAATGTCGTATTTATCAGAAACAAGATTGGTAAAAAAAAGAAGTGTATTTATTGGAGCACATGATTAAAAACAATACCAATTCGACATTTTATCTTGTTTACGATAACACGCTCATTTTCAAATAAAAAAGATTGCTGGGTACACAAATCAATGTATCACTAGTTATTTTGAATTATTTTATTTCGCATTATGAAATTTCAAGGCTAAATGCCATCAGAAATACCAAATGAATACTAAAATTAGTATCAATTGCTTATTGTTCAATATAAAAGGTGAGGGGAAGGAAATAAGGAAGGGAAATAAGTAAAAGGCGGAGTAAAACAAAATGATAACAATCCTCGGAAAAGTCGGGAAAAGCTTAAAGCCTTAATTCTTGAAGATTTTGTTATGGAGATAATTGTGAAAGGCAAGAGGTTTACAAGTAGGACAAGTACGTCCTTTAGAGAAATACAAGTGGTTATGAATCTATTCTCCTTTTTTGCGAATATGAGCATGCACCCAATCAATGAGTTTCGAGTTGGAAGTGGTTATTTGTGTAACTGAATTTCTAATATCTCTTGCCTTTACGTTACAAATTTTTCCCATCACTTTTTCTTTCGCTTTTGTATTTTTTTTTTAAATTACAACAATAATAATAAAATTTTTTAATAATCTAATATGCCTTTTGATACAGTAGAAAGATCAAATAAAAGAATTAGACCAGATTTATCAACACCTACTGCAGACGATGACTGGTACATGCAACCAACATTCGAAATCATAAACACAAAATATCAACAAGAAGAACAACAGCAACAACAACAACAGCAATACCAACAACAAGGAAATTGGCTTAAATCATACCCTTTTCCACCAATGGATTATGTACTTCCAGTTACCCCTGCTGCCATGCCCATAGACATTCCTTATTCAAACCACCATCAGTCAGATTATTTCGATGCAAGCCTTTCGCCTCAATCAAACACATTCTGGCAAGATGATAACACAAGTACTGTTTTATCTGAAGCTACTCAGAGCCCAGTTCACCGTACTTCCATCTCATCTTGTGCATTTTCTCCTATAACACATCATTCTTCTCCACCAAAGCCTTTGGTCGACTCACTTCCAAGTGATTTAGTAACCAAAAATCCTATTTTAACAGACGTTTTATCAAAAGTAAGGTTTTCTTACAGCGATGTCGGAATCAATCTTGAAGCCAAGATTTCAAATGCATCGGACTTGCGCTCCTTGATTGATGCCTTTAGCCAATTGTGTACCTCATCAACCACATCTTCATCTTCATCCTCCTCCTGTTCTTCTTCAACAGCCAGCAATCATGAATTAGACCCATCAAAAACAATGGACAACATTTTACTCTACCGTAACAAAAACAACCAGACAAAACCAGTCAATTTCTTTGCTTCTACCTGTCGCCTGGGTCAGATCGCCAACCCTCACTCAAGCCTGGACTCAGTCACAAGCCTTGTTCAAATCGCGGATGCCTGCATTGATACTTACTTCTCTTGCTGGGTGCGGTTTAAACCTGTCTTGCAAAAAGAAAAATTTATGGCCTGGTATCGTGCACAAAATAACCCGACTGACACACTGATTGTCAATGCTATCTGTTCCTACGTCTTTCGTCACATGATCATTCATCACCCAAGAAATGGGTTTGAACATTTCTTGACTGATCAAGACAAACTACAAGAACAAGAAGAGTATTTCTTTAGCCGTGCTCGTGAATGCCTTTCTCAATCGTTTGATACACCCGATCGCTATACGGTAGTCGCCTTGCTGTTTATGAGTATTCGTGCTGAACCTACAAAACGTCATCATTATGCTGGCATGGCTGCCTCTGCTCTTCATGAACTTGAAATTTATCCTCGTATGGTGAATGAAGATGTTGACTCCTATGAAAAGGAGATGGACACTCGCTTATGGTGGTTTGCTTGGGCTATTGACTTCTCACTCTGGACAGCTGGTTCACCCAAAAATACACCACAACCTCGATACCCAGGTCAGGTTGACTTGCCTCAGGTGTTTGAACAAGACATTGACGACACAGAAATTGGTGTTATTACATTTACTCAATGTCTCAAGCTTTGGCAGATTCAAGCCGATATTGTGGCTGCTCTTTATGATCAAGAAAGCTCTGTCCTGACAGTGGAACAATTCAAGGAATATGACAAGCGTCTGCTTAATTTCTATCAATCTTTGCCTCAGTATCTTTTATTTGACAGTGGGTTTGAATATGGCTGTGAAGACCTTTTTTTGGCTTGTCTCCGTGTGAACATTGAATACAATGCAACTCGTATTATTCTGCATAAATTATTTATACCTGAATTGAATGATACAAGACCTAGTCAAGCTGCTCTGGATTCGCTGAATGTCTGTCTCTCAACCGCACTGACTCAATTGAGTGCTATCAAGACATGCAATATGGCTGATGTGGGTCGCTGCGCTTTTGATCGAGATGAACTATGGCGTGCTGCTGAAGTGATTTCGATTGCCATGAGCATCTATCGTACCTGTGTATCTCCTGCTGATCAAGCCAAGATTCTAAACGGTATTCAAATGGACGACTTCATGACTGGACTTCTGAAATCGTATACTGTGCTACAAAACACAAGAGAATTTCGGTTTTCATGCAAGAACTGGTTCCAAGTAGCTGATTGGATTCAAGTAGAAATACGTCGACATCAATTAGAAGGAACAATGCATGCATCACATCAAAATGAACCTCACAAAAAGAAGCAACCAGACTACTTTTTAGCTCATCTGAAGCCCAATGCTAAACTCAACAACCATGATCCTCATCCTCATGAGAAATCACTCTCACCACCATCATTACCACAGACACCACAAATGACAGCATCTTTATTACCAAAAAGAATACAAAAAAGCCAATCTCTTTTCAAAACCAATTCAGTGTTCAGCAACAGTCATCTTCATCTATCAACACAAGGAAATCTTCTTTCTCCACTGCACCTCCATTTGTACAATTCAATGCATATGTTCCACCTGATCAACAGCCTCAGCCAACAAATGGTAAAAGTCCTGCTCGATTCCGTTACTTTAATCCTAGAAAGATGAACAAATTCTTATTTATTGATGAGCATCCTATGATGTAAAGTTGTATATTACTATGTCTATGTCTATGTTTATGCTTATTGTGTATATATCTTACTATGAATAAACAAATTAAAGTCACATACTTGTCAGCTGATGCAAGCTTTTAAAAAACAGGACTATTTTCTCCTTATTTTCTTTATCTTTTTTTTTTTATACATATTATGCTGACATTATTTGCAGTGATATTGATCATAGGCATGATTGTCTTCTTTCTTATCGCTGTGTTTTTGATATGCTTTACAAGGTCTTCTTCTGAGTCTGCTATCTCTCTTGGAAGTTATATAGAATATGAAGACTGGCCAGTAGACCCAGACGACTCTATAGCTACTTTATCTGAAGACGCAAGGTTGAGTTATGAAAGAGCAAAAGGTGATATATAACACTCCAAGTCACAGATTTGACTAAAACATAAATAGTATTTCAAGACAGACACCCACCAGACAGTGTTCCTACAGATATTACACCACCTCAATTTATATCGATTCAAGAAAAAGGCGTGTCTGCATTTGAATTTGAAGGAGAACCTGATGCAAATGTGTATGTGGCTGGCAGAACAGAATTACAATTTATGCACGGTGAATGTTGTATACAAACAAATCTTCCTTTACCAAGGCACCAAGAAGTATATTACTGGGAGGTAAATCCAACCTTACAATTAATAGTTGAATAACATGTTTTATTAGGCAAAAATGTTCGAGAAACCTGAGACAACAACTGTGTCTGTCGGGGTGGCTACAAAGCCATATCCTACTTGGAGACTGCCTGGTTGGAACAGATATTCAATAGGGTATTTCTCAGACAGTGGGTACAAGTTTTTCTCTTCTCCATTCAATGGTAAACCCTACGGTATACCTTTTCATCGTGGAGACATTATTGGTGTGGGTTATAGACATAGAACGGGTACTGTCTTTTTCACAAGAAATGGCAAACGACTAGAAGATGCTTATACTGGCTTACGCTGGAATTTGTTCCCTACGATAGGTGCCAATGGTCCCTGTCAAATTCATGTCAATCTGGGGCAGTCAGGATTTGTGTTTGTCGAAGCCAACGTCAAGAAATGGGGATTAGCACCTTCACAAGGCACATTAGCTCCTCCGCCTGCTTATGGCCTTGAAAATGATACCATTCTCTTAGCTACGTCTGGTGGTCAACTGTCAAGCAGTAGTAGCAGTAGTCGACATGATTCAGACAGCTATTCGTTACAATTTAGACCTTCTGAAACCTTAATCACTATTGTAGACAACGAAGATTATACCGCATCCTCTATACCAAATCCTCCTCCTTACCAGCATACCATTATTCAGCATTCAAATGAAGAAACACTTTTAGATTAAGTTTATTATATATATATATATATATATATATATGTGATTATCATTAAACATAAGCCAACACAAGTGCAGCAGATGGAACCAAGTTCAATTCTTTCAATGTCTTTTGATGGTCATCAGTACTAAAGGTCTTTCTAGGGAATGTGGTAGACAATGTGAATGAGCTGCTACATCCTTGTGTCTGTAAATAATCAACTACTTCTTGTAACGCTGCTGACGCGTCAAATGTGTGTGTAATTGGACCAGATCCAGGAACACGAATCTTGTTATGCATATAAGTACTACAGAACAAAATATGCCTTACTTACCTGAATTCTTGCTTCATTGTATTCCTTTTTTACCGTAGGCTGAGAAGGAGCATTGGCTGCAGCAATTTCAGCTTGTTGAGCCTGTTCCGTTTGTTGAGCTTGCTTCGCTGCTTTCTATTTAAAGATGGATAAATCTACCTAGTTTATCTACAAATTTACCTTGGCTGCGCGATCCCTCTTGTCTTGTTCAATTTGTGCCTTCACTCTGGCCTTGGCAATCTTTTCTTCTTCCTTTTCTCTCTTTTTCTTTTCCAAAGCCTTTTGAATTTCCTTTGCCTCCAACGCTTCTTTTGCATTTGTGATTTCTTGACCTGCTTTTCTCCTGATTTTCTCAGCTTGTTTTCTTTCTTCCGCTTCTTGTTGCTCACGGTTAGCACGCTTAGCTGCCATGCGTGCCTTGAGTTCAGCGAGCTTGGCCTTTTTTTCTTCTTCTGTTAAAGGTTTAATGGCTTCTGTACTCTCAGCAAAATTTTGATGTCCTGTACGAGTTGCGTGTAATTCAGCACCTGTAGCGTCACGGAAAAGCTTTTGACAATCATTACAAATGAGACTTTGGGCTGTTTGTTCGCCTTGTTTTATTTCGCCTAGAAACACACACATATATATATATCAGTCATATGTATTGCGCTTGTTGCTCTAACCTTCTTCTTCGGGTTGCTTTTTATCAGACTCAGAAGCCGTGTCTAAAGCTTGTGCAGGAGTTATTTCTTCTTCCGGTTCGTCAGATACTTCAGAGTGTTCTAAAAGCCTAAAAATAGAGAAAAAAATTACAAGCTGTATCTATACAATAAACTCGTACCAGTCCATAGCAGGTTGAAGTCCTGCCCCGTTAGTAGCTTTCATAGCTTTCTTTCTACAGCAAGTTTATTTAAAAAACATAAAATAAAAAACCTTACACTTTATTGAGGGAGAACCCCATACCCACAAGCGTATCAATATCACTTGCCATATTATAAAGAAGAAAAAAAGAGAAATAGAAAGACAAACGATGACGAATTTGTTTTTACCAACAAAAAAGGGCGTCACATCATTTGATGCATGATTTTATTTTTCTTAAAGAGTAAAGCGAGGAGGTGCACGAATGGCTTCTATCATTTGATAATGAGATTGATCAAATTCATGTTCAATTTCTTGGTCTATTTGCTTGAACGCAGAGGCAATATGAGATCGAACCAGCGATACTGTAGAGCAAGAGAATTCATTGTCATTGGCAAATAACCGAGTGGTTTTTTCAGATTGTGTCTCGGGTAACACAGGTAAGACATCCACTGTATCTTGATTGGCATAGGAGTTTATGATCTTTTCGTCATGGTTTAGAAATGTAAGTGTCGTAGGCGTTACAATATGTTCTTCTTCAGAGTCATCAAGAACTGAAGTAGAGGATGGAAGAGATGATTGAGACGACTTTAAAGAAGTATCGATAATGCTTGGCAAAGGACTTGGGTTACTTTTATAGCTGCTACTACGAACAAGTTTTGAACTAAAGCGTTTAACTCGGGATGTCAGTGTCGATGCTCTCTTTAACGGTTTTTCTGTATTGCTTCTAGAAAGCGATATAGGCATTATATGAAAAAGAAAAATAAGAGAGAGAGAGGGAGAGAGAGTAAAGAAAAGAAAAGGAAAGAAACGTATGTGTCTGATGGTGGTCTAATCGCCGTCATACCCCCTCACGTTGTCACTGTTTGTGTGACAATAGCCAATCAAAGACCATTAACCCTTTCCATTTTGATAGTTATGGCCTTAACAAATTGAGTGCATATAGAGAATGAGAAATCTAGAATCTCATGTGGCATCTATTGAGCGTTAATTGGTTTATTTAAATGAATTCAAGTCGAGCGAAACAACGGTTACTGTGACACAAACATCCCTTTTTTCAGGTCAAAGGAGCAAAGACACCCAATAAAACGCTTTTTGTTGATCACTACTATATTGAATATTTAAAACACAAAAGTAACTTCAGTCACTGCTAGAGAACACTCGTTTTTGTTTATTACCCTATCTTACAATTGTCTATAAAAAAATCTAAAGAGACATATAAAAAGACTAAAGCACTGTATCACTTTGTTCGTCCTGAGCCTCATTTCCAGGAATTTCACCTTGTTTTTTAGGAGATAATTGAGCTGTCAAACAATTGGCTCCTTGCTGATATTCGGTTGATTCTGCTTGAAAGACATTTTCTTTTTGCTCTAAATACTTTAAAAGTTCTTCTTCCGAGATCTCTTCGACAATCTCTACTTCTTGATCTTCATATTCTTCAGGATCATATTCAAAATCTGAAGGTAAATCACTCTTATCGTCAGGAAATTCAGGTAATTCACTTGTGTCTTTGGCTGCTAAACGAAAAAGACGTTCTTCAATAGAAAGGGGTTGTTCAGACATTATAAAAAAAAGAAAGAAAAAAAGAGGCTTATACAGGATTAGAGTTTAGCAAAATAAGGTTTCTTTATACAAAAAATGAATCTTTTTTTTTTTCACTTTTTAAAAATCAATTAATATACTTTTAAAAAAAAGATACTCTAGCTTATGGAAATATTTAACGACGTTGAGAGTAAACGTGAGCGAAAGCACGGGTAGAAGCACGCTTCAACTTGGATTGGGCAGCCTTAAGGTCATCAGCCTTAGCTTCGTCAGCAGAGATTTCCATGAGTTCCATAGCTTCAGCAAGAGCAGTCTCAATGGCTTCACGGTCACCACGACGGAGCTTCATGTTGACGTTAGGGTCAGAGATGTTGTTTTCAACTTGGTAGACGTAAGATTCGAGGTCTTGTCTGGCTTGAACAACAGCTTCACGTTCCTTATCAGATTCAGCGTTCTTAGCAGCATCTTCAACCATACGGTCAATATCAGCAGCAGTAAGACGGGCAGAGTTGGAGATAGTGACATCAGCCTTACGACCAGTGGTCTTGTCTTGAGCAGTAACCTTCAAGATACCGTTGGCATCAATATCGAAGGTACAGAGGAGTTCAGGAGTACCACGAGGAGCAGGGATAAGACCAGAGAGGGAGAATTCACCGAGAAGGTTGTTTTCCTTTGTCATCAAACGTTCACCTTCGTAGACAGGGAAAGTGACAGTGGTTTGGTTATCAGCAGCAGTGGTGAAAACCTTGGACTTTTGACAAGGGATGGGGGTGTTACGGGGAACAACAACAGCCATGATACCACCTTGCATTTCAACACCTTGAGAAAGAGGGACAACATCCAAAAGAAGGAGATCTTGAGTCTTTTCGTTACCGGCTTGGTTGGTGAGGACGGCAGCTTGGACAGCAGCACCGTAGGCAACAGCTTCATCAGGGTTGATAGACTTGTTCAATTCCTTACCGTCAAAGAAGTCTTGGAGGAGAGATTGGATCTTGGGGATACGGGTAGAACCACCAACAAGGACAATTTCGTCAACCTTCTTCTTGTCAATCTTGGCATCCTTGAGGACACGTTCGACGGGTTCAACAGTACCGTTGAAAGCGGTGGAGTTGATTTCTTCGAACTTGGCACGAGTGATGTTGGATTGGAAGTCAACACCATCGAAGAGAGAGTCAACTTCAACAGTGGTTTGAGTCAAAGAAGACAAGGTACGCTTAGCACGTTCGGAAGCAGTACGGAGACGACGGAGAGCACGAGCATCACCAGTGATGTCCTTCTTGTGCTTACGCTTGATTTCTTGAACAAAGTGGTTGACGAGGTTGTTATCGAAATCTTCACCACCCAAGTGAGTGTTACCAGCAGTGGCCTTGACGGCAAAGACACCACCAGAGATAGTCAAGAGGGAGACATCGAAGGTACCACCACCCAAATCGAAGATGAGGACGTTACGTTCCTTCTTGTCATTAGCATCCAAACCGTAAGCAATGGCTATATAATTCATCGTGTTAGATGCCAATTTTTATATTCTATAAACTTACCAGCAGCAGTAGGTTCGTTGATGATACGGAGGACTTCGAGACCAGAAATGGTACCGGCATCCTTGGTAGCTTGACGTTGACTGTCGTTGAAGTAGGCAGGGACAGTGACAACAGCCTTGCTGACCTTCTTACCGAGCTTAGCTTCAGCAATTTCCTTCATCTTGATAAGAACCATAGAAGAGATTTCTAATAGATATTATTAGCAAATAAATCTATCGTTTTCGAATACTTTACCTTGAGGAGAGTAGGTCTTGGTTTCACCTTCGAATTCGACTTGAATGAAAGGAGCTTCATTCTTGTCAACAACAGTGAAGGGCCAGTTCTTCATGTCATCCTTAACTTCGGGATCATCGAAACGACGACCGATAAGACGCTTAGCATCGAAGACGGTGTTCTTGGGGTTCATGGCGGCTTGGTTCTTGGCAGCATCACCAATGAGACGCTCGGCGTCAGAGAAGGCAACATAAGAAGGAGTAGTACGGTTACCTTGTTCGTTGGCAATGATTTCAACACGTTCAGATTCCCAAACACCAACACATGAGTAACTATAGAAAAGTATAAGAAGCTTTTTTCTTGTTTTCTAGTTCATATACTTTACGTTGTACCCAAATCGATACCGATGGCACCCTCGTATTCGGCAGACATATTAATTTTTTACAAGAAGAAAAAAGGAAGGATTGTATCTGTTCTAAGCTCAGAAATCATTATATGCTCTCGAAAATTTTTTCGAGGCGAATTTGTGACTGTTTTATCAGGGTGGCTTATAGACCTAGCAAACACTAAAAAAAATGGTCATGTTTATGCATCTCGATAAGTTTATTCAATGATTTCTTCAATTTCGTCAATGACTTCTTCCACCCATTCTTCAACCACTTCAGACTTGCCTTCATCAGCCAATTGAACTTGCTTGCCTGAGGCCTTACGTTCTTCTTCAAGCTTACGTTCAGTAGTCTTTCTCCAGGCATACCATTCTTCAATAGCCTTTCTACGCTCAGCATGAAGTTTGGCAGCAGTAGCATCACCAATAGCGAGATCTTCTTCATCGAATTGTTTAGAATATTGACGGAGGTTCTTCTTGATCTTCTTCTTTTGTTCAGCAGTCAATAAGCTTTCAGGGCGAGGACGCCACAACAATTGCTTGAAGTTTTCAATGTTTTGCTTGAACAAGAGTTGACCCTTAAAGTCCCAAATACAGAAACCATGGTCAGCAGAATGACGCCACATACTGGAACCAGTAACGACATAACGACCAGTAGGATCCCATTCAACATCGCTGACACCATAATGATCTTGTGTAGACAAGAGTTGAACACTGGCACCCACATCGTTCTTGTTCTTCTTGTCGCTTGAAAGGGGTTCAAAATCAATATCGTAGAATTCGAGATCAAAGACAGAAGAAGAACGCAAAGTAGCCAACACAATGTTGTGGCCCTTGGGAGACCAGAAAAGGTAGTTAGCAGTCTTCTTATCAAGAGACTTCATCAATTTGAAACCAGCATTAGCCTTCTTGGAAGTGTCAAGGTAGAAGAACTTGACATCAGTCTTAATAGTAGCAGGGTTTTGACCTTGAGCAGGAGTAGCACCATAGTTAGGATCACTGGTAGTGATGGTAGCAAATCTTTCGCCATAAGGTTCCCAAGCAAAAGCAAGCATGGGGTCCTTCATTTCAATTGTTTCAACAGGAATGTTCTTTTCCTTGACACGGAAGATTTCAATGTTGGAGAAAGTAGACTTCTTAGTCTTGGTATGACGGTCAACCTTGACAGCCAAGAAGTGACCTTGGTTTTGCCAGTAAAGCTTACATTCTGAGACATTGAACAAGTTCTTTGTAGCAATAACTTCCTTGGAGGGAACAGACATCATACAGACACGAGCAGGTTGGTTACCCACTTCAGGAGTCCAGTAAGCCAACACTTCTTCTTTTTGATAGATCTTGGCATCAGAAGTATCACCCTTAGCAGGGGACCATTCAAAGTCAACAATACCTTGAATCTTAACAGACTTCTTGCCAACTAAACCCATAGAGGGAGCTTCATAGATAGACAATTGTTGGCCAGGAACAACACGAGCAAAGTGTTTTTCAGAAGCAGACCATTTGAACATGGGCCAGCGAACAGTCTTTTGTTCTTCACCAGAGGTTTGGACAAGAGGGAAAGTACGGAGCAAAGAACCAGTCTTAATATCCCAAATGATGATTTGGTTACCTTCATCGTATTCGCTGAAAGGATGACCGCTTTCAGGCAATCTAGCCAAGCTGATAGGTTCGTTAGACCAAGTAACAAGGTAACGTTCATTAGGAGAGAAATCAATCAATTTGACACCAGGGTGAACAAATCGAACAATCTTGTTCCATGAGGGACCACCCCAAAGAGCAATACCTTGAGTGTGGAATGTAGAGAGATAAGTACCCTTAGGTGACCATTGTACATAGGTTTCTGTCCAGTTCTATGACCATGTTAGCACATTCCCTTTTTTTCAACTATTTCAACTTACAGTTCTAGTGTAGACATGTTCGGGGGCTTCAGTCTTTCTGTTCCAAAAGATAGAAACATCATCACCTCTGTACATAACAAATTGATCGCGAGCAAGAGGATCCATCAATGCGCTCTTCAAGTGTTCCTTTGGTGTGTAAGGAGGGATTTCTGGTTCAACGTATTCTTCACTCATATCACTGTATTTCTCAACGTCTGTGAATTTGTTGACAGACAAAGTGACAGTCTTACTCAACTTGTGTCCATCCAAGTTCTTGACAGCAGCATGTGCAGATTCGGCAGACTTGAAGTCAATGAAGAGATAACTATCGTAGACAAATGAGTATACCAACAATCAATGACGATTAGTCATTTTTACCCTGAGCTAGTCTTCTTTCCTTCTTCGTTAGGAGTCATGGGCATCCAAATACCATTTTCCTTAATATCACCAGCACCCTTGGTGAAGAGCTTGTTCAAGACAGCCAACAACTTTTCTTCTTTGGCTTCGTCAACAATAGGTGCGCCATCTACAACGACAATGGTGTCGAAATCATTTTCAGTAGTAATTCTATGCTTTTCATAAATATCGTCAAAGTTGATATCTTCCTCGCGTTCAGGGAGGTTCTTCCAATCGACACCGGGCATACTGTCTAAGTTACTTTTATTGAAGAAGGGGAAAAAGAAAAGAGCGAGAAAAAAAATTGTGAAAAGTAGTGACTGCAGACCCAAATTACCATATATAGAGATGTCTTTTTGTGGCTTGGTTGCTACGAAAACATCTTGCAAAGGACTTGGTTTCAATTTTCAAAAGGGCCATCGTTCTTTGTTGATTCCAGACTGTTCCATCCTTCCCCCCCCCCATTCTTCCTTTTTCCTCTCTCCAGGCAAGAAACATTAGCCTAGGCAAAGAAAGTCTGCCTACAAAAAAGCATGTTTATTTGGCAAGTCTAAATTTGCCGATGATGACCTGTGAACACGTTATCTAGAATAAATAGAAGGTACCTATGCACAAATGGGCTGGCTAATATGTCTCAAAACTCCAACATATGGGGTGTACCACAATTCAACGCGCAGAAAGTGGTCATGGCGCATTAAAACAAAGAATGAATGCAGCCAACCTCTTTTGTCTGCTTTTTCTGTGATCGAAGACGATTTAATGAAATCGTGAACAAAGAGAGAAACACAGTGGATGTGTTGGTGAGTCGTGAACCCAGATTGCAGCAACTGCTTGGTAAGATTAGTCATAGAGCACTTATCATCCTTCGCTGGGAAATCAACTAAGTGGCGAGTGATTTAAAGCTGAACCAGCATTGCACCTATGAAAATAAAGTGGTGTCTGCTTTGTCAGCATGATTTCTTGAGGCTTGGTTCGACGGAGAATATATCTCAAGTGATAATAAAGAAATGCTGTCTTGCAAGATAAAAACTCCAGGAAGAAAAAGAAGATTACATATAATTTCTAGTAAACACATTTGATTAAGTTTGCAAGGCCATAAATGTTACTTCTCTCTCAGGTTTGTTTCATGTCTAATGTTATTTTTTTCGTCTATCTTCCTTTGACACATCTAGCTATATGTCATAATTTACAACTACTTGGCAATCGTTTTTTCAAAAGAAGCTTAAAATGGCTTTCATATAATGTGAAATCTTGGGATTTTGTTCGGATGGATTTTGAGATAGAATTTAACTAGTTTGTTATATTTTGTTGATAATTGATATAAGTATATGATATAATTGATAATGTAATATTGAGTTATCTTACTTTTTCTAATTCTCGAGTAATGCTTGAGACAAAATCCCAAGAAAAAAAATAAAGTGATAGGATAGATGATAATTATATAAAAAATTGAAGGATATGTGTAACAGGTACACAGCAAAAAAAGAAAAGGTATACCAAGTACACACTATTTCGCAACCTTTCAAATGCTTAAAGAAAATCTGAGTCTAAATTAGTATTTTCATGTCATAAACTAAAATGAAATTCAAAGGATTTTTTAGTACGTTGGTCTGGTCACTATTGGTGGTGGTCCGGATTTTGCTATAATCCCTTGTGGAAGGCTGTATCTCTTAGGTATCAACAATTGTGTCAAGTTCCAAGCAATTGAAGACATTGTGGAATGGTGTCCTTTACTTGTGGTATTAGTATTACCATCTGTAGCATTGAACAGGACAAGATATAAAGGATACTGACTCTCAGGAGCAACGAACGAAAAACTTAATATATTTTTTTTATGACATATTAAGGGGTAGCTCAGATGACAGCTATTTTATTGGGATTATATAAGACACATATAATCGTACTGAATGCTTACACAAAAGCATTGTTCTAAAGATATTTCATATAGCTATTCACTTTGCTTCACATACACTAGTTTCCATTTATACGATGATTTTATTTTTTTTTTTTGAATAAAAATTTGAAATTCAAGAGAAATGATGGACTAAAAGTGTCTAAAAACGAGGAGCTATCAAAAGGCTGTATTAGCAATACTGGTAGAGATAAACAAGGCGCATTTAATGATGTAAAGAAGGCAGTATATTTGCTATTAAAATAATGAACTATTCTTCAAAAACATGTTTCTTGTTTCTGAGCTGTAACATACACATTTATAGCACTTTTGTATTTTATAGACCTAGAAAAGCAATTTGTACTAAGACATGTTATGTCTACAATGTCTCTATCAATCACCAATCGCAAAATAATGAAAATCTAAGATTTTCTAATGGTATCATAAGGGCAAAATGGCAATTTTTTGTTGACGTTGATTTTGTCGAAATCTAAGGATTGAAGAGCTGAGGAGATATCATCGATAGAGGTACCAGACCAAAGAAATTCACGAATAACAATATCCCAGAAAATGGATTTTTGAGGACATCGAAAGAAAAAGTGCAAGACAGTTTCAACTTCTTGACAAAAGGAACAAAGTGGGGTAGGAGCAGTGGAAAGAGCAATGTTGAAGAGAAGAGATTTGGTAGCAAACAGTAAATAGTGTTACGTTGTACGCTGGTAAAAGTCATGCACCAAAAAAGCTTCCAAGTAGAAGGAGAGACAGAAGATTGACTAACAGATCCCTACATAGATGCTTTTACCAGTGCGACTTTAAAAGAACGTCAAGCATATTGAAAGGTATCATTTTGAGGATCTGTAATTGGTAGGTGCAAGGCATGGATAAAAGAGTAAAATCCAGTAGAGTGCTTGATTGCTGGTACGTAGACAGGATTTTAAATGTCAAGGGAAGAGGGGACGAGGCATTGTTGCAAAAAAGGCTCTAGTTGGCATCTACCAAGGAAATGTCCTTAAGGATGATAGGCATATAGAGCAGAAACAGGAAGAGGCAGTAGTTTCAGAGAAAAAAAAACATAAGAGGTAGAGGGACGGACGACTACAGAGAAAGGCAGCAGAAGACAGTCAATCGAGCTGGGCATGTATGTGTAGTTATTGCGCGGAATAAGATCCATAGTTCGACAAATTATTGTGACGGCGTTGGTAGCCATGAATCTAAACGAATGTGGACGAGCTCGAGGGAAAAGTAGGTGAAGCAAAAGATTGTCCGTTTGAAGCAGTTGGCAGCAATGATGGCGAGCGAAGTCATGCACTAGAATACGTTCTACTGTTGGGTGAATGAGCGGATTAACCCAATGGAAGTACAATGAACTTTGCTGTGTCTCAAGGTCCAAAGCACCTAAATCACCAAATCTTTTAGGTGTAGTCATCAGTTTCCAACTTATGCGAGCAAAAATACCATGAGTGACAAATGATGTGATTACGCTTTTGATGGACTGAAGAATGGCTTTTGTGACAGGCGTGACTCCAAGCAGGTACCAACATTTTGACAGAATGAGCGCATTTGCTACAGTAGCACATCCTAAAATTGAAAGGTTGCGGCTGGTATAAGATTCAGCGACTGCTTTCAAAGTTCCAACAAAAGAGGAGAAGAAGGCTGTTCGCTGAGTGGAAGATTGCATCTGAGAGAAGCCCAAGTAAATAATGGGATCAGTATCGCTGGAATCCCAAATTTTGCTGATTTCAAGGTCTTCTAAGACGGATATCCACTTTTCATTCATATTTCTACCTGATAGCGAAAGGGCTCGAACTTTGTTGAAGTTGATTTTGGCGTTTGAAGCATCACAGTAGGTGCGGGGATGCACTTGCAGTCTGAGCAAATCGTCAACATCGTGGAGAAACACCATAGCATAACCAACATAACTTAGAAGCTTGATAGGTGACAGGATTGGCAATCGACTAAGGTTTCAGGAAAACCAAGATGTCGTAGTACGAGAGATAGGTATTCTAAATTAACCCGATCGTAGACCTTTTCTTGGTCTAGTAGTAACCCTAAGTCTTGATCTTCTTCTTTATAATTTTAGGAAGCATTTTCCATGATTATTTGAGTCAACATACGATGTTCAGCAATGAACCTTTCAGGCATAAATCAAAGAATTTCTTAGTGTAAGGTACTGGAACCTTCTAGTAAAGCATTGATAATTTGATTGGATTATTTCAGATTCAGATCATAGGCGGCTGCGCTTTCCTGACAAATGTCAACCGGAGTTACTGATTGTATTAGAAATTCTACCAGCAAATGCGCGAACCTTCCATGCCAAATACCATATAAATACAAATCAATTTTTCAAGTCAAACTTTTTTTTTACTTTACTTTTCTATAACAATTCAGAAACACTTTATTACTGTGATCATGTTCCCTATTCATATTGAACAATATCCTGCCTCTTTCTATCACCGCAGCCAACCTCAATTCTCTTTGGACGATTATGTTCAACTCCAATTGGTACTTGCTCAAGAACAAGCTCAACGTCAACAAGCTGCTGCTTTCAAGGCCTATCAAAGACAGAAAAAAGAACAGCGTCGTCTCGAACGTGCTATGTACAAGCTCCAGGTTATGGCTGAAGTCCAACGTCGTCGGGAACAAGAAGAACTTGCTATCCAAGCCTATTATGCTGCTAAGCGAGAACAACAACGTCAAAAATGGCTTGTGCAACAGCAACAAGAGTACTTGCGTTGCAAACAAGCACAAGAAGAACAAAAAGCCTATTATCAAGCTCTTATTGAAAAGCAGTTAGAACAATATCGCATGCATGCTTTGGAGCAACAATTGAAATCAAATGAACTTATGCATCCCAGTCATGTCAAGCAATGCCCCTTTACTGAAGAAGAAGTCGAATCTGATGCCGAATCTGAATCTGAAACAGACGAAAAACTTAAATCGCTTGTTAAGATGATCTTTGGTTATGAAGAAGAACAAGAATCCGAGGTCGAACAGGAAGAGCAAGAGCAAGAAGAACAAGAAACATTTGAACAACCTGAAGAGCAGCAAAACATGACAATGGATGAATTAATTGACTATGTCTCCAAAAAAGCTCAAGAATTAGACAACAGTGACCATGAAGAAGAACAAGAAGATACAATGGACTTTGAACATATTGCTGATGACGAGGCTGACTCTATGGATCATGAAATGAGCGAAAGCGAAGAAGTTCCTGTTCTTATCGATTCAAATGGTTCTGTACAAGATCTTGTAAATGAAATCCTTGAAGAAGCAAGCGACGACGATGAAGATGAAGATGAAATTTTCTCAGAAGACCCTGTCAAGGTTGCTAAACTTGATGCCCTGAATCGTATTGAGCAAGAATTAGATGAAGTCCGACAGAAACATGAAGATCACATACTCCGCGGTACTCTTAAATTCCCTGAAATTGAAGAAGGTCGCTCTACATCTCCTGAAACCCTCAGTGCAACTTCTGCTGAAAACAAAGAATTCCTTGGCTATGAAGATCAGATCATGAAATTATTACTCAAGCTCGATACAATTGACTCTGAAGGTGATGAGGAGATCCGTAACAAGCGCAAGTCATTGGTCAAGCAAGCTGAGAGAATGCTAGAAACACTTGATGAATTCAAGCAAAAAGAATGGGAACGTATTAGTTGCAGTAGCCATAGCGATAATGGTGAAGACGACTTTTAGTTTTTAGTTAAATATATGTCTTTGTATATATATATATATATATAAACTTGCTTGTACATAGAGTATATAGAAAAATTATTAAATAATAAACATAATTTATAAACTATTCCTTTTGATTACAAATTAATATTTAAGCATGAAGAAATAACAACAGCCTTATTTTTCTTTGTTTCACCAATTGAAGTATAATAACAGATTAGGAAGATACAAACATGGTAATCAAAATATGCATTAAACTTGTGCAATACGTACATTACTTCTGTTATTTTACTCTATTGAGTGGTGCATTGAACATGTAACATTGTGTGTATTTTAATTAACAGTAATAATATTAGTCTATCTATTATAAGGATTTTTTAATTCATATTCAACCGTATAAGCTGATTTTATTATGTAATTGGAGAGCATTACAAGTCAAATTGTGCCACTTTCAGTATTTGAAGGCACAGATTGTGCATTCGCTACACGCTTCATATCTTTTAAGTATTTTTTCATGAATTTAGAACATATTGGCTATCTAAAAATTACTATGATGGTACTTTTTAGTTTTGATAATACTTTGAGGATCCCTCTGGGCTGCATTTTGATCAAAAAATAGAAAAACATCCAAAAGTAAGACAAAACGAAGTCGGATTGACTTGGCATCTTAGATGAAGTGATTTGCTTTAATGCGTAGAGTTTAAAAATGCGCTATTTAATAAGAGCTTTGACGGGGTAACGCGTAAGATAGTCTATGTCGTTTTGCAGGCGTTGTACACATTTTTTTGTATGCCTTTCTCAGATTTAACACTTGGAGTATGCTTATTGTTGCAAGAAAAACATTTCCTATTATGAAATGCTATATGAAAAGTTGCTTATATGATGGGTTACTAATCATATTTTGTTTTTGATGCAAAATCGTAAGACTATCATAAGACATAATGGGCCAAATTCTTTTTTGTATTTTAACAATTCATACATGTCCCTTGATAACTATTGATGCTAAAAGCGCATTTTACGGATCTGTGCTAGCTTGATTTGTTCTGAAATGAGCATAAACGACCTTTTTTTTTTACTGGTGAAATGTGTGGTTCGTCCTTTGCGAAAGTATGGACTCCGCCAAAAGAAAAAGGCGGACTCGGTGTAATGGACATTCAAGTTCAAGCTTTGGCTCTTTATTTTCGATGGCTGCATCCTTTGCTAGCTTATGATCAAGATGTTATTGATTCTCATCCTGTCTCGTATCTGCTTAGCTTCCATATATGTAATGTCAATAGTTGTAACTATTTGCTAATGCTCGCCTTAATAATGTTACCGCTATGGTCCTGCCTTTGCAAGCTGTGCTTTACGTTCCTCCTTCTTCGTCTTTTGTGGTTCCCCTCCATGTCAAAAAAAATGATGGTAGCAGATGTCTTTCAATATGATGTTCGTCTTAATTTTATTCACCTGGAAAGATACTCGTGATCCAGCCTTACTTGACTGGAAGCGCACACCCACAACAGTGTTTAGAGGCCTTGCGTCTGGGAGTTTGAAACTTTAGCCATTTTTTAGTTCTGCTTGTAGTTCTGCTCCACTTGAAGACTCGACGGTCTCATTTACGCCCTTGAACAACCAATTTCGGTTCCAAGATGATCAATTGCTCAGCAATATTAAGGCTTCGCTAAGACATTTCGTCAGTCAGTTCTCTCGTCTGTGATTGTTCCGTTGGCCTTGAAAACTATTGCAGAGGCACAGTGGAAATTCCTTTGGTCCCTGCCATTTACCTCTATTCAACGTAATGTGACATACCGGTTTATCTTGGGGTGTATTTCTCATCGCAAGCTCTTGCATTTTATTATACCTCAAGTGTTCGATTCCCCTCTTTGCCCAGTTTTCATATCTTCAAAAGACTCAACCATCCATTTGTTATTCCACTGTCCAACTAAAGAGAAGGTATGGCAGGAAATAATTTTCGAGTTCCTATGGCCTATCACATCCATCTCTGATATCAAAGAGGTTCTTTTGTCCCTGGACTTCTCGTACATCTGGTACTGCTAATGGAAAGGAATCAAACCATACCGAATCCTTATAATAACTCTTTCATAAATTTAGCTTGCTCATATGAGATTTATCTTTGACAAGGCCCCCATTGTATTCACAGCAATATTGGCAAGCATCCGATCCAATTTTCGTCGGACCATTGAAGAGAATCAATGCCATTCACTCCTATAACCTCTACATTGTTTTATTTTATTTAGTTATTATATTTTATATCAGTTTTTAACACTATCTCAATTGCAGCCACCCCTTCATTTTGACCATTACTCTTAGTGTACGCGGCTCAATCAATGAACACAACTTAAAAAAAAATTCATTTGCCCATTCGCCAAAATTTATCTTTTGATATCTAATCAAAACAATAAATTTGTGGCCTGTTCTGTCTAAATTTAGAATATTGGGTACACTACTATGTGTGATAACATTCATAAGCTATTTTATTTTTTAAATACATCTAACTCTATCTTTTTCAATTTTCGAGGTCAAGCTTTCTGTGTTTATAGACAGGGCCAGACACACAACTCTTGAAAACTCTCAAGATGGCATAAAATAGATGCACTCTGGTGACTATTTAACAATCAAAGAAAACTTATTTCTCGTGTAAAGACTCATTGATTTTAATTCATACTTACTTTTAGATGTCCGTTACGCATATTTGATCAAGAGCGTATAAATGCAAAAGAAATAAAGTATCGATTTAGAAGTAAAATATCTAGAAATTGAAACAGTGCGTTAAATAGTATAAAGAAAGGAGCGAAAAAAACATTTTGATGAGATAGTGCTCTTTTTGTTACGCTTTTTCAAAACAGATACTTGGAGCCCAGTAAAATTTGCTTGTACCCTGTCAAATAATGACTTTTACATTTTGGTTAATTAAGTTTGTTTTATCCCTCGAGGATTTTTGCTAGAAAAAGGTAGAAGTCAATGACATAAAAACAATCTTTTTATGTAAACGGATACTTTGTTATCTCTAAAGTTATTTTTGGGTCAGAAACAGTGGTTACTGCATGTTTGACTGTGCTATTAGTTACAACATGCGGCTAAACAATATTCGTTTTTACTTTCTGTGATTTCATCTTACCACGACACACCCTTTTTTCTGCTATAGAAGGTAAACAGCAAACATAACAAACTAGTTTAAGGGAAACAAAAAGCAGCTTATAGCAAACATGCATCATTAAGTAGGCTATAGATGTATAATGCTTTTGCTGCAGCATCATTGCAATGGTTTCTCTTCTATATATCTTTTTAGTTGATCCAGAAATATTCATAACTAGGACCACTTCTCGCTCTTTGAACTCTGGAGTTTGTTCAATCATTAAACGAACTTGGGTAACCATGGGCTTCTAATTTGATCCCATTACAACGCAGCAGACAACGACAAGTCCATTATAATGTTTGGTTTATGAAAAAAAAAATCTTAATTATTGCAAGCTCTATTCCTTCAAAAATTGCACCTACATGTGTAACTTCTATTATCAACACTCGTATTAGCTCTAAGAACGAAAAATAAAAAAGCCATGTCGTAACCAATCAATTGTTCACGTTACGGCCTAATCCAGTCGTTTTTCTTACCATCATTTTAAGCCACAGCCCTTGGTGACATAGAAAAACTTTTTTTTTGTGAACTCAGATAGAAAATGCAAGAGATGAAAATGCCATATGTTAAAGACATGTTTCTCGATCCTTTAATATTGCATTACCTATATAATAAATTGCAGCAATTCAATCAAAAAGCAACCACGTTAATGAGATAAATGCAACTCCATAACAGGTAAGACGAAATCACTATATATAGTAAAATTAACCAAATAAAAAATGAATGAGCAGAATCGAGAATGTTAATCTTGTTGCACGGTACAACATAAAAGTTAATCAACAGCATGTAGAATTATAAAAAGAAATTCGTAATTTTTCTTTGATGTATTGGAGACAAAACTGGACAATAACTCTTGGCTTCTTGAGAACTTGTCAAATGAGCATATTCTTTCTCATCAATGACATTTCCTTTTTTTCAATGATTGGTCAATTACGTTTTGTTGTAAACAAAGAAAAAGGTGAATGGCCCTCTGAGTTTTCTTTTCCTCGAGCTAATGATAAAATGTAGCACAAAGTTTTATTTGCGATTTTTTATTTTTATTTTATTTTTATCATCAATAGGTTCAAAAAGAAAAAAAAAAAGAAAAGCAAAGAGGAGCAAGCAATAAGACAAATTGAAAATGAAATTCTATTTTAATACAAAAGAAAAAGAAATTAAACAAAAAAGCTCTTGGCAAAAAGCGAATTCTTTTTTCCAGTAGTGCGCGCCCAAATAAAAATAAAAGAAGTGACCAAGAAAGGGTAATTTATTCTCCAAATTTGGGATTTATCTTTACTCTGACCCTGGACTTTTTGGTTCAGAATAGAGTTCTCTTCACAATTTACAAGTATGTACCATTTTTAGCATTGTTTTGCCTTATTATCGATTGCTAATCATGATCACAGGTTAAGATTGTTTGAGCAACAAGACGAATGTTTCGATAAGGGTGTAACTATGTCCTTGGACAATAACATATGTTACATTTGTATATTTAGAACACAAATACACAAAATCCGGGATATAAAGTCTTGGCAATTACTGGATAAAGAAAAATTATTTTTGATATTAAAAAAATCTAAATCCAAAAGTAAATAATTTCACTTAAAACAGTAATCATCGCATGCACCTTGCTGATTTATAAGAGAGACTGGGAAACATTGATATTTAGTCTCCTTTTTTTGGGTATTTAAATCTCTTTTTTTTTGCCTTTTTTATTATTTATTTCTCTTTTTTTTCTCTCTTTCTTTCCTTGCTTTACTGTATGCTATAGATCAAATTTATAAAAATGAGTTCAACAAACAGTCCAGGCGGATGTACCTATCGTTTTATTGAAAGCAGCCTTTCTAGTTCTTCAGACCAAATGTAAAAAGAAACACACAATGTATGGTTTTACAATTGCTAACTTATTTATAGACTTTATGACATTGAGATAAGACAACAGCCACAAAGAGCCAAAGTCAGCTTGATTAACGAAAGAGGTAATTTTTATTTTATGGGTATAGCCAATTCTAACTCAAATGACCCTTCTTAGACCGAAGACCCATTGAACCCCCACCCATTCTTCAACTTCACTGGCAAAATTGTTCAGAAGAAGAATTAAAGTAAATAACAACCATTGGCAACGGGAAAACTCATCATCCTATGTAGAAAACGTCTTCAGAGTCCTTTTTATTTTACTGTAGCCAATCTTGTTACTGTGCAAGATCCTGAAACTCCGTTATTACCTGCACAAGAGTATCTCTCGGGCACGACCGTGTCATCTCTTTATCGACTTCGAGATATTGATAATTCTGGTATGCATTGATCACAATGGTTCATTTTATACTTAAAATTTTTGTTAGATGGTGGCTTCTTTGTTTTTGGAGACCTTGCTGTAAAAAAAGAAGGCAAATTCAAATTAAGGTTCTCACTGTTTGAAATAGTCGAGTAAGTTGCTCTACTCTTAAACAATTGCATTCTAATTGATTTCATTAGTGGTCAAGTTAAAAATCGCAGGACCATTCTATCAAACACGTTTACTGTACATATACCAAAGCAATTCCCTGGTCCTATAGAAGCTACATTTCTCTCAAGAACGTTTTCTGATCAAGGTGTTAAGATGAGAATCAGAAAAGAGCACCGTCTTCAATCGTAAGTCTAGAAGCACTTGTTTAAATAACCCATTCTCATTGTTTGTCTATAGTCGAAAGAGAAAACCAGAGAGTACAGTCACTGATACTTCTGTCAACAACAACAGTAACAACAACAATGTGGCTATTACCAAAAAATATCGCTCCAAGCATATGAAGATGATTGTATCTTCAGAGTCCTCAGATGCAAATGGTACTTCAGACGTCTTTTTTGGAAGATGGCAAGCAACGAGTCGCATTACACCGCCACCAACACAAACACATCAGTACATGACAGAAGAAGACATGAAGAACAAACATCGATACCAACAAGCAGAAAGCCATGCTCAAGCTTTCCCAAGCCCAGAAAGCACCATCTACAATACAATGTCTACTTGTTCTTCGTCATCACCTACACCACGTTCTATGACTTATCAACGAGAATCTCCTTATCTCTATAGACCTGTGCCTATGCATTACTCTTCACCTCCCATGGCTGAATCTCCACTTTCTTCATCTATTCCACTACCTTCCGATCCATCCTTAGCCAAATATCATATGTGCTCTGACAGCCATCACTCACGTATGGAGCAATTACCTTCACCGCCTTCTTGTATCACTGATATGCACAGAACACAAGATTGGGGCACAAGACTACCTCCTCTAAGGGCTATTATGAATGGTTCTTCATCACTCTTCCCACTCTTGTTACCTCCTCCATCTACCATGGTTCGAATAGAACAGCCAGTATCATATGCTCAACGTCCTCATTATTACTGTTAAACAACCATTTTTCTTTTGTACATTTATCATTGACATTCCTTTCATTCTTATTTGCCCCCCTTTTTTTTCATTACAGCAACTTATATGATTCTTTTTTTCCCCTTTTCTTTTGTACAGCTTTCCTTTCAACAAATACAGTAACGAACAATATCTTAGAATGTATGTAGTGTATAGCTTTTATAAATATAAAATATGCCATTTTTAAAGAAAAAAGAATGACTACACATGGCCTGTGCGATAATTTGAAAAAAAAAAACCTTTTATTATGTTCTGTTTGCCAAAGCTTGCTCACGTACTCGTCGTTCGTATTCCTTCTTATCCTTTCTATGTATACAGATGAGTTTCCAAGACATAACTGTATATCGGTTACCTAAACAACATGTAAGCTTCTTGTTGAGCAGGACTTTCAGGGTTAGGATCATTCAACAAGTCTTGGACACCAAGGAGAATCTATTTTTTTTTTGTAAATGCCATTTCTTTAATGATCAAATGAACGTTACCTGCTTTACAGTAATAGCTGGCTTCCAACCTTCATCTTCATTCAAAATAGACAAACAAACAGTGCCGGAAGGATAGACATTGGGGTGAAATAGAGGAGGTGTAAACTTACACTTGGGTGGTTTACTGGGATAGTCTAGGCAAATATTAAAAACGAGGATGTATTACAGAACATACCTTCAGGAAAGATCATTGTGAGCTTGTAGGTAGCCTTCTCCCATGGTGTCTATAGAAAATAAATAAACAGAGCCAAGAAACAGCATGGCTTACATCGTCTTTTCCAGGGATACCGCACGTCCAGTTCATTAAATCAAGAGAATTGTCTGCATTCTTTCCTGGTCTTGCCCAAAAGCCCTAAAAAATAAAGAATAAAATTAATTATTTTAACAAAACTGTCTTTTGGTGTTATAATTTACAGTGTTTAGTTACATGAGGATGGTCTTTTCTCCATTGTTTACGCTCTTCCATCAAACGACTGCGAGAGATGCCTGAACTCATTTTTTTTTATTATTCTAAAGAAAGGAAAAAGAGAAAAAAAATTTTGTAACTGATCGTTTTTGTATCAAATTGAAACGCAGATGATGAGAGAATGTCTATTGTTATTCTTACCAGAGCCATTGTGTGAAAGAAAAACAGGCATTTGTTTAAGCTCATAGAAGCAGTTACTGTTTATCATGGTATATCTGCAGGAAAACATAAAATTTTTTTAAAGGCATTTCCCACTAAGGAAACTACAAAGCATTGATTCCAAAGAGAAGAGCATTGTCATTCAAGGAACAGTTCTATACAATTCTGCATAAAATATAGAGAAAATAAAACCTCAACCTTGCTACTAACATAGAAAAAAAGCATTTGAGAGCATACTTACAGTCTAATGTTGCTTTCAAGGTCAAAGTAAAAAAAAAAAAAAGGGCGTGAATGCTTTTCTATTTATGCATAGCTTTTCAGCAACTCAGTTAGCCAGACGACAAAGAACAATCCCAATGCTCAAGAAAACAAGGAAAGCCTATGCTCTTTCTCTTCCTTTAAACCTTCTTTTTCCTTCTTTCTTTCTCCTTCCTTCTATTTCTCTTATTGCCAGCCTGAAAAAAGAAAAAAGAAAAAGTCTTTTAATACACAATATTCGCGTGTACAATTGAGCGCGTTGTATTTATTGATTTTTTTACAAATTAATGTTGACCCAAACAATTTAGTGAGCCTTCTTACCAGAAGCCACTATAAACATTGTTAATTTACTTCTTTCTCAGAATATCAAAAACTACTTACAAGCAGGGTTTCTGGGATCGTTCTTGTATTCTTCGCCTATAGAGAAAAAAAAATAAACAATCTCGAATTAACTAATAATGAAACGTACTGTTGATCATGGCATTTTGAGCCTTGGCAACCAAGTAGAAAACGGCAACACCACCAGCAATGAAGGGGGCAGCAGGACGAAGAACAGGAGTAGACCACTTGCGCATACCAAACATCTTGAAAAATATAAACTTGTGTGGAGAAAAGAAAAAAAATAAACCTTGGCGGGACTTTGTATTTTTTGTACGTATTAGAACAGGGGCACACAGTTAGGTCGCAAAATAAAAAAAAAACAGAGCGACGAGGGCGGACATTGGAACGCATTTGCCCTACTGTTTGTTCACTCAAAAAAAAAAAAAAAAAAAAAAAGATGACGTCAAACCTGAATTCGAACGTCCTTATATCACACTAAGTAACATTGACCAAGTTTGTGACTTTTATTAGTGAATTTCTAAAATAGTTAACAGAAGTGCATTTGTCGAGAGCGCGTTAGAACTTAAAGTATATTCAAATAAACACTCAATTTCAAAGATCATTCAATTTTATTAAAAAATGTCCAGTAGTATTATTATGAAGTACTTACCTTTGCCTGCAAACACTGTAACTCATGCCATCGAGAACTGCAAGGAAGAGATTGAAAACTCTAAAGCAGTTTTTGCTGTCAAATGGGTTCACAGAAGACGTGTCACCAAGAAATACAAAGGATTATGTCTGCCACAGATCTAGAGAGAAGCAAGTAAGAGCTGGCATTGTGAAAGGCGGTGTCAGTGGCTAGACTAGAGACTTGCAAAAAGAAAGCAAGAAAATAAACTGCCTTGGACTTTTAAAAGTACTTTGCTTGAAAGATAGTCCAAACACTGTCGATTTTCAGTTCTTAAAGCAGCATAACCATGCAATTGGTCAGCTGGAAGATTTCTAACATCTTTCTCTGTCAAAAAGTACCAAATTGTTGATTGAGAATAAATTGCGGGATGGCTACAGAAAGAAAGGCGCCAGAGTTTCTATTCAGAGATTATATCCAAAAGGACTACCAACAAAATATTTCAAGATTGCTCTTGAATGTGGGCAGAATGGGCCCTGAAGAAAGAAGAAGAGAAATGCACTCTGAAGCCATTAACGATAATGTCTTGTCATTAATGGTGAGATTAGGAGAACTAGGATGTTACAGTGTTGCCCCCTTCACTACAGAAGAGGTAAGATACAATATTAACGTAAAGAATAATGTCATGAAAGGCTGTTCTTGTGCTGATTTTCAATGGAACCAAACATCTTGCAAGCATATATATCTCTTGAAACGCATCGAGCCTACCATTAGTATCTACCCAAGGCATGTAAAATCGTCAGGAATGCATTCGATAGTAACACTCGGATTATACTTGCAACTATTCTTGTTAGTAGTTCCCTCTCATGTACCTCAAATGGTTCAAATTGCTGCTGAATAACCTATAGAAGCTATTTCTTTGACTGCTTCTGGTTTAAGCTTTCAGCTTGTTTCCGATGGTTTTGAGAATGTGAAAGCAGCGTTCAATGCCTACTTAAATAATCTTCTCGAGTTGACTGCTGAATAAAGGGATCTTTTCAGATCGTGTCTTAGCCATCTAAATGGTGTTTTAATTCCCACTTCTGAACGCTCAATCTTGTCCAACTCTCATTTCACTACATAGCGTAGATAAATGTTTTTGTTTTTCTTCTAGTACTGGAACCGAAATTTTAACGCCACTGTAACATAAGAAGCATCTTGCATGCACGTTCGGGCTATGATATCAACAACAGGCTACAACAGCAGGCCACAACAGCTCTCAAGAGGTCAAGATGACTAAGGCGCCATTAGCTTTGCCCTAGGTTTTTTCAAAAATAACAGTCACAAGCTAATGTCATTTTTGTGGGATGTTTGCGAAAAGCCTATGTGACTAAGACTTCCTTTCCTACGTGCATGATAGAACATTTCATTGACAATTCTGGAGTTGCCTTGACTTACATAATCAACAAGACCCCTTCTTATGTTTAATTTAGCATAAACATTTCTATTCCGATATCATACAATGTACAATTACCTCAAGTACAAGTTTGACTCTTATTTGCATAGAAAGAAAACGCCACTAAATTTAAATTGAGGCAGATATAGTGTAATTTACATTGCTTATGTGGCGGTCTTGTCAGAATCGAAGCAGACAGAATGTTTTACATGATACAGCACCAAGTTGGTTTGTTTTGCAAACACTAACTTCATGGTAGATCCATTAGATATCAGGCTCAGACTCTTATTCAAATAAAGGCATAATGATTTCACTAGCTACAACTGGAACAAACGGACGATAAATGGGATCAGAATAAAGGGAAAGACAGCATCTTATGAAAGTCCGTCGATGGAAACTATAAGTAAATCATTGTTTGTTACGTCACAGATAGTCGATCGAATTAAAAACAATTATTTGAGTAAATGTCAAATAAGCATGCGTTTGCTTGGATATGACAGCTGCAGATAATAGACAAGGGCACTTTATCATCATAGCATGAAAAGATAGACACTTAAAATAAAAGATGCTCGGCTTGAGTTGTTTGATACCTCTTTGAGACTTTTTTTTTTTTTAAGACAAGCCACATAAATCCTCGAAAAGAAGCCCATTATAATTTTGACGTGGTTGATAATTTGTATTACCAGCGAATTCTTTCCTTTTATAAACTCCTTTTCAAAAAGATATTTTCTCTTTTCTTCTATACACTCATCGTTTCTTTCTCTCAAAACTTCTTACGCTAGTTTAAAGTTTAAACAGGAACAAATATGGAAAACACAAACGAAAAGCCGATTCAAAAGCAAGATCAAACTTCTAACGAAGAACAACAAAAGAAGCAAGTCCCGGCTCCTATTCCTGAGAAAAGTGCTTGGAACGTTCAAGTAACCGAGAAAACACCCGAAAAAACGGATGCTACCGTTGCTGGAGCTGGTAAGAGAAACGAATGCATTGTCCAGATAGGATATTGAAAAATTTTATAGACTGGCCTGCACCTAAGGAAGCTGCTGTAGAGCCCACTGAAGAGAGCAATGATAAAGAAAAACTTGCTCCCAAAGTAAAGAGCAAGGGTCAATGGAAGCCTTTCACTCCAACCATTGTTCATGCTTCTTCTGGCGGTCGTCGTCGCACTGGCAGACGCTCTAACACTAGCAGTAACAAAGATGCTAACAAAAAAACCAGCACTCGTAGAGGATCCAAGTCTAAAGAAGCCACTAAGCCCAACAATACTATTACTACTACTACTACTACTACTACTGCTACTACTACTAACACTACTACTGCAGCTCCTGCCAAAACTATAAGCAAACCTGAAGGCAAAAAAGACGAAGACAAGAAGTCTCCTATGAAATCTCGTTCTGCTCGTCCTCATCCCAAGAGCACTTACCTTTACCGTGGTCAACGCAAGATGCCTGCTTTCATCAATGTCGATGCTGACACTCTCAAGATGTACATCATGCAACAAATGTAAGTTGATGTCACGATCTATGCGAGATCTCGATCACTCACGGTTTGAGAAAAAATTTTCTATAGTGAATACTATTTTAGCATTGATAACCTGTGCAAGGATCTCTACTTGCGTCAACAAATGGACTCTAACGGTTTTGTTGACTTGAACTTCATTGCTAACTTCAACCGTGTTAAGGGTTTGTCTACTGACATCAACTTGATCCGTGAAGCCTTGGAAAACAGTCAATTGCTTGAACTCAAGCATGATAAGATCCGTAAGAGAGAAGGTTGGGAACCTTGGTTGATGCCTTCTGTTGTCCCCGGCCCCGCTCCTGTCAATGTGTCTGTGCCCAAGAACACTACCACTGCTGCTCAAATCGCCAAGCAAAACGCTCCTGCTCAACCTCATCAACCCACATTGGCTGCTTTGGCCGGTACTACCTTGTTACCCTCTGCTGTTCCCAAATTGAACGGTGAACGTCGTAAATCCACTTCTCCTCAACAAGCTGAACAAAAAGATGAAGATGATTTGTTTGATTTTGATGAGGATGATGATTGGACTGATGGTAGACGCACAGATACTGTCAAGAAGTACTACTTGTCAGACGAAGAAGACGAAGAGGATGAAGATCTTGACATGGACGATGAAACTGTTGCTCGTATCATGATTGTCACTCAACGCAAGTCAGATCGTACACATACCAACTACAACCGTGCCAAGATCAATGAAGATATTTCAGACATGATCAATGAAGGTCTTTATCAATATGAATCAGGTTTGCGTAGTACTGGTCAAACGACATCCAAGGTTGGTTCTGTTGGTAAGGATCAATTTGAGCAATTGAAGCACCGTGAACACCACCATGGCGAACAAGTAGGTGCTCAAATCTCTAGCACTACCATTCATGCCAAGCCTATCAAGAAGAATGAAAAGTCTACTCCTCGTTTCTACGCTATTCGTCCTGAATCTTTGCCTAGCTCTGCCTTCTTCGGTACCACCCCTACTCGTAAAGTCAACGATCAAGGCCATGTTGGCTGGGTTTTAAGTGATCAAGCCTACCACTACAACCCTAATGACTTGCTGGGTACTTCTTATGGTAAATCACCTATTCCTGACAGTATGCTTTCCAGTTCTATGGATATGGCACACTCATTTGGTAACTTCCAACATCCTAGCCACGAATTGTTGCGTGAAAAGGGTTTTGTTCAACACAAGTATTACAAGTACCATGCTAAGGCTTTGAGAGAACGTAAGCAATTGGGTGTTGGTCACTCTCAAGAAATGAACACTTTGTTCCGTTTCTGGTCTCACTTTTTGCGTGATCATTTCAACAAGCGTATGTATAACGAGTTTAAGCGTTTGGCTGTTGAAGATGCCAACCAAAACTACAGGTAAATAATTATATAGATATATAGATATATATGCAAAAGCGCTCATGTGTGAATGTAGATATGGTTTAGAATGTCTTTTCCGTTTCTACTCTTATGGTCTTGAAAAGAGATACCGCAAGGAACTCTTTGAAGATTTCCAGGAATTGACCTTGGCAGACTATGAAAGAGGTCATCTTTATGGTCTTGAGAAATTCTGGGCATACACTTACTACCGTAAAGACAAGAAGAAGAGAGAACTCAAGTTCGACGAGCAAGTTGCTCAATTGTTATCTAAATACAAGACCATCGAAGACTTTAGAAATGCAGAAGCACCCAAGACAGAAGCTGAAGAGACATATAAGGTTCCTCACCACGGTGTAAGTAAATGCACTTAAATAATTAGGAAATACTCAATGTTTATTATAGAAACCCAGAGGCAGTGTCAGTGGTCCTTCTAACGCTGCTGCTGCTACTTCCAATGCTTAAATCTCTTTATATATTATCTGTTTTTTTTAAAAAAAAACAAACAAAAACATCAAAAGCTTTCCCTTTTTTTTCTTTTTTTCTTAAAAAAAACAACAACACATAGAAAATCCTTTTTTTTTTAATTATATTTGTTCTTATTTCTTCATATTACTTATTTGCCCAAAAAAATACAATAAAGACAAAAAAAACTCCTCAAGAAATCATTACGCCACATTGATGTCTTTGCGTCGTTTTAATTTATTCGAAGTTTTTTTTTCTTCGTTCATGTTTATGCAACGTTCTTTTCTTTCTCTTGCTTTCAGGTCAAAATTATATCGCACCATGTCAAGCACTGCTCATACTGTTTCTATTGCCAGCCAAAAAGTAGTTGTTCAAGGCTGTTCTAATAAAGACGAATTTGATAGTGTTCTTGGCTTCCAACCTTTCAAAGAATGGTTGTCTGCCTTTGACAAACAACAACAAGAACGTCAAGAAGAGCTGGACGTGAAATCGATCGAGATTCAAAATATAGACTACTTTGGCACGGGAAAGATTGGATTTGTTAAATTTAAAGCAAACGTCACATTTAAGGACACAGGCAAAAGTGCACCAGGCATTGTATTTATGGTACGTAACATGCTGCATAATTTACACCCTCAAACTCAAGATAGCGAGGAGGTGCTGTCTCTATGTTGATCGTATTAAAGGCAAAGGGGGAGAAAGACAAGGTTATTCTGACTTTGCAACCGCGTATTCCTGTACCACATCTTAGTTTTCCTGAATTACCTGCAGGCATGTTGGACGGTTCCGGTAATTTTGCAGGTACTGCGGCCAAGGAAATCGAAGAAGAGACAGGTGAGGCTATTGTTTTTGTTGTCATTGCCTAATATATACATAGGTCTTGTTATTAAAGAAGACGAATTGGTCGACATGACTGAATTAGCATATGGCAAAGAATGGAAAGGAGTTTACACATCAGCTGGCGGATCAGGTACACCGAGCATTTTCTTTTTTAGATATTAAATCATTCTATTAGATGAGTTTTTGAGATTGTTTGCCTGTACAAAGCATATGGAAAAAGAAAAAATAAGTGAACTGGAAGGTAAATTAACTGGTCTTCGTGATCATGGAGAAAGCATTACGCTTAAACTAGCAAACTTGGAAGACGTTTGGAAACTGTCACCAGATACCAAGTTATTATCGAGCTTAGCTTTGTATGACCGACTTCAAATCAAATAAATCGAAGAAAACTTTCCTTTTTTAGGCTTGTTTACGTTTGTGTATACATGTATATCAAAAAACATAGTAAAAAAAAAAATAACAACAACAAACTTTCTTTTCTTTCTTTTTTCTTTATCTTTAATAATAATGGAAGACACCACACTAAATAATACCAAACAACAACAACGCGACTTCAGCTTCAAACCCCTTGATAGCATGGATACATTTGGTTCATATAAAGAAGAACCAATCTTGCAAAATCAAGTAAGGCAGACACTTATGTTAGTAGAAGACGACGATGTATCTTCCGAAGAAGAAGATCTGACAACGTTGGAGAAAAGCAAATCATCTTCACTTGATCAAACCAAAATTAATTCCATCCGTAAAAATCGACCTCTTCCCAAGGTTCCTGAGCGCGCAAAAAATAACAGCTCAACTACGGCGCTAAGAGACAGTCTGAAAGGCCAAACTAGACTCTCTGCCCAACAACTGTTTCAGCTGCTTAATAGCAAAGAAAAAGAAGATGAGGATGCAGATACAAGTGACGAAGATGAAGAATATGGTGGTGTATTTGCTTTCAAGACACAAATGCCATCACCTAAATTATCCGCCAAAGAGCAACTCACTCAATATTATCAAGAACATAATTACAAGTTAATGACGCCTGTTGAAGAAGTGGATGAAGAAGACCAACTGTTTAATGATATTTCTACGTCAAGCAATTCTGACGACGAAGACGAGGAAGCTGAGTCTATAATGCATCGATTGTCGGGATTGTCATTGGACCAAGCACCTAGTTTGACAAGTGGTAGAACAACGCCTTCTTTTGGGGAAATTTCACCTCGTCCCTCCATAGAAAATGGCTCTTCACAACGTCCATCATTAGAGAAGCTCGCACTTTGCTCAAATGCACCTCTTCTACCGAGCCAGCAATCAAATGAAGAAGATTCTTTATTATCGGATGTACAAAAGTTGGAGCGACTCAACAAGGCTTTAATGACACCTGTACTCTCATCCAGTCCACCTGCAAATCAGCTCTCACCGCCTCATATCCTTGAACCTCCTACTCCCTCTTCATCCTCTTCTTCATTGGCTTCTGTCAGTCTAACACACGATGTAAAGACATACCGTCGCATGGCTTCTAAGACACACGACCGTCATATCCAATTTACTTATGCCACCTATCTCATTCAATTGGTCAACTCGAATGACAACAAATTAGATGAAGACACACGTAAACGATTACAAGAAGAGGCAGAATATTGGATTGAGCGATTAGCCAAGTCTAATTATGCAGGTGCTCTTTATATTAAAGGCCAATGGCATCGCGACTTCAAATCTTCCAAATTTGTGGGCTCGCAGTACAAAAAAGTCAATCATACCAAAGCATTCAAATGCTTTCAACAAGCTGCAAAATATGGTTCTACAGAAGCTCATTATGAATTAGCTGAATATTGGATGGTGAGGAAAGAATACAAAAAGTCCATGTCAAGCTATCGATTTGCTGCTTCAAAAAACCATGTGCAATCACTTTATGTAAGTTCAACTCTATGTGTTATGCTCATACTGACTATAGTGTAGAAATTAGCCAATATCTTATTACGTGGCTTATTAAATCAAAAGAAAGACATTCAGCAAGGTGTTATCTTTCTAAGAAGAGCAGCAGATGCAAACAAGCCTGAAAGTGCTCAATCCGCTTTTGATTTGGCTTGTATATTTTCAAATGATTTAGAAAGTGTCGATCTAGAAAGGTAATTGTTTACACCCCCTTTTTAAGTTTAGTTTACTGATCTATTTGTAGAACCCCTGAAATTGAAGCCTTTATGACAGCTCAAAACTGTGCCTCTGCAGTCCATTATTTCAAAGAAGCAGATTATTATGGTATCGTCAATGCTACTTATCGCTTGGGTCATATCCATGAACAAGGCCACAATTATGTGAAGCCAGATACATGGGAAGCGTTCAAGTATTTCTCTAAAGCAGCTGAACGTAAACATGAAGGTGCCATGTTGGAATTATCAAGAATGTATCGAGATGGTATTATGGATTGCCTTAGTCCACGCCCTGAAATGGCCTATACATGGTGTCTCTCCGCAGCAAAGAACGGCAATGAAATAGCCGAATTTACATTAGGGTAAGCATCCAATGTTAAAACCTTTTTTTCTTACAAATGTTTTAGACTTTATTATGAGCGTGGTGTTGGTGTTTATCCAGATCAAGCCCAAGCCAATGAATGGTTTAGAAAAGCAGCTTCCAAAGGCTATATGCCAGCAAAAGAAAAACTTAGCCCTTCTTTAAGAAACCCTATAATGCAAGGTCAAAATCTGTTGGACAATTTTGGTATTGTCGCCTAAGTATCACAAAGAATGAAATTTCGATTGGTTGCAAAATTTATCTATACATACATCTCCCAACATGCACATATATACATATGCACATATGCACATATACACACTTAAATAGAATATATCTTTGATCCATTAATATATAATAAATGTTGACCATCATAAAATGTGTTATTCTTACTGCTACACTTTATGAGCAAGATTAGAATTCTAGAGCAAATCGTAAATAAAACAATGTATAATAAGATCATATTGATATTTATATTAGGTAATGAGAAAGAGCAAAGAATGGAAGGGAGATAAATGAGTCACATATATTAACTAAAGTGGATGATGAGACATATGCCAAGTCAAGGCATTGAAAAGCTGTACTTCAACAAGGAATATGCAGCCCACGTGATCGAGAAGCATACCAAACTGTGTCTGACCCAAAGAATAGCGACACTGAATATCGATTTTTCCTCTTTTCTGTATTATTTTGACAAGATTTATAGTGCTAATCGATTATGCTCTTGAGAGCTTGCTCAGAAAATCATTTATTGTTACACTCTAGTTGAATAAATTAGAGACTGTTTAATGTCATTTTCAAACAATAAAATTTGAATAACGAAATAAATATACATATACCTTTGCTTCTCACTATCAACACAATAGAATAGCAGTTCAAGCACATGTCTTGTTCTTTTCGACTGATAAAAAGAAAGACGAAAATGATTATCATTGTCTTGACATGTCCCTATTTGCTTTGTTAAACTCCAGAGAAATGTTTGGGGTAAGCACAAATAAATGTCGTGAACCATTAAACTAATTGTCAGTCATAAGAAATATGGTTTCATGCAAGCTCACTTTGACTTTAACAACTCTGTTTGTTTATTCCACTATTGCTTTTGCTGACATTTGGCTTACTCATATGGAGTGTGGAGGTTCCAAATCTATTGGAATCAGTCACTCAAGTGAAAAAGGATTAAGCGCATCATATTGGTCAAACGAAGAAAACAATGCTGATAGTACAGTATGTAGTTACGATGGTGTCATTTGCATAACACATGTTCAATACTGGGGAAATTGTGACGATATGAATTGGTTATTTCAAATTCAATATGAAAACACTTGGTCTAAAGGCATCACGCTTAATTTGAAAAACAAACCTGGAGCAGCTGTTAGTGCTTCAAAGCGGCTCAAGCCTAAGTTTTGATAGATACATATCTGAAAAAGAAACGTTTAAGGTTTTCGCCTGCATTTACTTTTTTCGAGCAATGGATTTTGATATATTTATGCAACCTTTTTATTGATTTTTAAATGTAGTTTCAGACTTGGCTATACTCTTTTTTCTTCTAATCTTACTGTTTCTTCTTTACCAGATACTATTTCTTCTTTAGCCCTCTTTCCAGTTATCTCATATAGTTCTCTTCTTCTAGGTAAAATTTAATTTTTGACCGATGGGGGATCTACGAAGGTTCATGAAGATGAAAAAAACAAAACTCAATCAGAAAATTTTGGAATGACCCAATGTAAGTCTGATCTAACCGAAATCAGGCAAGACCATCTCTAGGTACTTCTGATGAAAAGAAGGAGAAATCTGCATTCAAAGTTCATCGTACACTACATTCAGTACAAAATAGGCCTTTTTCTGTAGGTGTTGAGTTTAAATATATACTTTTCTACTCCATTATATATGCAAGGTAATTGCAAACAAATAATACTATGATACCTAGCACATTTGAAACCAACCAGATCAACTTTGAGCAGGAGGAGCGATAGATGCTTCATAAAAAGAAGGTGTAAAGCAATTCGTATTCCGACATTTTTTCACGCATGACGTTTTGAAAGTAAACTCCATTTTCAAGTGGAGCTAGAAACATGAGTTAAAGCATGTTGCATGATAAAATCGTCTGTCGTACTCATGTCACACTCCAATACAAAATACTACCGCGCAAAAGCATTTGTCTTTGACCTTGCTGGTACATTGATTGATACAACTCCTCTTGTCAATCGCTTCTGGAGACAGTTTGCTCTTGAGAACGGCGTTGATGGAGACAAGGTAAAGCATGTACCCATCTGTGGTCATCTAATCATCTTAGATCCTTGCTACTTCCCATGGCGTTCGTACGATCGAGACCATGGCCAAATGGACTCCTCATAGAGCAACAGAAGAGCATGCCCAAGACTTTGAACGAAAACTAGCCGAAGATTCGGACGGTGTGAGTCTCTTGCCTGGTGTGTCTACCTTATTACAGAAACTTCCGCATGGCAAATGGGCTATTTGTACTGCTGGCAATAGCTATATGGCAAAAAAGCGTCTAGAACAATGTGATATAGACCTACCTGAAGTCCTTGTTTGTGGAGATATGGTATCGCATGGTAAGCCTCATCCAGAGCCATATCTCAAAGCCATTGAAAAACTGGGGTTTAAACCAGAAGAAGTGATTATTTTCGAAGACGCACCTGCTGGTGTCAAGTCCGCAAAAGCAGCTGGAGCACAAGTCATTGCTTGTAAAACAACACATAGTCTGGAACAACTCAAGGAAGCAGGCGCACACGAAGTGATTGAGTTGTTAACAGACATTGATTTTGTCACTCTTCCTGACGCTTCTTTTGAAGTACAAGTCAAAAACACACTTTAGCTTTCTTTTTGGCATGGTTTCACGTCATGCATTTTTAAATTTTCGACTTGCTACATGAAGTCATTATTACTCTCTCTTTATTTTTTTCTTCTTGTTTACTTATCCATATGGCCTATAAGGTAGTGAAAGATAATAAAGCAATCGTTTTCTAATAAAAATAAAAAAGTGTGTCTCACAAAAGGTTGCTCAAGCTATTGACGCAGAGCTCATGTCAAGTTCAGGAGGTTTCTCGATTGACCAACTGATGGAATTAGGTAAAAGAGAAACCATAAAGCATACGCTTATCATTCAATAGCTGGTTTAAGTGTGGCTCAAGCAGTACAAAAATCATTTGATAATCAAAAAAGCCCTCATGTTCTCGTCTGTGTTGGCCCAGGAAACAATGGAGGTGATGGTCTAGTGGCTGCAAGACATTTGTGCCATTTCGGTTTTAAGCCCAGCCTCTATTATCCCAAGCAACCTGAAAAAGATCTCTATCAGGTAAGTTCATATAAATGCGTCTGATGATAAATGAACCATATGTTTTGTAGCGTCTCTTAGTTCAATGTAAAAATCTACAAGTACCTGTCTATAAAGAAACATCAGACGACTTGATTCAAAAGTCAGATATCATTCTAGACGCCTTATTTGGCTTTAGCTTCAAAGGTGAAGTTCGTGATCCTTATAAAGAAATTATCCAAATCTTTGAAAAGATATCAAAGCCTATTGTATCTGTTGATATTCCCTCTGGTTGGGATGTGGAAGAGGGTCCTACTGAATTCGTCAAATTTCAACCCGAAATCATGATTTCCTTGACAGCACCCAAGCCTTGCATAAAACACTTTAAGGGCAAGACTCACTTTTTGGGAGGCCGATTTGTTCCTCCTGCATTAGCTAAAAAATTTGATTTTGAAGTACCTAGCTACCCAGGCGTGGATCAAGTAGTTGAATTGTAAATGACTGAAACGAATAAAATTTTTTATTCAGTGGAATAAATATGAATGATTATTTACAGAGTAGAAAAAAAGAGGAGGGATGAGGGGAATTCGAGGGATTTTAGATGTTGGCAATGCGTAAGTTCTTGGGTGGTGGATTAACCATTTTTTTGAAATTTCTTTCAATATGCGAAATATGTTTGTTCTGTTGGAATGATATTTGTTCTTTCAAGACTTGACCCACACGGGTCATACGCTGAGGTTGTCTCAAGAGTGATCCAGCCACGCGACAATACGTTTGTAGAGTTTGGAGACTAGAAGGACTAGAAGAATTGCGGGATTTCTTAGAGACACTTAATTGCTTCTTGTTGAGGGCGCTTTCTTGTTGTAACTTCAAACCTTTGTCAAATAGCTTATGGCCGCATTTGTGTTCTCTGTCGTTTACACATTGTTTGAATCGTTCAAAAATAGCGTTGTGTGATATACCACGAGCACGTTGGAAGATATAGTTGCTAAAGCATTCTTGAAGCATAAGTTTCATTAGCGTTTCGTCTGTCAGTTCTTGTTCATTTTGTTCTTCTTTTTCGTCTTTGACGGGTTGTTTGCCCTTGATGTCTTCAATGTGGAGTGATTGCATGCCGGCTTTTAGGTCATCCAAATCGTCATTACCACGAAGTGTTTCTTCGTCTTCAGCGCGAGTTAATTGACGCTTGAGTTCCATATTTTCGGTGAATTCCTTCGCAATCGAATTGACATATTCTAAAGAAAGTGTATGACGAAGCACAATGGACATAAGAGCAGGAGCCAAAAGAGGGTAGTTAGCGAAAAGTTCTTTGGATAGTTCTCTTTGGTATTCTTCCGTTGTAGTAGGACGGCCCTTTTCACCAAGAACTTGGTGAATATCCCAGTCAGGCATGACAGCATGATTGAGGAAGAAAGCATTCATTGAATCAGACATAGGCTGTTGAGGTTGTGGAGGCGATTGGTCAAACAAGCTAACATCGTAAAAGTCGTTGAGTTGGAATTGGAACATGGAGGGAACAGCGTCAGGCGAATGATGACCTTCTGAGCCAGAAGAAGATGCATTTGATTCATCACCAGAAGAAGAGGGCGGCGTGATGGGTTGATTCAAGACTTGCTTCATGATATCTTCATTGGCTTTACGAAGTTTTGTGTTTTCTTCTTTTAGTGCTTGAATTGTCTTTTCTTGTTGCTCAACCTTTTCTTCTAGTTGAGTAATGTATTCTATTGAAATATCAGTACGTTGTTTATTTATTGCATTTTACTTACCCTTTCTTCTCACTCTAAAGTTGCGAGCAGAAATCTTGTTTCGAAGTTGTCTGATTCAATTTAGTATAGGTATATAAAAGGCTAAAAAAAAGGATATACCTTCGTTCTTTTGATGTCATTTGCTTTAGATTAGAAGAAGAGGAGGAACTTGTGTTAGGGAAGAGTTCTTCGTCAGGTTCTTCATCAGACACTTCTTCAGCGCTGCTTGTAGGTTGTACATTATTGGTAGTATTAGGCGTCTTTTTCATTTTTTTGTTGAAACTTTGAGGTGACTCAGTTACAAAAATAGGTTCTCTGTGCTTGACTTTTTTAGTAGACGGTAATTTCTTTTTACTATCCTTGTTTTTCTCTGAGGCAGGCGTAAAAGTCACGAAATTATCTTTGCCTTGTACAATCGAAATTGGCTGCTGAAAAACGGCGCTGATTTCCTCTTCTGAAAGTTTGGGAATCGGCCCGTTTGTCTTACTGGCATCGATTTTTCCGAGCTTTTCAGCCACCTGATTGACTTGTTCTGGACTCAATTTTTTCGGTCCTTGTTGCTGTGGTATTTGTTGAAAAAGCTGTTCGTTATTCATCGTGGGGTCAAACGTGCTGTGTTGCATTGTGTTGTCTTGTTGTAAGAGGTATTGAAGGATATCAACACCTACATTGCTGTTATTTGGTGGTATAGTGGGTTGATTGTTTTGTTCTGGTAAAGAGGCAATGCGAACTAGAGAGTCAATAATATCATTATCGTCATTTAACCAGTCAAAGTCCATTGATTCCATTTTAGTAATTGTTCGAGAAGAAAGGAGGAGAGAAAGAAGATAACAAGAATCTTGCTTATTAAAATGGCTAATTTGGCGCAACAAAGTGACTCTGTTTTTGGACCTATGCAAGAGGTCTAAACGGTTTCCTTTTTCGAGACATACGTAAGACACTTGCTTTTTTAAGGACCAAGATCAGGTTTAGACACCGCTTGTTCCTTTTGTCATATTCCTTTGTTTAGAAACAAATACAGTGAATCACTTCACTTGATCGTGTAACAAGAACAGAGTAGAAGCATGATTTACTTGCAAAAGATACATTGATATGGAGTTGAAAAAACCAATTTATTTCCAGTAAAACCTAACTAAGAAATAGTATGATTCATTCCATCAATCCAGTACCACTTATCGAGTATCATAGCTTTAGTTAAATTCAACGAGATTTAGCAGATGCCTTTCTTCTTTTTTTTTTTTTTAGTGTCCAACCGAAAAGGCATTACCGATAGAACATTGAAACCCTACATATATGTATTATCAATTTGACAGCTTAATGTAGTTGAAATAACGCAACGAAAACAAGATTACTGCCCTGAACAAAAAGGAATAAAAGTAACAGCAAAGAAAGAAAGTTATCTGATCTACCTTTTATCATATATATATATATATATATATATATATATATATATATATATATACCAAGGCTTGTACTACAGATTCTTTTTAAAGAATTGACCTTGTCGTTTGTTACACAGAAAAAGCTTTTTCTCTGTCATCTAAATATAAAACATCTGTAGTATATTTTATTTAAATTCTATTTCAGAGAAACAATGTAAATGTACCATAGGCAGCATATAAATTCAAATATAAAATGGATAGCCGCATGAGTCAGCTTATGATTGTAAAGCACAGATATCAACATGTCTCTAAGATGGTGTACAAAAAGGCGATCTACTAGTAGCATCTGGTCGAATAATACACCCAGCATCAACTATGTTATGTGTATTTGGTGTAGGAGATCCCCAAGTCATTGAAACAGCACATATGAGGGCTATAAGGGACATAGCAATTTTATTCTTCTTCATCGTCATTTTCTTTTAGAGAGATACAATAAGAAAATACTGGCCATTTTATAGTTGTATAGCAGCCGAATTGAAGGGCAACATGTTTACCACTTGTCATGCCGTCTTGCATATCCCATTGCCGTTGTATAGACTACACTATCAAGACGAACTTAGTCATGCTCATTATCTGTTTATTTTTTTCAAGCATCTTGTAACTATTTCTCTGGCAATAAACAGCAAAGACATTGTTTCTTTTTTTTTTTATTATTATTATTTAATAAAAATGGGTTGTTTGATCTGATAAGACAATGGATTGGCTTGGTCAAAATACAAAAAATAATAATTTCAGGGCTACTACTGAGCTCACTAAATTAATCCGGACCGCACTACTGATTTTTAGTATGAAGAAGAAGAGCTCCGAACACCCTTACAAGAAGAAGCATTCAGCCAGCATGGTCTTGTTTCCCCCTCTCATCCAATATGGTTCGTAAATCCATCCATACGTGCAAGCAATACTCTCAATCTCGACATGATTACTATAACAATGAATGCTATGAGGAATATACAGCAAGATAAAAATGGATATACATTGACGAAAATTGAAGAAGATCCATCCATCCATCCATCCATCCATCCTATGCATCGATAGCCCTTAATAGCACTTTGTTTTGATTCAACGAGAAAGAGAGAGAATGCACACATCCATCATATCAGAGAAAAAAAACTAACTTGATCCATAGGCTAAAAAGGACGTTGCCGCTAAGCCTAGCTCCTCATCTGGTGGAAAGAAGGCCAAGAAGAAGTGGTCTGCTAAGAAGGTCAAGGACAAGGCCAACAACTTGGTCATCCTCGACAAGCCCACCTATGAACGTTTGTTCAAGGAAGTTCCTACTTACAAGCTCATCTCTCAATCTGTCTTGGTTGACCGTCTCAAGTTGAACGGTTCTTTGGCTCGTATTGCTATCCGTGAACTTGAAGCTCAAGGTTTGATTAAGCCTATCTCTCGTCACCACGCCCAAATCATCTACAGTAAGTTTTTTTTCTCCCTTGTATATAGTGTCTAATGTGTCTTATAGCCCGTGCTACTGGTGATGAAAAGAAGGCTGTTGCTGATGAAGAATAAATTATCCTTGAATAAATGCCCTTTTAACACGTGTGTGTATGTAGACTGAAAAATACCTCATTGATAAAAAGGAATTGCATGATATGTATATATATGTGTGTGTGTGTGTGTGTGTGTGACGTATATTGTGTCGTCTTTTGTTTATTTTAGCCCTTCATTTCTCTCTCTTTCTTCTTAACTTTATATGGCAGGAAAAACAAAGGCACCAGACGAGGAGAATAGCCTTTGTATAGACACACAACCAACCTATGGTACTGTAGGACCAAACAGTGATAGTTGTTCTTCGCGTGGTACCAGTGACATTGAGGAAACAGGAGATAATAGTGTTGTTGAGCGAAAAAAGAGACGTATGGAACAGAGACAGTGCTGTAGACCATGCTTATCATCTCGGTTTTCTTCTATTTTACCAAAATCATTGGAACAGGATCTTGTCCTTCCAGCCCTGGATCAAAAGTAAATGCACATCTAACTTTGTTACTAGTTATTGATATTATCTAGTGCAAAAGAAGTGATGGAAGCCATACCATCCAATAGTTCATTGGACCAGCTGTTGTTTATGCGTCATCCGCATATCAATTTAAGCACCGTTCGTTCAAATTATAGACTAGAGAGAAGAAGAGCTCGGTAAACAGAACACGACATGTATACAGTCATTCATTTTCAGTAGTCATGAAACTCGAAAAAGCTCTCTCAGGGACATTTTTGCCTATCATCCAAATATAGTGTTTATCAAAAATATACTGTATGCCAAAGAGACCATTATTTTATTTGTAAGCCTAGTTTGGGGGTTGATGTAGAGTCAATTAAGCTATTATAGGTCTATTTAGATTTGTTGGTTGATTTACTCTTTTCGCTTGTCTATCTAGTGGAAATGAAGCAGGAATCCGATGTCAATTTAGACCCTCCATGGCTGTATAAATGGAGGTCGTATGATTTATGGTAAAATCCTAATGGATCATGTGATCATACTCTAATGATATATAGGCTTGTTTGTTTGACACTTTCTTGCTGGGATATTTGTTCTTTTGCTATCCGTAATTTCACATCTATTTAAGGTTGTTTATTATGCTAATCAAGCATTAGGGCTAATTATTTCAAAGCATCCGAGTGCTGTCTTGTTTAGTTTCCGCTGTCTGATTGAACTGCTTACTACTATCCCTTTCTTAGTCTCGGTCTGGATACTTCATGGACAATATCTTTATGGTAAAATCAGATAGAGGTGTATTTGGACTCATTCTGTTGACAGTGCCTTACTTTATTCGAACATGGGTCTTGCTGTTAAGAATCAAGAGTGCCATGAAAATCAAAATCAATCTACAAATCACAGACAAACCAGCAGATCCTCTTCGAACGAAACTGATACATTTAGTCTGTACCTTGGTCGTGTTGTTGTATAATGGCACATGCGCATTTCAGTATATGGAAGTGACATTTGGTGTCCATAACTATAGTATTCTCGAGTCTTTATATGTGGTCATGGTCACACTGTCCACTGTAGGTTATGGTGGTAAAGTGTCACAGAATTGTCTCACATGTCGCTAATTGCCTCATAGACATTACACCAAATACACAAGGCAGTCGAATTGTGATGATGTTATTGATTGTGATTGCTTTGTCTGTACTTCCTGTACTGATTAGTGATGTTCTAGACACACTTCGAAAGAGAAAAGGCAAGTAAGTAAAGTATAAACACAACCTTATGTTCTTGTAGATGGTGAAGGACATGTTAGTAGAGGCACCCGTCCTTTTATCTTGATTGTAGGCTCGTTTATGCTAGATCAAGTCGTTGAAATTCTAGATGGTTTTCTGAACACAGTAAATAAAGCCCAACCTATGCATATGTATACTTAACCAACTTTTAGGAAAACACAGAATATCATTTAAGCTTAGTGTTTTTGGATATCAATCGTCCTACAGAACAACTCAAAATGATGGAAAGAAACTCTATTTGGGGTCACCGAGTTCAATTCCTTCATGGCTCAGTCTTGGTAGGTCACATTGTCCGATAAACATATAGCTCATCGTATGCATAGGATGAAAAGACATTGCTGCGTATTGTAAGACCATGATGAGTGGGAGACAATACTAAATGAAGTTGTATAGGAAGCAAGATATGCTCAAGCCATATTTACTATTTCAGGCACGTATGCTTTTGATCTTATCCCCCACCCCACTTTTATTCATCTTTGAAGAGTAGATCAAAATGCATCAGATCCTGCTAAAGAAGACGAGAGAAATACAGTCCGATTATGGTCCCTTTATTGTCACACTGTCACACACAATGTCCCTATTTATACCTATAATCTGTCGCCCAGCACAGCCATTTATCAAAAAGTAGCGAAAGAAATCATTTGTGTACGCGAATTCAAACAATATCTGTTGGCCATGAACTGTCGATGTCGTGGTGCATCTACTCTTTTGACCAATCTATTGCATCAACGACAACCGATCAATCGTTATGATGAAAGCTGGCAAGCACAGTTTGGTAAACAAGATATACTATAGCAAAAAGTGTATTCATCAACAATAGACGATGGTTCTTGTAATGAAATCTATACAAGTAATACACCTAGATGTGTACAAGGCCTCACGTTTGGTCAAGCAGTGATGGTAATGGCTGTTTGTGATTGACATTCCACTGATAAGTCCTTAGTATATTTATGAAGAAACACAAGTCATTTTATTCGCTGTCAAGACATTTATGAAGGAACGCAATGATTATGAAATCTTGCTTAATCCAAGTAATTCTTATGAAATGAAGACATTGGACGAATGCGTCTATATTGCTGAAGGACCCAAAGAAGTGCAAGATATTCATAATCTAGTAAGTCGGCTTGACCTGTTCTATATTTCTCATTATAATAGAATAAACCTGGATTTGGGTTCATTGAGTCGTATAATAAAAGCGTCCATAAGGCAAAAGAACAAGATAGCCATTTGCCTTCTTCCTCGCATCAAAAGACACAAGCCTTTTTAGCTTCTAGCTTCAATCGACAGTCCAGGTCATCCTCTTCTTCTTCTTCAAGCTCTTCTCACAAAAGTAAAGTAGCCAAACAACCCTTCTCTGTCTCGAAACTGCCTTCAAGACGCCATGCTCTTTTGACAGGCAGTCGTGCATTGATCACACGTATTGGCAAGACATCGTATGAAAAAGAAATCGTAGATGATACTTCACTGCCTCTTTGTTGTCTGTTGGAAAAGCCCGTTAAACTCGAAGATGTCACTATTCAATCAGCAGAAGGCATGCATAACCATATTCTTGTCTGTCTTCATCGAGAAGTGGTCAATATGTTTAAGTTTATCTATAATTTGCGATCACCTAATATCAAGATGAACGAGTTGCAAGATATTGTTCTTTTGTGTTCAAAGAAGCCTTCGAGCAAGATATTTGAATTGATCAGTACATTTCCCAAAGTGTATTTCATGCAAGTAAGTTGGTTTATGCTATATATATAAAGGGAACATGGACTAAGTCTTTTGATTTCTTTAAAAAAAAAAGGGAAATTGTAGGCATCCTGATGATTTATTAAGAGCAGGCGCAAAAAGAGCAAAACAAGTGGTTGTCATGAGGTAAATTTTTGCTTCATTAGTCTAATTGACTTTATGTTTTTTTTTATAGTGAAAAAGAATGCTTGGATCAGTATGAACGTAATTCAGATAGTCCAGCCGTAATGACAAGCCATATTCTGGATCTCTTGTTACAGGAAAGACCAAAAGATGCTTATACCATTGTCAACCTAAGTAAGCTTGTTTACATAATGTGTTGTGTCTCATCAGTGCGATTAGTTGAAAAATCCAATATTCGATTTATGCATTTACTTCAAGGAAAAGACGTAGCAGAAGAAATTGATGTGTTCTATACACCTGCTTATGCAGCAGGCGATGTGATTGCAGACAGTCTGATCAGTAATGTTTTACTTAGTCAAACCTATTATAAACCTGACATTGTCTCTATCATCAAGACTCTCTGTGGTATGCCTGGCCCTCTGTACGATGGCTCCGCTGCTTATTTACTCTCTACAACACCTGAGATCAAGACAGCCACCGCGGCTGCTCGTCTCGCGCCTCATTTGACTAGTATCCCTATGCCCTCTGAATTCGTGGGACGCAGCTATTCTGTCCTGTTCAAGACTTTATTGACGCGTTATGAAGTCTTGGCCATTGGCTTATTTCGTGCGCCTGATGATGGACTCGGGAACGAATTGCCCTTTGTTTATGCTAATCCAGTACCTTCTTTAATACTCAAAGATTCTGACATGGTCTATTGCTTTTCTCCGCCTGGGTTCTTGAATCAATAATAAAGTTTTATTTAAATATCTCTAAGGGAATTATCGCCCAAGATGGCAATAGCAGCACCTAAACACCATCCTGTTTCTACACCATTGATCTTCTTGGCCACCGTGAGTTCTCTATCATGAGGAATTTCATAACCAAAAGACAACAAGCGGTAAATAAACGAAAGATCCAAGCACCATTCAGGACGATCCAAGAGTTCATCGCGAAGTGAAATATCAGTGACGTTCTCTAGATAAGCGCCCGAGCACACAGCTTCAGTGAGATCCGCCAATTGAGGTAAACGGAACGAAGGAGGCAAGCCAAGAGGCTGTGTGCGGTCATGGAAATACGAAAAGATATAGATAGGTCCCTTGGTAAATGCATCGGCAATCGGGGGCTGATAGATACCGTCAAATGAACAAGGTGCGTCCTCGCATGGCTTGTGTTTGTTGAACGTCAAGTCGGCCACGCCTAAACAGTCATCGTATGAGCCAGCACCCAAGAACTGAACAGGTATGTCGAGTTTGTTGTATTCCCATGTAAGTCCTTTGGGAAGACAGGCATGCGTCGTATGTTGTTGATCCAAAATGTGTTGATGGATACGTTTACGGGCTTCCATCAGGCCATAACCCAAATAAGAATGCTGATAGAGAAGATAGTCTTGGCCATCATGCTTCAACAAGTACTTGAAGTCATTGTCGGGAAGTTCGGGTAAAGAACTGTCGGGTAACCGGTCAGGTTCAAACACGATCTGAGTGGACCCACCTCCAAGATCCAAGACAGCCGCTGTATGGGGTCGTGTAGGCTGAGGATCCAAATTACCCAACAAGAAATTAACTGTGATCCATGCATACACACCTTCATCTCTACCGTCCATGATAGCCACACCATCTTGCCCAATGATAAGGAAAGGATACTGGGTCTCTACATGTTGACGCACCGCTTTTAAGATCGCATCACTTTTCAATTGACCCAACAAACGAAGTCCTGCAGTAGCCTTGATAGCCATAGGTGTCTTTTTCTGTAAATGTGAGGGTACGATAGCAACAGCACGGTCTAACAAAACGTCTAAGGATTCGGCGGCTGCTTGAGGATTGTCTGGGTAGGCGGATAAGCCGGGTATGGTTTGTGCAAACAGTTCTTCTTCTTCTAGATGGACAGGCTCATGATGACTGCATTGGCGAAATCGGTAGACGTGAATACGGGATCCTGTGGAGCCGGCATCGACCATAAGTGCATAGCGTAAACATTCATTGTCGGTATTCGATAATGAAGGAAAGAAATAGACTATGATAGCAACCAAAATACCAAGTGCCATCATACTCAGACGTACTTGGACAGCTTCTTTGGATCGCCTGTTTTTAGCATGTGCTTTAGCAGCTTCTCCAAACTGCTGATAAGGTGAAGGATTCGATCGCTTTGCAGACATAAAGTTTATAATATGTGAAAGAGAGAAAGAAACACTTTATTATATATATATATATATATATATATATAGTATCGGCTTCAGGAGACAATTTTACCGTGCGCGATATAAATTTAACAACTGGTTGCATTCCAAAACTTCTGAGCAAAAGAAAGCCACATGGTACTGCTGGTAATGCTAGGATCACCATATGTTAAGGTAGCTGTCCATTCTTTACCAGTAATGGTCGCAAGTGACTTTCTCAAGACAGAATCAAAGAAATCAAAATAGACAATGTCCACTAAAGTAGAGCCATTACCACTGGGTAAATCAGAGTCAACATAATAAGGGATATTATAAGAGGGATAAGGGACATGAGGAGTATCATCACCTGTATTCAAAGTTAGCGACTGTTGCATTAGGCTTTGTATTTACCGTCTGTTCCGAAATCGTCTTTGGTAACATATCCCTTGGTTAGATTTTGAGCTCGCTTAACAAAGGAAGCCTGTTCATTCAAGGTAATTGGGTTCTCGGTATAATAAAGACTGCGCTTTTTAAATACATCGCTTTGACCATTTAATTTACCCAAGACTTGCTTGGCAGCTTCAAGAGGGACATCATGGATAGCATAGAACTTGTCTTCAAAAGGAGATATTTGATACATGTTGTCCAGACTAAAAGGACCTTTGTAGATTTCATAACGAATACTACCACTGTTGATAATGTAATAAGCAGGGTTGGTTCTTTCCTTGTTGAGCACTACTTTGGGAAGCACTTCTTTGGTGGCTAAACGAAAGATACTGGCGCTGCTGTTCAGAGGAGCAGAGTACATGAGATAGTCTTGAGAAGCACAGCCCAAGGTAGTAGACAGCTTGTATTGGTCACGGAGTTGTTTGATGGTCTTACTCATCTTTTTGCCTTTGCTTGTATCGAATTTCTTGGTCTTGCCATCCACAGAGTGATAGATAAAAGTAGGTCTGTTTTGATCAAGGTAGCGTCTATGGAAAGTGACATTGCCACTCTTCTTTACGTGCTTATTGGAGACTCCCTATCCAATATATGAATACGATATCATTTGAGTCAGTATTACCTCCACAGAAAAGAAACCAATTGTCTCGAGATATCTACCAGATTCAATACCAGCAGCATAAGCATCATATTTGACAGCATCACGAATGTGTCTATCAAGGCCATAAGTCAAAAACAAAAAACAAACAAAAAATTCTTACGTGTGACCACCCAAGACAGCAATAGGAACGGTAGGCATCTGAGCTCGAATAGCTTTGATCACTGTATAAATCTCGGTAAAGCGAATACCGACATGACCGATCACAGCGACAATATCGGGAGAATGTTGGTGCAGAGATTCATCAAACCAGCTTTGCTGGATTTCAGTTGCCACGTCTTGTACGACAGAATTAGCACCATTGCCTTTGAAGTTGTAAAGGAAACCATAGGCCAATACACGTGTACCAAATTTGCCTTCAAAATAAGTATATTTCTCACTGCAATAGATAAGTAACCATGCCAAATGAGCTTGACTTACCCAATAGGTGTGGTCTTGTTGGTATGGACATCCTTGAAATAAACATTTGAAGCAACATAACGATCTTTCCAATAAGGGATAAAGTTTTTAACGGTATCGGCAGTGATGTTCTCGACTATCAACATGGTCACTAACATGCCTATCATCCTATTTTATATATTTATTTTATTTACCGTACAGCTCGTGGTTGCCTATGATTGAAAATTAGCAAACTTTACGAATCTATCGATCGTATTACCAATTGTCAATAGATCATAAGGAATGTTAGTCAATAATGGCTGAGATACAAGACCCTTAGGGGACGTTACATCACTTAGACCGTTACCTAAAGTAGTACAACATGAGTACAAAAGAAATAAGTTTTTGAATTACCATCGTGTGTATCTCCAGTATCAACAACAAAAATGTCTTTTTTCATCTTTTTAGCTTTTTGCTTCATTCGATACTAAATTTGGGGGTTGAATATTGAATAGGCGATTTATGAAGAATTTACCGTAAAGGAATACAAATCGCCTAAATCGCCATTATAGGAACCTTCTAATACATGACCCTAAAGCAACAAGTTAAGGTTTTGTCATGATTTCAAGTGTGCCTCTACCTCAAGCCAGCCTATTTATTTTATGATGAGAGTGTATTTCCTTACTTATATTGTTTTCTTACCGTGTATATCCGTCGTATGAATGAAATTTACATCACCCCAAACCAAAGGACTCAAATTAGGCAAATCAGGAGTAGCAACAGCATCTGATTGTTGTCTCTTTACTAGCGTATGTCCCAACACGCTCTGTAAGGACAAGATGCCTACAGCCAAAGACCATGTAGAATGCACCATCACTAGAAATAAATAAATAAAAAGAAGCAAAGAAAACGAAATCAAATATGCACTGTATTTTATAAATTTTTCTGTACGCTCTCATGTAAACTTTAGTTGTTGCTTATCACGTTTGATAAATAATCGCTAGGATTTGATTATCTATAAATTCACCCATACCAATCAATTATTCACGATATGCTCTCTTTTACTTGATATTCTGATGACAAATCAAAAGATCAAATGTATTGGCTCGATATAATTTTATTTTTGCTTATTTGAAAAACCTTAAATTTCTACAATTTACTCTTTTTTTTTTCAGATGAAATCATGAAGCCAAACAAAACGTCATTTTACAAACGGAGGAGATACTTGTTTTTGGGAGTGTGAACCAAACAACTGGTTATTATGTCATAAAGTACAATGAGTTTAATAAATCAAGATACTCCCTTTTACGGAGAATGAAAACTAGAAATCACCTTTTATGGAAGCAACATTCTAAAATGTTCTATCACTATAATGAAATCGATTTATTTACATAAGAATAGTTATATGCTAGTTAAATGAAGAAAAAGTATATATATATATATATATATATATATCATAGATAACGCTTCTTTTCTTTTTGCATGAATGTAAAAAGCATAATAATAATAATAATAATAATAAAGAGTGTAGATTGAAAAGTATTGAATATGTTTGTGTGTGTGTGTGTGTGTGTGTGTGTGTGTGTGTGTGTGTGTGTGTGTGTGTGTGGGAGGGGGGGGGTTAGAAACGTTTGTTTAAAAATAAAAAAAATAAGATTCATAATAGCTTTTTTTTTAGGGGCTTTATAATTATGACTTTACATGGGATTGGGAAAAGTAATCGTTAGGCTCATTTCCTGAAGATTCCTTGTTAATTACTGTATTAAGAAATGGTGTCAAACCAGTTGATGTTGTAGAAAAGGAAGGCATGGTGTTAAAATTGGAAGGTGGATAGAAACTGGCACTGGAATCTCGTCTAAATCCCAAGGGAGATGTATTATTGGTGATGTCGACAGATGTCTTGCGAAGATAGGCTTGCTAATTATGATGTGAGAACAAGCGTAATAAACTCAATTCAACTTACCACTGATTCACAATCACAATTGCCGTGAGTTAATAACAAATTACGCAAATACATGCTTTCTTCTTTTAATTGTGCAACCAGAGCACGAAGTTCTTCATTTTGATTGTTCTGGATTTCTGCCTTTTGCTCGAGTTCAAGCATCCAATTTTTCTTTTTTTGACGGCATTTATAAGCTATGTTTTTTGTTTGAGTATAAGGGTCTAAGACCAATGTGTGACTTACCTGCAACACGATTTCTTTCAAGAAACTTTTTTCTTCGGTCCTCCGCATCTTCACCTTCAAACAAAATGCGTCTTTTACGACCACTTGAGTTTGTCTTTTGAGGCTGAGGATAAGAAGGTTTCTCGCTCTGTTTGGCAGATTGAATACGAGAACTACGACGATTTGATTCTTCCATGTAGTTTTGTGTAGATGAAGGATGAAGCGTGGTATGATGAGGTGCGACTACTTTTGATGTATAGTGTTGTGTGTATGAATTGTCCGTGGCTTGATCAGAAGAAGAAGTGGAACTGAGACTGAAAGACGAGCTACTGGGACTTTGACTGACTGACATGGGAGGTGTGGGTGGTGAGTGGATAGACTCAAGCGTCATTTCAGGTTCGGGGGAGGTTGTGTACATGATTTGGCTTTCATACACATTGGGTTTTGTAAGAGGAGGAAGTTCTGCTGGCTTGGGTGTGCGTTGGAAATTACAGTCAAAAGGGTTTATTTCATGATGCACGTCTAGACTTGGTGTCAAATTCCATTCTCCGTTTTCAATCAAGAAGCGAGTGGGAGTTGCAAGAGCAACCATTGAGTTATCTACAAGCATATCAGTCTGCGTGCCTTCATGAGTAAAATAGTAGCATTTACCATCTGCCATCATGGTTATATATGTATATATGTAAGAAAGTATGAAAGTAAAATAAAAAAAAAATAAAAAAGATAAACAAGTGGGAATCTATTTTATAGTCAGGAAATATCGGAACCTTAATCTTGTTTTTGATCAACAAGAATAAAAAGAAGGCCAATGCTTGCTACATGATGTCATTTATAATGAGAGTTCAAGGCTTTATGATATCACTTGTTCATTTTATTGTGTAACATCAAAAAGATTCTGGCCTTGTCAAAAAAGAAACCTTCACAAGATTCTATCGTTTTCTATAAGCTAAAACAGTTTCTTAATGCATGATCGTTCTGTCCTTCGCCTAAAATAGAAGTTGACAGGGATTACATACGCCATTTTAGAAAAGAATCGAGATAGTACGAAACAAGAAGTAAAGGCTTCCTTAAACAAAGTTTGGCTTCAAAGACCAAGAACTAGGTAAATGCAGCCTAAAATGGAAAATGGCTTATTGAAACTACATCTCCATGGTACCATTACTACCTTTTTTTCTTTACAAGATTAGTATCCCTTTTAATCGATACTCAGCACTTGTACTTTCGATTTCGGCAACTAGAAAAATAAACTTAAAAGAAAAAAAGCACTTTTTTCTTCTGCTATTTTAACAAAAACAGGTGAATTAGAACAATTTAGAAACTTTTATTTTTTGCCACTTTCTCGCTCTAGACGCTTCATTTCTGATTGTTCTCCTTCTAAAATGTTCATAACGCCCTTCACATATTTGTTGTAATCAGCGTCCTTTTGCTTACGTTCCTTTGCTCTCTCACGAGCAATGAATTGGCTATCCTTGCGCAATTCACGTAAGGCGCCCTTCTTTTCTTTCTTGAGTTGAGCTTCAAGTTTACGTTGTTGAGAACGCTCATGGTCAGGGTCATAATGACGATCCATAGAGTAGGCATTTTCAAACTTGGGCAAGTGTTGTGCAATGGGTATGGGACGATGAGATTGCATACGAAGAGGTGTCTTGATACGCTTTTCTTTGCAGAATTTGATCTGTCTCTCAAGACGATCTTTTAATGTGTTAATCAATGTCTTGATATCTGTATGCCAGCTAGCCATGGCTAATGGTGTAACGAGAGCCAATGTACTCTCAAAGACTTCCACAAGGGCTGGTGTAGAAGCGTAGAGTTGCAAATAGTTGGTCATTAAAGAGAGTGTGGCTTGTAATAAAGATAATCGGATATCCTTAGTTTCTTCCGTAGCTAATTGATCAAGTTGGAGACGAGGAATGGTGTCTAAGTTGTCTCCTGTCGTGTCTGTGATGGACAATGGTTTATCAGATTGTGGAAGAGGGAAATAACCGGGTGTTTTCTCGAATGTCTGTTGAGGTGACAACAACACAAGACATTTGTTTAAAAAGTTGATGGATTCAGGTATAAACCGTTTTGAGACAGCTTGATACTATTTTTGACCAGTTAATGCATGCTACAGACATTATTTATGGTTTTACCTCTGAGGTTAGTAAAGTTAAGAACAGACCACGTCCAATATCAATCTCAGTTTCCACACGGCACTGAGACAAGGCATGACACATAAACAATGAGGCTGGTGTAGCAATAGGATGCATCAAATCTGAAGTAGAAAACACTTGGCCAATCAAGCGCAACATGGTCAAATCTTCAACATCAGGCCATGCAGACCCTGTGGTATGCTTCATCTTCTTGGCCATTTCTGCTTGCATCTTTTTCAATTTACTATGGAATGCTTGTGCAGCAGATTCAGGCAGTTGTTGAGAGAGTTCAAAGACGTGCAGGCTTAGTTTCTCAAGGACTGTGGTAGGTAAAGGAGTCACTGTAGAAGCAATATAGGCCATATGGTCCACCAAAACAGTCAAGAACTGAGATAACTTGGCCTTATTTTCATGTGCTAATTTGATGTGATACAGTACACGGATACGCTTGGTGACCACAAGACAATCTTCTACTTCTAGACCTTCAAGAATCTGAAGGAAGGCTTCATGCGTGGTAGGGCATTCAAAGGTGAAAGGAATTTCGCGCTTTTCAGTAGATACTTGAGGGCTCTTTGTTTGCTTTTTCTTGACGATGCCTGATTGACCCATTTCATTCATATCATCATCGTCGTCGTCGCCAAATTCAAGAGGCTCATCATCCATGTCTTCAAGGTCTTCATTATTTGTTTCTTCCTCTTCTTCGTCGTCTTCGTCGTCTTCGTCGCCTTCTTCTTCGTCGTCCTCTTCTTCTTCTTCCTCACTGTCTTCTTCTTCGTCATCCAAAGCACCATTTTGAATATCTTCAAGTGTTAAGCCTTTACCAAGCTTATCCACTTCATCTTCTAATTCAGCAAGATAATCATCATCAAGATCATCACCTTGAGGTGCACCCTTTCTCTTCTTGTGAGACTTCTTTTTGCTTGAGCCTTCATCTTCACTATCAGAATCAAGACCTTCCATACGTCTCTTTCTAGCACGCTCAGCCTTTTCTAATTTCTCTTTCTCTTCGATCGCAATTTCTTCTTCGGTTTTTGTTCTGTCTGTAGCTTGAGCACGTTGATCATTGGCTAATTCGAAAATGGCTTTATCGTAATCAGCATAGTCATCCAAATCATCACTGTTCTTTGGCTTCTCGTCTTCTGTACGCTTAAAGAGAGCACTTTGAGAAGGCAAAGGTTTACGTGCAGGCTTTGTTTCCAATAATCCTCGAATATCAGCTAATTGCTCATCCAAGTTTTCACGCAACTCATCATCTTCTTGTTTAGCTAATTGACGCTCAGCCTAATAGAGTATGAATAATAGCATAAAAGTTTTGTGTTATCTACCTTGTGCATTTTACTTTTAGCAATGATTTCCTTCATCACTTCATTCTTGGACTTGGGTCTATCTGAATCATTCTGAGGAGCATCTTCATCAAAACCACCAAAGTGCATTTGGGAGACAATGTTTCTATCCATTTGTTTACCGCCTTCTTCTTCATCACTCAAGCCCAAGCCTGCATCATCAAAGTCATCCATAGTAGACAAAGATTGACCATAATGGGTCAAGGAAAGATCTTCATCATCATCGTCCAAGTTAAACATGCTTGTTTTGGCTGACTTTTGTTTTTCTCTTGTAAATCTTTCCAACATCTTTTCTTCAGGTGTCAATGAAGGATTATTTTCACCAAAACGCTTATCAATAATACCACCCCGACGACCCTTGTTTTTCATTTCGACCAGCAATGTTTTTTTACGCTACACAAGTCAATAGACATCCTGACAACGATCTACTTACGTTTTCTTCACCCACTTGCTTACTCAATGTAGGCTTACCAGAAGTACCTTTCATCTTTCGGCCGAGAATTTCAAACTTAGCCTTTTGGTGCTTTTGTTCAAACGGGTTAAACTCGCCACGGATCAACGAGAGTTTTTTGTCTGCATCGTTCTTGCCGACTTCAGTAGGTGCGCCTCGCTTACGATCCTTTTTGGACTGACTGGCTCTTGAGGTTTGTCCGACAACACCGGCAGCATGAAGAGACTTCTTAAGTCGCTTGAGGGCAGATCCACCACTACCTTTGGGTTGTTGATCTGTCTTGGGAACCATGATAAATGAGTTAGAAAGAATAGATCTTGATTTTTTTTTCTGACAGGTTTTTTTTTTTTTTGAAAAAGAAAAGATAGTCACTTTTCCTTTTTTAGATTATGACTGGAAATGCATGTTTATATGTTGTATACGGCTTTTTTTGTCTTGTATATATCAAGTATGCTAGAAACCATTATTCTATCTACGGAAATACATACAACTGAATAGAGGTCTGGTTGCATTGAGCATAGCAATAGATGTATAAAGAGGTAACGCTTGTTTTCGTCGGAGAATAAAAAGTGGTTCTGAAATTTCGTGTTGCGAGAAGATGAGCTTTTTCTGCCTTACTACATTACTAAAAGATGTGCATCTTGTTATGGCAATCACATGAATTTAAAAAGCAGCTCCTTTTCGATAGTAGAATATAATGATAGATTTCGAGGTTTCTAAGACCAAGCACAGAATTTTTATATCACTTCTTGTATGAAAATGCAGCTATCTGTATCAAGTCGCTTTAGTACATGTTTGAAGTACTTAACCGTGCATCTAACTTCATGTCTTGATGAGAAAAGTTAGGAAGAGAAGATCGGACGGAGTTTGAAAATCAAATCACTGAACGAACCCTGGATGTCTACAAGCACTTTTGGCCCATTTTTCCCTTTTGATTTTTCAAGTCCCAAAAGTGCTTTAGAATCGCCTGTTATTGTGGTAAGGATGATGTGTTTATATTTTTTTGTTAGAAAGTGCCTCATTCGCATGAAAAAGCTGCACTTTTTAGGCTATTGTTACGAAAACTGACTGCTATATCATCTTTGGAGTCGAGTTATATTAATGGCAAGCATGTCTATTTTAAACAATTGTTTGGTTTCTTTGCATCGTAAATAATATTACTCAAGACAAAAAAGCATATGATTCTTCATGATTTATAGTTGCCGAATGATGTTCCTGGATAAACCAACCTTATCAAAAATAGTGTTTGATCACTAAAGTCAAATGCGAAATTTGATTTTCAACCGAAAGTTAAACAATGAACCATATAAAGCATTGAATTTTCCTCAGTTGTACAGCTATAGAACAAAAACAGTTTAATAATGCAGCGATACAAACAATAGTACATTGCTTTTTTGTAAGTTTTTCTTATAATGGTATACGCCAATAAGTGATAAAATAATCGAACAAATCAACATCAAACGACTTTTTGTTATCTAATGACTCAAAGTGTTCTTGGAACAACCTCTATAATGGCTCAAAATAAACTTTGTATGAGGTCAATTCTTTCCCATTTTTACTCTGATCATAAGTTGATTCTATTCTAACTTCTGGCGTTAGATTGAATTATTCAGATTAAGAACATGAGCATTCATGGTTTCCTATTTGTTTGTATGATTGGCTGGAAAGCAATCAATGATTTTCTTATTTACTGAATAAGCTTATTTATCAAGCTGTTTATTTATTTCTCTCTTTTGGAGATTAGAGTTGCCTTGTGCTATAGGTGAGTATTCAGTTGAGTGGCTTCTTTCTTATACCTTTTGAATGCTTTTTCTTGCTATATCTTTGTTATTGAGAAAATGTCGTAGGAACTTATTGAATTTTGGTTTGACTGGTTTTATGCATTTTATGGGAGCACTACTGATTAAGCAATTGTTTTTTTTATGATCCTATTAGTAACAAGAAGCACGATGAGTTCAATTAGTATTCATTGTGCTTAAAAAGTCCATCTTAACTGATCTTGTTAATTGCCTTTATTCTTTTTAATTAATCAGTGCTTAAAATTATCCATCATGGTGATAACAAGATTTCAGTGACTGAGCCCTCTTTCATGGAATAATTACGCCTTATACTTTTTTTTCTTCATTTTTCCTTTCAGAAAACATTTTATCAGTGAACATTTTTCATCCCAAAGTGCTTTTCAAAGACACTTTTGTCATATGCACAATGAAATGAGCATTATACCAATCAATGAGGCTCAATAACAAGAGGGCCAACAACAACAAAAGGATCCATATCAGCAAAGTGGCTAGCAGTGACAATAGCAAGAACGAAGAAACAGAAGAACATATGAAAAACTACATCCTTTAGACGTTGAAGCAGTACAAAGTCATATGCAAGATAACTTCGATAGCTTAACATGAAAAGAAAAATTTTCAATCCTATTTAGAAGAAGGTTTTCGTTTATTTATGAAAGAAACGAGCAAGACGTTCTTCATCTGCTTTTCTAGAAAAAACCCTCAGAACAAACTCGCATTTACTAATGATTGCCTAAACATCTCAAATAAAACTTTCCTTGATGACCGAAAAAATATCACCCAGGGAAATCCTCTGTCCACTTCAATATCTATTTCAAAAAAGCGATTATTTTTGAATAAATGTACAAATTTCGAAAATATGTCGATTCTTTCCACGACATTCTGCAATGTTCTTTCTTTTGTTCTTAATCCAATACCGCTGCTCTTATCATTCTGCTTCAATTGCGTACTGTTGATAAAAGAGAAATTTGATCTAAAAGCATCCAAAAGTGGAACCCTAAAATTGTCAGTGTTCCCTCTTCGCTTGGTTTTAGGAGTAAAAAGATTGTAGTATGCTCCCTTTCAGCAATCTTCCATTCTTTTTTTCTTACCCATTGCGTTGGAGAAAAAGAAGAAAGAGGAAAGATTGAATCAGTTGAATTATTTTTGATATAAATCAATCTGCAATACTTATATATTTTTCTTCCTATTTGGTTTTTAAAGGATTGGACTTGAGTTTAACTACAAAAGCTGATAGATCTTTATTTCAACACGTTAGATTAATTATCAAACCACTAAAATCAGGCCAACTTTCTTATAGACTTGATGAACTAACTCATTTAAGCAGGCTTAATAGACACAATGAATTCAAAAGTCAAAAAAAAAAGTATATCACTAACATATTATCCTGTCAATGGAGTCTATTTAAATACCAGATGAACATTTAAACATATTCAGTAAGGCTGCTCTTCTTGAGAATTTTATCCCTTGCTTTATATGTCAGTAAACTAGAAAATACAATTCAAACAGTTTGACGAAAAGATAAAACTGAAGCCTGATTCTTTTTAAAAAGAACTTTCTTCAGCATTACTGCTATTGAGAGAAACGTAGAGATGGCCTTAAGAAAGTGCTTGATGAATCGATTGGTTTCAATAATGAAGAGAATTGACTTTTATGAACACCATATTATTGGTTATGTTGTTCTATATGGCTAGAATGTTTTTTAAGCATACCTTTGCTTATTTTTAAAAATCAAATTGTCGTTCTGTTCAATCATAATTCTTTTATAAACATGCTTCTTATACAGAAAGAAACAGGCGTATTTATTTTGCAACAAGCAACGAGCAATGAAGAATATCAAAATGTTCTTTAGTGACATGCTGCATAGAGGAAAGAAAATTACGTTTGTCAATAGAGTTTTAGAAATTTAAACACAATAGCTTTATCCAACAAAATAGTGAATTTGATAATGAAAAAGAAAAGAAACTAATGAAGCTTGTGAAGCCTCACAACAACATGAAGATACTTATATTTGTATTCAAATCAAGAAGCTACAATCTACACATATCAGCATCTTCTATGGTTGATTCTCCAAGGATCAAATACTGATACAGACTGTTCACTTCAATAGAAGCTGTCATATGTATCTTACTCATCATTTCCCTTGATCTCATACAAATAAATATACAGTATAAAATTACGCCTTCTGTAACCATTGGCTGTGTTTTCACGTAATCCTATCAATACCAATCATGTGTTAAATGTGACGATGACTTTAAAGATGCGCCTTTTTCGCCAAAATCAAATTTGACAGATTTGAATTTATATGCCTCATTGTATCACACAGAGCATTTGTAGCGGTGGTTTTTCTGCAAGAATAAGATTGAAGCGAGTTGTTGATCTTGCTTCTTTTTGAATAGCGAAAGAAAAATAGCAAAGAAAAAAAAATGTCTTTAAATTGATGGTTTTTAGACTTTGATTTCTTAAAAAAAACATTGAAATATTTTATTACAGTACCTGATATATAAAAGCATGCCTGTGTACGCATGGCCATTGTTTCAAAAGAATTTGCATTTTGTAGATTTTAAACTAAAGTATTTGATACACCTATCATTGAACCAATGAGTTAAATCAACTTAAAGGTGTTCTCGAATGTTCTCAGACGGTATACCAGTTGTAGGCACATACTTTCTAGTTCCAATATGAAATAAACATATCGTATTCCAATGTGTTTAGATATTCATTTGACTAAACTACTAGCGACTCTCCTGTTTTTTCATTTCAAGAAAATATTCCATATATCTTTATTTAAAACCATATGCACTCTTCAAGTGCTTTTTACTAAACAATCTATATGCAGGGTACTTTTTGCTTTATTTGATTATATCCGATGGAAAGCTCCGGACATTTTTTTTTTATGTTCATCATGTCTAGGTCGATCTTTTTCTCTTTAGGTTATATGCGCCGCAACAGTCATTGGTTGACTTTTATTTTACCTCAAAAAGACGAAAATCGCTCATTTCTTGATTTTGTACAACCTCTGGGCAATTTGCGCCTAAAAAGCGATTGGCTTGATCTGATTCGGTTACACGTTTGAATTTATTTTGCAAGCAATTAGTCTGTTGAAACAGGAAATAGCTTTGTTGTTGTTACAGATACACCTAATGACATATAGTACATAGAGTTTCAAATGAAAGGGTAAATACATACACAAAAGGTAAATAAAGAGGCTTTAAAAGAAGTAAATAAAGAGAATCATTTTCATGTCGTCCTGTCCGATGATAAATCTATTTTTTTTCACACTTCCAAAAAAGGAGTATTTTACCTTGCCTCTCTTGTTTTAAAATGAAAACGTGCCGCACAAAGAATATTCAGTGTCAAGCTCGTTGTTGGCAAAAAAGGCGCAATCAAAAAAAGTATATAAATACCACTGCCTAATTTCTTTTGCTGATCAGCCACATTTTCTCTTTTTTATTACTTTCACTATGGAAGAAAAGATAGGAGAAAGAATTACTTCTGTGACCATAGAGGATGCAAACAAAATCAAGTTTGCTCAAGTTCATCGCCCTGAAAGAACAAAGACAATTCAGACAATTGATACGAATACTTCCCGCAGACCTTCTATTAGCGCTCCTGCTCGTCCTCAAAAGAAATCCAAAACAGATAAAAAAAATGTTGACATTGTATGTATAAACTTTAATTTATTGATTTATATACTCATTTCTCATATAGACAGAACACTTGTTAACACCAGAGGAATGTGCTTCCAAGTATAATACCCATATAGAGCTCAAAAAAGCTGCTGATTCAAAGGGTCTCACAAGTCAACAAGCAGCTAATATCTTGTCTGAGACTGGACCTAATATTCTTACACCACCTAAAAGAAGACATCCTATCTTGAAATACCTTGACTGTGTTGTTAAGCTCTTCAATTTGCTATTGATCCTTGCTGGTATTCTAGACTATATCTTGCTGGGTATCGACTTTGAAGCTAATTTTGCTAATGTAAGCAGACACACACTATAAATATATACTTGTACTCATTTTTTCGCAAATAGACTTACCTCGGTGCTATTTTGATTGGTGTTTCTTTGATCAACGCCTTTATCGAATTCTATCAAGAACAAAAATCACAAGCTTTACTTGACTCCTTTCTCAACATGGTTCCTGCTAAATGTATGGTGATTCGTGATGGTCGAGTCGAACAAATCGATGCTTCCAACCTTGTTGTAGGCGATGTCGTCCTTGTTCGTATGGGTGACAAAGTACCAGCTGATATTTTTATTTTCTCTGCCTCTGATCTCAAAGTCGATAACTCACCACTTACAGGTGAATCCGATCCTCAATCACGTGGACCTACCAATACACAAAAGAACGTATTTGAAGCTGAGAATATCATCTTCAGTGGCACCATGGTTGTTTCTGGTGAAGGTTATGGTATTGTTGTCCGATGTGGTGACTCAACTGTCTTGGGTCAAATTGCTGGTTTAACTGCAGGTGAAGCAAAGGCTGCCTCTCCTCTCTCTCAAGAGGTAAATATAGATACAGAACAGTAATGTTCTTAATTAACCCCTCTCCTTTTGATGCTATAGATTGCTAAGTTTGTGAAAATCATTGCTTCCATTGCCCTTGTGACAGCTGCTGTTTTCTTTGGTATTGGGTTCCCAGTCAACAACAACAATGTCAGTCTTACCTTGAATTTCGCTATCAGTGTCTTTGTTGCTTGGGTTCCCGAAGGTCTTCCTGCCACTGTCACTATCCTCTTGACCATCTCTGCTAAACGTATGGCTGCCAGAAACGTTCTTGTGAAAGATCTTCAAGGTGTTGAAACACTTGGTGCGATTACTCTATTGGCTACTGATAAAACTGGTACACTGACACGTAATCAAATGACGGTAACTTATGTCTGGACCTGTCTCAAGACGCTCAATGCCATGGACAAACTTCGTCAACAAGAAAACCCTATTATTAATGAACCTGGTGTTCGTGAAATTGTTCACATCTCTACCTTAAACTCACGCGCTAAATTCGATCGTGTGGATGTGCCCGTGGCTCAAAGACAAGTCTTGGCAGATGCAACTGAAGTCGGGCTTACTTATTTCGCTGGTGAACACTTGGGCAAGCAATACGACTTATTGCCTGAAGAATACCCTAAAGTGTTTGAAATTCCCTTTAACTCAGATAACAAGTGGGCTATGACCATCCATCAAAAGGCTCATCCTAATGGTCCTTTGACGCTTTACTTGAAGGGTGCTCCTGAACGTGTCTTAAATTTGTGTAGCCGTATCTTACTTGAAGATGGTTCTTCTGCTCCTTTGACTGATGATCATCGTGTTGCTTTCCAGGAAACATACTCTTATATGGCTGGACAAGGTCACCGTGTCTTGGCTTTTGCTCAAGACCTCTTAAATGAATCTGAATACCCCGCTGATTACGAATTTGATAAGACTAAGAAGAACTATCCTATGTCTGATATGACATTTGTAGGTCTTGTCTCGCTTGAAGATCCTCCTAAACATGGTGTGCGTGAAGCTATTGGTAAATGTCGTACTGCCGGTATCAAGGTGATGATGGTGACAGGTGATCATCCTTTAACTGCTGAAGCTATTGGCCGCAAAATTAACTTGATGGTCGGTGATACAAAAGCAATGGCTGCTCAAAGACTTAATAAGCCCGAAGATCAAGTTGAAGAATCTGAATACAATGCTATTGTGATTCACGGTGATACTATTGACGGCCTTTCGGATGATGACTGGGATACAATCTTCTCCAAAGACGAAATCATTTTTGCTCGTACTTCGCCTAAACATAAACTCGAGATTGTCAAGCGTGCTCAATCCATGCGCCACATTGTCGGTGTTACAGGAGATGGTGTCAATGATGCTCCTGCTTTGAAGAAAGCTGATTTGGGTATTGCCATGAACATTTCTGGCTCAGATGTTTCTAAAGATGCTGCTGCTATGATTTTGCTAGACGATAACTTTGCTTCAATTATTCATGGTATTGAAGAAGGTCGTTTGATCTTTATCAACTTGAAAAAGTCGATTCAGTACACTATTACTCACTCAATGCCCGAAGTCATTCCCAACTTGCTTTATATTATTGTGCCTCTTCCTCTTCCTTTGTCTGCTATTCTTATCTTGGTTATTGATCTTGGTTTTGAATTGTTTGCTGCTTTGACTTTTGCTTGGGATCCACCAGAATCCCAAGATGGTGTGATGAAGATGCCGCCCCGTAAGCCTGTCACACCTGAATCCATTGACCGCCATCGTCGTACCTTGTATCGTAGACAACGCTATATCGAATATGATTCTGAAACAGGTGAAGAAGTCCGTCCTCCTTTCTATCGACGTGCCTACAACTTCATTCATGAAATCACAAGTGCTGGTTATTGGAAAGAAAAGTTCGAAAAGACAGATGATGAAGTGCTTGTGGATCTCCCTTTACTCTCATGGGCTTATTTGGAAATAGGAATTATTGAAGCCATCGGTAATTTGACTTGCTATTTTGTCGTGCTTTGGTACCATGGTATTACTCCCTATGATGCTCATATCATGCAAAAGGGCGCCAATGCTCCTACTTACTACTTTAACAATGGTCCTCTTTATGCTCAAGACTATGTCACTGCTTCTGGTAAAGTGCTAAATGCTGCTGCTCAAAAGGTGGCACTCGGCCAAGCTCAATCAATTGTTTACTGGAGTATCATGGTGATGCAAATGTTCAACATGTTTGCCTGTAAGACGCGATTCTCTTTACCTTTCGGTCGATACATGTTTGCCAACAAGTATACATTTGCTGGTATCTTTGGTGGTGCTGCTTTGGGCACTTTAATTGTCTATTGTCCTCCTTTCAATATTCCCTTTGGTACTGAGTATCATTTATTGCCTCTTTGGTGGCTAATTGCATTTGGTTTTGGCTTTGTCATTCTTGCTTATGCTAGTATCCGTCTCAAGATCAGACAAAAGCTGAACCCTATTTCCTTCAACCCTGAAATCCATGGTTTACGCATGTATCCCACTATCCGAACAGTAGCTACTACACATGATTCTGTCAACAAAATGGTATAACAATTCTAGAACTCTTAATTTCTTTTTTCTGTAAATGTAATTCTATAATATTCAATCAACAATCGCATTTATTTAATCAATTTTAATAAAGCATCAATCAACTATATAATCAATTTTATTAATTATATCATTGGTGTCAATCAACTTACCAAATCAGGACGTTTTTCTCGAACTAAATTCACAGGATGAACAGATTTTACGCCATCCTTCCTATAGCGTATAGATTAGCACATACCCAAAAAAAAAAAAAAAAAAATAGACGACCTACCATTTAACAGTGCAATATAAAGGTGAATCTGGAATCTCTCTGCCAACATATTCTACCTTTTCTGCTTCCGCCTTCCAATCCATAGGTGGATCTACACCGTATCTTTCATCAAAAATGATGTTTGCGTTCTTTGGTTCACTAGCAACAGAGCTAATAGACGATAAATCCCCATCATTATCGGTAGATTGACCTCTGTTTCTTTTTCTTTTATGTTCTTCAAGGAAATAATCAGAACGTGCAGGTGCTGTTCTTTTACGCTTAGGTGGAGCTGGTACTTCTTCACTGTTCTGCTCAAGTTCATCCACTTCTGTCCCCAGTCTGACATCAGGGGTAGAACGATTTGAATCCAACTTGGAGTCATTTGTCCCGTTTACTTTTGTATTTTCCTCTTCATCATCGTCATCATCGCTATCTTCATTGACAACTACAGTAGGTGTTCTTTTACCAGAAGATTGTCCTTCAGGCTGTTTATCTTTTCCAGCACCCAATACAATGGATGTCACTTCAGAAGTAGCTGCTTTAAAAATATCAGCTATACTCTGCTGTTTCTTAAGTCCTTCTGTCGGTGGTGTCGAGGAAGAAGAAGCGACAGCAGATTTTTTTGTTGCGTCTTGAGAGAAAATGTCTGTAATTTTGGCTGATTTGGGATTGGTTGCTATACTAGAAGGAAGCAAAATAGGGTTTTTGCGTAGAGATTGGATGCTTTCAAACATCTTTCTATCGGGAGAGTCTTTTGGAAGACTTTCCCAGTATTTAATGACAAGATCAACAGCAAATCTATATAGTCATGAGCTTCTAATCTCAAAATAGAAAGAAACTTACACATTAGCTTCTTTCTCCCAAGTATTATCAGAATCATCATAGTTCATCCATTTGATATTGTATAAGATGTGCGTTTTCTTTTGGAAGATCAAAAACATGTTTTCATTTACAATTGCTTACATTTTTCTTTTTCTCAAAAACATGACCTACGATCTTTTCTACTTCGTAGACTTCTTCTGGTGAATTGGCCATAGTATGAATTCAAGCTCAAAAAAAGGAGAAAAAAATCTTTTCAGTCGCGTTTTGGCGCGTGTGTGTGATGTGAACTGCCATTGAAGTTCAGCACACGCATCCTCAACATGGTACGACAAGCCATTAGTGTGAAAAAGAATTGCTTTGATTGGCTAATAGACAGTGAATCGAATTCTAGAGAACAATACTGCTTAAAACGCGTCTTAAAACACGAAAAAAGACTTTGATTTCACGTCAAGAAGTATTTGTTTTTTTTTGGAATAAACTCAATGGCATGAATTAAAAGTGTTTCTTTTGTTCAAACAAATGCTGCGCAGGTTTTTAACCGGGTGTAGTGAAGAGAACGAATGAATGCAACCAAAATTAATATATCTTCAATTGATTCAATCATACGAGTAGTTTTTTAATCACATTACTTTGCTAAGGTTATTCATTTTTGACTTGATTTAAACGTATGGCCGCCAATTGAATTTTTCTTCTTTAGCTAAAGTGGAATCACTGCTTGCGCATTTTCGATCTTAAGCCAACTTCCATCTCCCAAGTTTTAATTCAAACTTTGCACAACTTTTAGAAAATAATTGAGGCTGAAAAAATGGCTTGTTAAATATATGACTTAATAATTGAAAGTCATACTCTATAGACTTAGACAGACAAAAGGCGATGAGTTCTCGACTGCCGCGTTGTTTTCTTTTGTTAAATGTGTTGTCACTATGCTCTCATTTGCTATTAAATTCTGCAGTTTCATTGGTCAATTATTTTTTACACTGCAAATTAAGATCGCATCATGCAAATTACTCCAATTACCTCATTCGCATAAATGTTACATCATATATATATTATTTATTCAAAAACCCTAATTATTTACAAATTTATACAAGAGCATTATGACCAAAAGTTTCGTCCATCTTAGTGGCTACTTCTTCAAAGATTTCTGGATCACTTGAGTGCATAGCTTGAATTTCATGCTGAATACTGCTCATAGCTTTTCTGTCGAAGATGTTGTTGTCCATGCTGATATCATCTTCACCAGTATGTGTGGCAGTAGTAGCTCGAATACCATTGTTAAAGTTGCCGGTGCCAACAGTCATTGTACTCAGACGACCACCGGTAGGGACAGTAGTAGTTGTAGCAGTAGCATTGCTTGTTTGGGCATTGGCCATGCTTGAAGCATTGTGCTCTAAAAAGTCTTGTGTCTTAGTAGCAGCCTATAATCAGTGAGTTTTTGTATTTATTATGTAAACTACTTACAGAGTCAATCTTGTCAACAAAGCTATGGATAGTTTGCTTCAAGTTTTGGTTGCGTTCAACGAATTGAGCTTCCAATTCTGCATGATGGTTAATAATGCATAGAACTGCATATCCGTATACGTACCAGCATCAGTCATAGGCTTAGTGTTGTTCATAGCGTCGTTTTTAGTGTTGTTCATTTTTGAAATAAAAGGAATAAGAAAATATGTTTAAAGTGATCAGAAATGCAACCTTTTTATACAGTTTTTACACTTTAAATCCAGGCGATGTTAGTTTCTTCTAGACGAATCAAAATTAATCTTCAGACTTTTAGCTTACCTTTTTTGGACAAAACGAAAAAGGAAATTAGACAAAATGGAAATTAGTTTTCAGATGAAGTGAAAAATAAAATTAAAATAATGAACTCACCCTGTATCATGGATTGAAAGCAGCGATAACTACTTCGGATTTGTTATTGTCTTCCTCTGCTGTCGTTTTTAATAGAAGGAGATCTTTGTCTTTTTTGTTGTTTTTTTTGTGTTTGCACCATGGTCACGTAAACTAAAGAGAATCTCACAAAAGTTGAGGGTGGCGAGTAAGTCCCTGTTCCAAAGACGACGACCTTCTTTCAAGCATTGCTCATTTTTACACCTAAATGACACACAAATGTTATCAATAAACTAAACATAATTAAAAGTTTTATACCTTATAAGACCATGACGTTTTACGGTTGGATATTTTTCCCTTCTAAAGGGCCTTGGATTTACAACTTCTTTGATAGTGTCTACATCACCTTTACATACCGGGCATATACTGGATGTTTTGAATTCATCAATAAGGTGTACCAGAAAACCTTCTTTTTGAAGCATTCTTTTCATGCCAGCTCCTCTAATCGGTTCACGGAACTTGACATTCCCTGCAGACCAGTTACCAATAGCAATAACAGCATTATTGCCAAAATGTTTTCTGATATCCTTACAAAGACGTTTGTCAGATTGCTGTCGATTAATGTAGCTCGATAGTTTTAGCTTTCGAAATGGTAGCATATTAGTATTACGTTCTTCTAAAGGCAAGTCTTTATTCGAGTAGTATTCCTGAAGAACTTGAATCACGGTAGATTTTTGTCTTATATATTCTACGTATTGATCTTTTATGACTGTGGATGGCTTTAAACGTGAAAGAATTGCTTCTACATTGCTTACGGCCTCTGGTTTCTGTCTTTCACAAAGTTTCATGAACTTTCTTGTTTTTGTTTCAATGTTCCTTTGATTTCTCGTATAGCGATAAGTTCTTTTCTTTTCAACGGTACTGCTTTCGTGCATACAGAACAACATATCACGCCGTCCAGGGTCAAACAAAACACAATTATTTTTGTAAGTTCTTTCTTGAAGTTTTTCTTGCGACAGACTTTCTATGTAAGCAATGTCTTCTTCTGTCTTCTTATCATTTCGCATGCCGCCTCCAGAACCTTTCTTCTTGCTGTCATAGGTCTGCTTCAAGATGGATACGGCAACACCATCTGTGTAAATAGTACCTCTAAACTTCATTCGTTTGTTGTCTCCTTGAGGCTTCATAGCTTTGGATTTCATGTTCAGTACGGCTTCCCAGATTACTTCTTTGTCTAAGTGGCTAATGACAGAGTTTCTTAAAATTTGAGTGTTTACAATATATGTGTCTATAGTCATATAACTAGGTATGAATGTTCTTCTCAGAGGAAAGCAGTTGAACGGCTTATTGTAGAGAGATTCAGAACATTGCGTCAGATGATAAAATGCCTTCAGATGCTTCGATGGATCCGCTTTACAATCATAATAAATAGAATTCTTCTTGAAGTAAGTGCCAGAAGGGTAGCAATCAAAAAACTGTTGAAGGATGCCGACTTCTTGTGAGTTAAAAAGATGCGCTGGCAATTCAGTGATGTTCCTCAGAGAGATGTTCATTTTTTCTTTGGTGCACTGGCTTGCTATGGTTTTGACCACAGCAGAGATTTCGCTTTCTGTGCAATTTTTCTTTTTCATTTCACTTTTCAAAGCGCCAATTCTTTCCTGCTTCTTTAACAGTAGGTTCAAAAACATACGCAATCTGTTCCCGAAATGAAGAGCGACGCCATTCATGTATGCAGTGTGGATTTTCGTAGCTTCATAGCTTCCTATTTGTTGCGCATATTTCAGTTTGATTGGAACATAAGAGGCGAGTTGGCAATAGGTATCTCGATGCTTATTGATAAGTTCCTTGTGACTTCTTGCTTTTTCTTTTCGTTTTGCTTTATCCGGTTTATAGCTATCAAGTAGTGAAATAAAGACTTTTCTGAAGAAATCAACATTGGCAAGGTCCTGTAAGCAAAATCCATGTTGTTTTCAAGTTCTTGCGTAAAAATATACTTCAAAAGTGCATAAGTATGTGTTACGAGAGTATGTACTTTAAGTACAAGAGATTTGAGACTTGGAATGTATCTCGTTTTCCACTCAATGCCGGTAATAGAACTTTTAACTGTAGTTATCTTTAGAGGAGGTTCCATAAGGAAAAAAAAAGAAATAGTACAGCTGACAGCTTTTTATCTTTTTATTTAGAGTTTCAATCACTGATATATTGTTTTTATTTGAGGCCCTACAGATATATGTCTATTTAATTGTGCATATTTTATAATAATTGAAAATAACTCTGGCTTTTGTCCAGTACCTGAAAAATACAAACATACTTTGCTCAGAAAAAAAAAAAAGCCTGAGTAACTAAAAGTATGATTTGACGTGTATCCAAATTTTTGTGTTCACCTCTCTGCTAATAATCATCCTGCATCGTTATTTAAGAGGAAGTAACTTTTAATTTCCTTTTTCGTTTTGTCCAAAAAAGGTAAGCTAGAAGTCTAAAGGTTAATTTTGATTCGTCTAGAAGAAACTAACATCGTAGCTTGATGCGACAATTCAGATGGTCTGAGCTCCGCCTTAAACCTTGCTCGAAAGTAAACATTACAGTCCACTCTTTACATGCGTCTATAAGATATATATATATATAAATGTAGTTTCTATCTGGAGAAAGGGACTATTGATCGTCATTGTAAAAAAAAATACGTTTTATTTGAGCCTATATATGAAAACAAAGCAAAGTTTCAGCTTGTATCATGCATTGTGAATGAATTCATTCCTGGGGAAAGTGAGTGGATTAGTGTGGAGTAAATGTATTTTCCCCCGAATTAATCCATTACCCGATTGGTACATTATGCTAAGCTATCTAGCTGACATCATATAGAGTACAATTTGAATGACATAATTTAAGCTATGATGTTGTAAGTTTATTATAAGAATTAATTATTATGAAATTATATACGAATGATCTAAAATGAAATGATATCTGAATGACTATCATCTTCTAACGAAGGCACCGTAGAGAGTGTGGACTCTGACATATTGGTAGGCATCGGCAAAATATAAGGCTGGGAATTGACAAAGCTTGAAGGTGTATAGAAATCATGCTTTTCATTGATATGGCGTGTTAAACAATCTGAACTTGGTAAATGAAAGTCCATCATCTTATCTTCGTTCACTTCAATCCAATGGTCTCTTTTACCCGACAAACCAGGTGAAGGAGGCATATAGATACCAGTATGGTCAATCGTAGATAGTTTGTAGACTTCTGATTTACCAGATTCTTCTAATGCTATCACTGTGCTTGTTGATTTAGACTTTTTGAATTTCAATGAGGGTAAATAACTGTTCCTTGTTTCTTGTGGGCTTTCATGTTGAGGAATAGCAGGTGATGAAGTAGATTTTTGCCAGAATTTAGTAGGCTTCATAAAAGAAGAGTACTTGGATTCAGTGGGAGTCATAGTAGAAGCCATTATAGTAATAAAGAAAATAACGAAAGATAAAAACAAAAAAAAGGATGGCTTATATATCTCCCTGAACAATACTTTCTCTTTTAGGAAAGGAACAGTGTTTATCCATTTATGCTTTCAAGCTTGTTATCAGCTGATGTCATATCGTTATTCTTGGCATTAGAAAGCAAGTGATGATGTTTTATTATACTAATAGTAAGAAATTATAGAAGTGAGAATTCAAATCTCAGTGGTAAAAAATTATACAAATACATAAAAAAATAAAGAGGAGGGGGGGGAATGTTTAGACGGAGGCTTCGCGAGAAAGATCATCCTTCTTCTCGACAGAAGCAAATTCTTCGGCACGACGAAGACCTCTTTGTTCGGTCCAGGCATCCAAAGTTTCACGAGGAATCTTCTTACGAGGATTGTGTTCAAAGATGATATCCATTTCTTCAAGAGTGAAGCCCTTGGTTTCAGGGTAAGCAAGGTAGACATGGAGAGCCATCAAGAAGTTGAAACTAGCAAACAAGAGGTATAAACCATAATGAATTCTTTCCATCAACAAAGGTACGACAAAGTTCAAAATCCAGTTGAACAACCAGTTGGAAGCGGTGGACAAGGAAACGGCCATGGCACGGACACGGAGAGGGTAGATTTCAGCAGGGTAAATCCAACCCAAAGGACCCCAAGTAGTGGCAAAAGTAGCGACAAAGAGATAGATACAGGCAACAACACCATCAGCCTTGGACTTGCTACCACCGAGAGAGACAACAGCCTTGCCCTTTTCATTAAGAGACCATTCACCAGTAGCCAAGACACCACCGACAGCCCACAAGAAGATAGACATACAGAGAGCACCAAGAATCAAAGTAGGACGACGACCCCACTTGTCAACAAAGAGAATGGCAGGAATGGTCATGACGACGTTAACAACGTACGAAATACCAGAGGAAACAAGAGTAGCTTGTTGAGAAGAACCAATACCAGCTTGTTGGAATAAGAAGACGACGTAGAACATGATAATGTTCATACCAGTCAATTGTTGCCAAATTTGGAGACAGACACCAAGAGAGACACGGTAGATCATACCAGGCTTGAACAAATCAGTGTAACGGTGAGAAGCAATTTCCTTATCAAAGTGAATACTGGCTCTGATTTCTTCCATTTCAGTAATGACACGAGGGTGATTAGGGTCACCCTTACCGTGGATATCAGCCAAGACCTTCAAGGCCTCGTCCATACGGCCTTGATCGGCGAGCCATCTGGGAGAGTGAGGGAAAGCCCACATACCAACAGAGAGAATGACAGCAGGAACACCTTGAATACCCCATGGAATACGGAAAGCGGCAGTGTTGTTGATAAACTGAGAACCATATTGAATCCAGAAAGAGATCATAATACCCCAAGTAATACTCCATTGTTGGACAGCGACAATACGACCACGAATTTCCTTGGGGGCAATTTCAGATTGATAAAGAGGCACGACCATGGAAGTGATACCAACAGAGATACCGTTCAAAACACGACCAACACAGAGCAAAGGAACACCATTGGCAGCAGCTTGGAAAACTGAACCGACAATGAACAACATAGAGGCACCAATAAGAGTGAATTTACGAGAGAATCTATCAGCGGGATAACCAGCAATCAAAGCACCGACGAAACAACCAGCAGAAAGGGCACCGTTAATACCACCTTGTAATAAGGAATCAGGGTGGTTAAAGTATTCTTGGTATCTTTTTTAAAAAGTGTAAGTGATGGGTCGACAAGTCATGTATATATGCACTTACTGGTTAGTACCAATAACACCAGAGTTGGAACCAATATCGAAACCAAACATGATACCAGCAATGGCAGCAAATGCACCAATGGCCTAGATTATTATAAGTATTTTGTTTTTTTTTTTGAATGGTTTACTTACATAGACATTAGAGGTTAATCTAGTAAAGTAACCCATAGTTATATATATTAGAGACGGTTTCTTGTTTTTATTATTATTTATAAAGTTAGGTACAAGAAAGAAAAGTTAAAGTGGGGTAGATCAAGAATAATAAGAAAGAAAATCAAAATGTAAAAAAAATTAAGAAATGTGCCCCGCTTTATATACTCCAAGTAGATTGCTCCTTCAATAGGCGACAGTAGAGACTTCAGGGAACCTATTATCATTGTGGGGATTTGTAGCTTAAGTAAGCCACAATGATAACCCAAGATCCGTGTTCTTTCATGTGATCTGCAAAAGAGGGTTATAATAGGATTGGTTGGTATCCAACGGGAGCGATGGAAATTACTGCTTAAGTAATCAAAGACTCTTTTAAATTTTCTCACAATGCAATTTTGAAATGATTTCCGCGGAAAATGGCCCCCACCTCTGACTTTACACACTCACACACTCACACAACATGGCGTATAGAATAAACTTGGTTAAAACTGTTATGTACCCAGTCTAGGTTTCACTAGGGTTTTCTCTTGTAACGCTTTGATGTACCATTCGTACATGTAAACAGGAATTCTCACTCGTACGATAACTTCAGTACATGTGTAACCTTTCTTTTATATGACAAAGAAAGAAAAATAACTAATTTTTTTCCTCCTCTCGGGCAAGATCTATATTAAGAAAATAATTTAAAAAAAGAGACAGATGAAGGGATCCAGTGAGAATGAAGCAATGAATTTCATACGCTGCCTGAATCAGATGATAAAAAAAACTTTGGTACACACACAACGCGGTGATTATGAAAGCAGTTTAGTCCATGTGTAATTTGATCCAACCTTGTGTACACGCACACAAAGAAGAAAAGAGTAAGGATAAAAATGAGAGAACAGTTGTTCTATTTTTTATAGAAAAAAAGGGCTAGCTTGTTACAATTATAATATATACAAACAAAAAAGACATTTTGTCTTTTACTATCTATTTTTATCGCTTGCTTTTTTCTCTTTTTTTTTTTTTTTTTTTTTTTTTTTTTTTTTTTTTTTTTTTTTTTTTTTTAGTTTTGATCTGATGGATGACCCTAGCAAATTGAGGGTGAGGGAGAAGCTGAAATTTAGGTAACAGACTGCGTTTGTATCACTCATGTTTTCCCCACATCGAACCAACCAATCGCCGTATATTCTTTTGTTACTTGTCCTTCCCGACTCAAAAGTTGCACCGAACAAATAAGAGTTTGTCTTACACTGTTTCATGCCCGCTAATTACCTTTTGAATAGGAAGTTTTTGTGGGGAATTTTTTCTTTTATTGAAGCATGAGCAAACAAATAAACAAGAGAAAGAATGACCTAAATGGTGAGAAAAACACAAGGTACCCACAATATATCTTTGAATAGGATAAAGTGTAAAAAATGATATGAAAAGGGAAGTTATAACATATCACTTTTGTTCTATATGTCAATCCAGCTCGTTGTATAAAATGTAGTACAAGTTACCAAGTGCTTCAACTATTCAATCTTGTTATAATGACAATCAAGAGCTAATATGTATCAGTAAATATGCAAGTGTGTTTGCTTTATTATTGGACGATGGAGTTGTCTGCACAATAAGAAATTGATTTACTCAGAAATTGATTATAATTATCAACATGTGATTTTCAGAAGACAGCTTCTTCTTTCTTAATATACAGTTTAAATGATGCTGTGTACTAACTGACGCAATGAATAAAGTAGAAAAAGCTGCTGATGACTGATAAAATGATATCGAGCTTTTGTTGTTTTGACCGAGTTCAGAGGTGTACAAATCAGACGCTTTTCCGTGATTTTCCTTCTTAAATCAAATCGAAATTAATGAGGCTTTTTTTCTTGCGAGCTGTCGTTTCTTGAAAGCAGTGCTGAAAACGGTGGTGGCATTGTGACAAACATAGGAACTTTATCCCATGATAACGATAAAAATAAAGAAGTGATTTCTACGCAATTTGTCTCTAGTACAACAAGCAATCTTTGACATGATGTGCTTTCTTGACATGCGAATCGATCCACCAAATCGATTCTTAAAAAAGACAAACGTATGATTGCTACTTTGTATTTTGCAAATAGCAAAGACAACTCGAACTAAAAGGAAAGAATATGTTAACAAATACACTGTTGTAACTGAAACAATAGCTTTGTTGTTTTGTACAAAGTACGTCCTTGCAATCTTTTTTTGCTGTAGAACTATGGCTAAGAATATCTTGGTACATTTTTTTTTCTAGATCAGCTTCAAACTATCCAGAGCTCATTGAGAATTGAATGGAATTGGCTGATTTTTTTCAAGAAGAAAAATATTGTGCTCGGTACTACCGAAGCATTTTCATATTGCACAGTTTATTTATAATGACTTGTTTTTGACAACGAGCTGAAAACATTGATAAAAATGAACAAAATGTTATGAATGACCATGTTTATTAGGCAAAGATAGGCTTAATGGTTAAATGTCCACTAGCTGATTTCTCTACTGCATTTAAAAATGTTCTACTAACTGTTTCTGACCAACGACTTCCAAATTGAACCTGAAAGTACCAAGTCATGTTTTGACAGACGCCATAGTTTTGAACGTTTCGGATACAAATTACTTGATCGTCGCTGCAAATCACACTTTCAGCATTGTGTTGCTTGCTGTTCCATACTGCTTCTCGAATACCAGATCTCTCCAAGCGAACAGAAAGGTAACTCCAAGAGCTAGTACAGTCCATTTTAACATCCCACTGTTCAAAACCAGAAACGAAATAGAAAAATAGGACCGAAATCATGGCAAAAAGAACTTTGAAGGAGCACATCTATACACTAGTAAGACAACTGTCAATTCTTTTTGTTTACATGCTTGATAGATTGGTTGTAGACTTGAAAACTAATATTTTTTTCTCTTATGTCTGGAGCCTATATATATATATAAGAATTGATGTTTTATAAAGAGCATTTAGTTTAATATAATTGCATGTCTATTTCTTTGTTTTTATAGTACTGATGTGATACGCAAAGCCATTACTTTGCAAATTAACTTGAAGTTTATTTATGGTGCAAATGAATCGTTTGTTTTTAGAATTCATTTTTCTTTTGTTACCCTAAAAAGGGTTACTGCATGAAAGGGTTGTACGACTTCAATCACAAAGAGAAATTTTATCCTGACACAACAGAAGGTTTCCTTTTTTTTTTATTAAATGCATCATATTTTAGGTTTAAAACCGTCCTCAGCTTTGTCATTTTGGTGACAAAAGAAGAGCATAACGAACGGAAGGACTTTTTTTTGTACTTTACATCATGTAAAAAAAAAAGTAGTTATAAGACTTTGAAATACTTGGTAGTTGTTGTCAATGCGGTGAGATAGGATTAATTCTATATGCTACCATTTTGAAGAGAATACCTTAATTCTGTGCTTAGTCAAAGGCCTTTTGCTCAGTGCAAAATCAAGCCATACTCGAAAATCTGTTCTTGTTCATTTTAGCAAATGTTAATATTGGAACAGCCATCTTGATCTCTAGTAAATCTGGCGATACGATATTCAAGAAGCATTCTGTGTCGTTGGTTTCTAAAATAAATGGTTGCAAGTCAAGCTAGAGATTTGGAAGTTCTTTTTAGTTGAGTACAAGACTGATTTGGAAAAAATGAGACCGGCTGAATTCTATAAGCAGTAGCTCTGGATGAGAGAAGCTGTGTTTCATTATTTAACAACAAAGGTAAACAAAACAAAGGGTATCTCAGTCTGTTCTAAACATATCATTTAGACACAACAACGCATGCAAGAACTACTTGGTTTTACGCAATAAACAAAGTATACTATTTGGTATATATATGCAGTAAAAATAAGTACTTGTTCTTTATCCTTCTTTGGAATAATTTACCTCATCTGCTTTTGGCTAATATAGCATAAGGCGCTTTAGGTTGTTATCGCTTTAAACGGTAGTAGTCTCAGCCTTGGGTATTGCTTCAAGCGTGACGCTCTTAAAATGATATAAAGGAAGTGTCCGTTAAAGAATTCTGAAAATGAAGAGATTTAGAAATTCACCTTTCTTTCGCCTGAAGAATTTTTTAGTACGATGGTCTGGTCACTCTTGGTGATGCTCTGGATTTTGTTATAATCCCTTGTCAAATACTGTATCTCTTAGGTATCAACAATTTTGTCAAGTGCCAAGCAATTGAAGACATTGTGGAATGGTGTCCTTTACTTGTGGTATTAGTATTACCATCTGTAGCATTGAACAAGACAAGATATAAAGGATACTGACTCTCAGGAGCAACGAACGAAAAACTTAATATATCTTTTTTATGACATATTAAGGGGTAGCTCAGATGACAGCTATTTTATTGGGATTATATAAGACTCATATAATCGTACTGAATGCTTTCGCAAAAGCATTGTTCTAAAGATATTTCATATAGCTATTCACTTTGCTTCACATACACTAGTTTCCATTTATACGATGATTTTATTTTTTTAAAATAAAACTTTCATCCAATACATAAAAAAAATTAGAAATTCAAGAGAAATGATGTACTAAAAGTGTCTAAAAACGAAGATATATCAGAAAAGTGTGTTGTCAAAATCGGTAGACAAAAGTACGGCGCATCAGATGGTGTAAAAAACACAGCATATTAGATATCAAGATATAGAGCTATCCTTCAAAAGTGTGTTTTCCGTTTTTGAGCTATAACGTACATTTTTAATAGTACTTTTCCAAATACAACACTTTGAGTGTGTCTCATAGACCTAGAGAAACAGTTTTTAATAAGACATGTTATGTCTACAATGCCTCTGTCGCTTGAAGATTTCTTCAGGGGGATCGTAAGTATTCTTTAGTCTGACTGATGACTTGATCAATCCACGAATGAAAGTCATTCAAGACTCCCATATGGGTTCTGCTCATTTCCCTGTATCTCTCTCGTTTTTATGTGCCCAAACTCCTATTGGTCAAGCCAATCATCCTAGACTCCTATGGAAATCGGCTAAACTACAACAGCTTCCAGTTCGTCAGCTGTATCAAGATTTGTTTGCTGTTAAGGCTTTGCCGCTGCTTGCTGACTTTCGTGACTTAGTTAAGTATTCAATTGATATATACAAAGGACGCATTGATAATTCTTCTACCTCTACTCAGGACCCATAATCTTCGTTGTCTTTGGATATCGATGACCTGACCGCTAGACTCACAGCATTTGTTCATTCCTGCTTAGACCAAGTGGTTGGTAGGCAGAAACCTCGCTTATCCTCTAACACATGGTTCTGCACAGACAGTTTGGAATTACTGTCTGACGCTCGTGAGAACGCTCACCGTCAGTGGAGGCGTGCCACTCACGGTAGTATTGGTAAAGCTTTACTCCGGAAAGAGTATCGCAGGATTTATCAGTCCTTTACAATTGAACTTAAACGGCAACGTCGTCAGTCGTGGAATCGATTTTGCGAATAGCTATCTTCTGACCCACTCGAAGATACAGTCGCTGCCTTCAGTCGTATGGAAAAGAATCGCACGAGAACTCCTGCATTCTCACATCCCCAAAGACCTCAAGTTGCTGCCAATGTTATGGCTGACCATCTTCAAGATGTCTATGCTGGTGATTTTCTACTACCACCACATCAACGAAGAAGCAAGATGCCTAGACTCCCTGTAGGCCCCAATTTGACAGACTCTGATGTTCAGTACCTTGAAAAGAATATCCTCTCATCTAAACAAGACCCACTCATGGATTTTAGTGACACTAATAACCCTAATGCCTGTCCTTTTAGAGAAGATACCATACGTCATGCTCTTGCCAAAAAAACTTGCGCGTAGAAAAGCACCTGGCTAAGATCACCTTAGGGCCAAAATGCTTATGCCTTTAGAAGCTACGCTTGTTTCGCTGCTTTGTATGCTCTTTCATTTATCTTGGATTTGGTACAAGTTCCTCGTTTATGGTGTATTGCTCAAGTCGTTCCGATACACAAGAAAGGATCTCTAAATGACCCTGCTAATTTCGACCAATTAGTCTCACATCATGCTTAAGGAAACTAATGGAAGTATGCTTGGCTGCCACTCTCTATGAACAAGCTCCTCCACTTGATCCTGTACAAGATGGATTTCAAACCAATCGAGGGACCATTGACCAAGCTCTTGCCCTACATGAACTATGCCGCCAACACACCTTCGATCATAAGCGTGAACCGCCTGTGCTAGCCTTTTTAGACATCAAACAAGCTTATGACTGTACTGACCGAACCATAGTTTGGCAATTGCTAAAAAGTGATCGTATTTCTCCGCCTCTTGGGTATTCTACAATGCCTTTTTGATCAGGTCGAAATTGAAGTGATCATCTCAGGTTTTAACTCTACCGCCTTCCATCCATCCATTGGTGTACTACAAGGATCCATTTTGTCCCCATTTCTTTATTCTTTGTATATTGACTCCCTTCCAAAAACGTTTCGTGGCATGCACCTCCCACCAGCAGTAAAGCAAAATAGAAAAATTAACCCCAAGAGACTCTATAACGGCCTTTGGATCAATAGTGTCCTATATGCAGACGATGTTGTAATTATTGGCACGTCACTCACCATGCAATCATTACTGAACCGTGCACAGCGCCACTCTCTAAACCTTGGATATCGTTGGAATCCATTAAAATGTGTCATTGTTGCCGGTCTCTCTGCTCCTAGTCAGCCATACTCGATCTATAATACGCCAATACCAATAGCATCTTCTTTCAAATATTTGGGAATCCTGTTCAATACCAAGGCTCAAGTTGATGTCTCCCTTCTGATTCGTTGAAACGTAAAACCTGCTCTCTCAGCTATGCATGCTGGGTTCTGTTCTCTGTGATTCTTTAAACAAATCCGCGTCTCTAAACTGACCGCTGCTCGTCTCTACAGTACCTTCATCCGTCCAAAATTGGAGTATGGCATCTGCCTCGGCCTTTACTGAAAATCTGATTCTGCAACTCTAGAACATGCACAAGATACTTGCCTGCGACTCTGCATCAATAGCCATTCAAAAGAAACAACCGGGTCGTTTAAGCTGATGTCCAACCTTCCCTCCTTAGCCGAACGCAAAGAACACCTTGTCTTCAAGATGATGATCTGCTTTAAAACGCTCCTAGAAGACACGCTGATAATGCAAATAATGGCACACATTGATACTTATCCCTTTGCTCGGTAAATGCAGATCTTTCTCTGGCCACAAATATCAAACAAGAATCACATCTGGTTGCACCTTAGCGATAGCTATGATACGCTTTCCGACTGGATTCAAGCCAATGTAAACGCCAAGAAGCAAGTCTTGGGACTTCATCAGCGTAATTTGGATGCTCTCCGTGCACAAGCAAATGCCCCCGTCCTTCTCTCTGCTTGTAGGCTCTTTGTTGGTCTGATTGATCCTATCTTGCTGTTGCCTATGTCAATCTATGGCCGTCAAAGAATTCTCCGTTGGCGTCTTGAGTGGACTCCAAAGTACACCTCTACCTGCTCATGTGGCACATCGCCTATCAGCCGAAGACATGTACTCCGTTGCATGCGCGCTGTTGAACGCTTGCGATTACCAGCGGATATACAGCCTAACCCAATTGATTATGTACTGAATCAATTGCCTAGAATACCACGCCCACCATGCCCAAAAGCTCAAAGACTTGACCGCTACACACGATGGTCAAATTGGTGGCCAACCATTTGTCAACTCTTGCTTGAAATTGAACTTGTGGATCTTCCCGACAAGGCTTTCTCAAACAAAGAAAAAGATACCTCTAGTATGACTTTCCTCCTTTGGCTGATACCCTCGCTTTATCCAGTACAGATAAGCAGCTGATACTCTCCTTCGTCCGGTCACGTTTCTACACCTATTATGCACCTTTTTTTCTCTTTTTTTTTTTATCTTTTACACTATAGTACTTCATCGTCTATGTTTCCTGTCTTTTTTTCTATATTTTTATAATTTTATAGTTTTTTTTGTACTCTCCTTTCTCTGACCTGATGTTTAGACATTTACCCTATAGGGCCAGTCTTCATAACCATATAAATAAAATATAAACTTTTACCAGGGGGATCATAAGGGCAAAATGACGATTTTTGACTTTTCAAAACTTGCTATGTTTTTGCATGAATACGTTCTTTTATGTATGCTCAAACGTAAGAAACTCAAAGAAGGCGAATCAGAAGGCAGAAATGATAGTTTATTTTGAAAACCAGTCGTACCTATAGCAGGCCGCCAATACACTTTTAGTGCTATTATGCTTATCAATTTTATATGTCAGAATCTTTTTGAATATTTGGCCATTACTTCTCAAGATACTATTACTTTCGAGCACTGTTATCAAAGTAATAAAAAAAAGTTTTCAAACCAGACGTTCTTGCGTTATTTTTCAGTGGGATGTGCGCCAAATTTTCAAATTGACAGCGGAATTCAAGTATGAGATTGAAAATGTCAACGAATGCAACCCCCAACACACACACATAATGCACCAACGCGCTTCTTTTCTCTATTTTATCACCTCGCAGTCATGAGCAAAGTTGTTATTGTTACAGGAGCTAGTCGCGGTATTGGCCGTGCCGCTGTCTTGGAAGCTTTGACCAAATTCGACTCTCGCGTGATTGCTATTGCTCGAAGCACTACTGGACTTGAGCAACTTCAACAACACGTGTCAACACTCAATAAAGCTGATCAACTTGAAGTGGTTGTGGGTGACGTAACCAACCAAGACGTTGCTCGTAAAGCTATTCACATTGCTTTGGAACGTTGGGGTCGTCTTGATTCAGTGATTGCTAATGCAGGGTAAGTTTGATCATTGAATGCTATCGTATCTTACACCTCTCAAGTGTCATTGAACCTATTGCTACTATTGCCAACTCTTCTGTAGAAGACTGGAAGACTTTGTTTGACATCAATGTGTTTTCCATTGTCTCTCTTGCACAACTCGCTTTGCCTCACCTTCGCAAGTCTGAGCATGGCTCCTTTATCACTGTCTCTTCAGGTGCTGCTATCAAAGGTTATCATGGCTGGGGTGCTTATGGCTCGTAAGTAAGAGGATATCGAGATACATTGACTTATATGCGTCATAGATCCAAGGCTGCTGTGAACTTGATCAACAGTACTTTAGCAGTAGAAGAACCCAATGTTACTTCTATCGCCATTCGTCCTGGCGTTGTTGACACAGAAATGCAAAACATGATTCGTTCTACCGGTGCTTCTGGCATGAAAGACGATCATGCCAAGTTTATTGAACTTCATCGTGATGGCAAATTAGTGAAGCCTGAAGATCCTGCTCATGTATTGGCTGCCTTAGCCAACCAACCTCCCAAACACTTATCAGGCGGTTTCTTTAGTTGGAATGATGAAGACATGAAGCCTTTTAACCGTGCTAAATAAAGATGCCTTACAAAAATGATGTTTAATTGATGTGAATTGTGCAAATAGAATGGAGAAAAGGAAAAGAGGGGGGTCTCTAAATTAGAATAATAAGGAATGGAATAATGTATTTATCGACTTTGAACCAAATCATCAATCTTCATAATCATCTTGACAGTTTCAGCAGATAATTCAAGAGCACTGGAAGTGACCAATAAAGGCTGAATGACATTTTCATCCAAGATATTTGTGATGGTACCCTTCTTGACGTTGATACCAGCTGTCTTTTCACCAAGAGCATGCTTGTTTCTTAATTCAGTCACAATAGCGATAGGATTTAAACCAGCATTTTCAGCCAACGTGGTGGGGATGATCTCAAGTGCTTCAGCAAATGCCTGGAAACAGTATTGTTCCATGCCTGTCAATGTCTTGGCATATTCCATCAATTTTTGAGAGATTTCAATTTCAGGAGCACCACCACCGGCAATCAAGAACTTCTTCTTGACCAAACAACGGACAACACAAAGAGCATCGTGAAGAGAACGATGAGATTCTTCAAGCACAAGTGAATTGGCACCACGGCAAATGACAGAGACCGTCTTACCAGCGTGCTTCATGCCTGTGACCTTGACAATACGAGCACCGGCATTTTCAGATTCTTCAATCAAATCAGCATAACCCAGCTTATCGTCTGTGAAGGACTCAATATCAGCCACAGGCTTACAACCGAGTGACTTGGCAATGAACTCAATTTCATCGCGTTCGATATCCTTGACAACCATGATCTTTAACTTGCTTAAGAAATGAAGAGCCAAGTCATTTACAGCATCACGCAAAATAGACTTTTGAATCAAGAGCACATTACAGCCTGACTTTTTGATCTTTTTACAGATGTTGAGCAAATATTGACGTTCTTCCTTGAGGATCTTGTCCATCTGTCGGTAGTCGTTTACCACAATCTGGTTTTCCATGTCAGGCTTAGGAGGAGACAATTGGAATTGGACAAGACCAATCTTGGCCTTCTCGATACGCGTGGGTCCACCAGCAGAACGAACGACAGTCTGGTTCAAGACAAGGCCGTCTATTAATTCAGTGTCATCAATGGTGCCACCGACTTTCTTTACAACACGGATATCGTTCAAGTTGACATTGTTGGCAATAGAGGGATCAATGACACGAGTGACTGCATCAACAGCAATAGGAGCCAATAAAGTAGAGTATTGAGACACAATTTTGGAGTTAAGAGAGGTAGAAGCAGCTCTCAAAAGGGACTCGCGGTCAGAAAGATCAACAGGTGTGGCCATCTCTGTTAAGAATTCAACAGATTGGGCAGCAGCACGTTGAAAAGATTCAGCAATGGTGGTAGGGTGAATACCTTTGTTCAGCATCTTTTCAGCAGCAGCCAATAAAGAGCTACATAATACAACCACTGAAGTAGTACCATCACCAGCTTCAACATCTTGTGCAGCAGATAAATCAACAAGCTAAATCCCCCCATGTACACACATCAGCCATTGTACTTGCATGGTGACATCACTTACCATTTTAGCAGCAGGGTGAAGAACAGCCATATGCTTAAGAATAGTAGCACCATCATTTGTAATCACCACTTCACCACTACCGGTTTGAATCTATGAAAAGAGGAACATGAGTCTCAACGTGTCATCTCGGTCATCCTATTGCTTATTCTTTTACCATTTTATCCATGCCTCTAGGACCTAGAGAAGTACGGATCGCATCGCCAACAGCTATAGACAAGATGATGAGTACACAACAAAAAAGACGCGAACAATTTGACGTGTTCTTTTTACCTTTAGCAGCCGTGATGTTAGACATACGGACTTCCATGGGCTTTTCTTTGTCTTGGAAATTACCATTGTTGGTCTTTGCTGCTTGAGGCTTTGCTACTTGTGCCATTGTTGAAATCAAATAAAAAGTGAAAAAAGGGGTAAAAAAAAAAGAGAGAGAGAAAAAAATTATTTCGTATCGAAAAGACTAGCAAAAAAAAAAAAAAAAAAAAAGATACACATATAGAGCTGGGTTTAACGCGCGTGGTGCGTGTGCCAATTTGGCTTGTAGTCGAGTCACATTCAAAGTCAGAATATTGAATCTCTTGTCAATGCAATCATGTTTGTTTATTGACAAGTATAGGAAGCACAGCTTGTGTCTTTCCAATGGTCAGTGTCATTGTCCTTCTTGAACTACGGTTGCCTCTTGATAAGGTCAATAGACGAGGCATTTTCCTTCTATCTATATCTGAGCTAATATTGGCTGAGGATTGCAAATGTTCAAACCAAGACACCAGTTCAGACAATTTGTCATCCATAGGTCTGATCACATACTGCTCTTTAGTGATACTGAACCAAAGTCGAAGTACATGCGATTTCTTGTATTCAACTGCTATGCCACAATAGCTCTTTAACATCGATAATTGACACATGGGATATTTGCTTGAATCTTTTCTGTATATTCGTAGCATTGTGCCTCTTAAATCAAAAAATACAGTACTATAGGGTTGTTATGGTTACTCTTTTGATGACCCTAGTTACCTCCATGATGATTGTTTGATCTGTTGATCTCTGTCTATTTCCTTTTTCCATTTGACATAGCCTTGTTTATATACAGTGCAACTATAAGAAGGTAGTGCCTCATAAGCAGGTGGAGAAATCATAAATATGTAGTAATAAGATCATTTCCTGTCTGTATTTATGCAAGCCAAACCCAATTGAGCCCGAGACATGGAAAATTTTACTTTAAAGTGTTTCTATTTCATATCTCGTGGCAATTTGACAAGGAGTTTCAAAAAGTTTTTTTAAATTTAGTTGGCCCGGGGACAAATCCTTTTTTTTTTTTTTTTTTTTTTTTGTTAGACGTGTTCACGTATTCTGCCTTTTATTTTTATTTTTTGTCATCTAAACAAGATACATTATAAACATGGCAGCCAACATTGATCCCAATTCTGCTGTATATGCTACTGATGAATATGGTAGACCCTTTATTATCGTAAGAGAAGGACAACAAAAATCAAGATTAAGTGGTATTGCTGCTATTCGCGTAAGTTAAAGAGAGTAGATGATGATGTATTGACATGGGGCTAGTCTCATATTCTTGCTGCTAAAACAGTGACAAATATTATCAAGACCTCTCTTGGCCCTAGAGGTAAGTGTATAAGGTGTTCAACACGTCCTGACTTGTTGTTAGGTCTTGATAAAATCTTGATTTCCCCTGATGGTGACATCACGGTCACTAATGATGGTGCTACTATTCTCGATCAAATGGCTGTTGAACATCAAATCGCCAAGCTTCTTGTTCAGTTATCTCAAAGTCAAGATCAAGAAATTGGTGATGGTACTACGGGTGTTGTTGGTACGTGTGTATACGGTGTATAGAGTGAAGTAGGCTTACGTTATCTAGTTCTTGCTGGTGCCTTATTGGAACAATGTGAACAGCTTTTGGATCGTGGTATTCACCCTATCCGTATTGCTGATGGTTTCGAGCGTGCATGTGCTGTTGCTGTCAAACATTTAGATGAAATCTCAGATACCATTGAATTCGATAAAGAAAATGTAGCCAATCTGAAAAAGACAGCCATGACCAGTCTTGGTAGTAAAATGTAAGTGACTCAATGACTTATGGTATCAAGGACCTAAATCCATGCTGTAGTGTCTCCAAGCACCATGAAAAATACGCTGATATTGCCGTCAATGCAGTATTGAGTGTTGCAGACTTGGAGCGTAAGGATGTTGATTTTGAATTGATCAAGGTAGATGGCAAAGTAGGTGGTTCTTTAGAAGACACTATTTTGGTCAAGGGTGTTGTTGTTGACAAAGACATGTCCCACCCTCAAATGCCTCGTCAAGTCGAAAATGCCAAAATTGCCATCTTGACCTGTGCATTTGAACCCCCTAGACCCAAGACAAAGCATAAGCTTGATATCACCTCGGTAGAAGAATACGAAAAACTAAAGGAATACGAAAAAGAAAAGTTTAGCCAAATGATTCAACAAGTCAAGGATTCTGGTGCCAATTTGGTTATCTGTCAATGGGGTTTTGATGATGAAGCCAACCACTTGCTCTTACAGAACCAATTGCCTGCTGTTCGATGGGTGGGTGGTCCCGAAATAGAATTGATTGCTATTGCTACCAATGGTCGTATTGTGCCTCGTTTTGAAGACTTGTCAGCAGAAAAGCTAGGTCAAGCTGGTGTTGTACGTGAATTGACTTTTGGTACGACCAAGGACCGTATGTTGGTCATTGAAGAATGTGCCAATAGTCGTGCTGTCACTGTCTTTGTTCGTGGTGGTAACAAGATGATTATTGATGAAGCTAAGCGTTCTCTTCATGATGCCATGTGTGCTGTTCGTAACTTGGTTCGTGATAACCGTGTTGTTTATGGCGGTGGTGCTGCTGAAATCAGTTGTTCTCTTGCTGTTGCCAAAGTGGCTGATGAAATCTCTTCCATTGAACAATATGCTATGCGTGCATTTGCTGATGCTTTAGATGCCACACCTCTTGCTCTTGCTGAAAACTCTGGTCTGTCTCCTATTGAAACTTTGGCTGAAGTCAAGGCTCAACAAGCGACTACTGGTAATTCCAAATTGGGTATTGACTGTCTCTACAAGGGTTCAAATGGTAAGTGATGGTTTATTGATCTCTACTCATCTCTTTCTTTCTAGATATGAAAGAACAACACGTCTATGATCCTTTGATCTCAAAACGTCAACAATACTTGTTGGCCACACAACTTGTCAAGATGATTTTAAAGATTGATGATGTGATCACTACTTATGAAACTCAATAAATTCATATTCTCTTTTTTTTTTTAAAAAAAAATGACAGACATAGAATTCAAATGCTCCTATAAAACCTGTTTAACAATACCATGATCAAACGCATTGTATTCCAACCTCTCCCCCTCTTCTCTCTTTCCCCCCCCCCCTTTCGTTTTTTTTTGTAGGAGAAAAAGAAAAAGACAATGCAAAAAAAAAAAAAAAAAAAAAAAAAAAAAAAAGAGGAGAAGATAATGAAATAATATAAAATAAGGAGAAACTTATGTTTACATGACATGTAGAGTAAATCAATAGGTGCCACTTAACCATAACAGATTTAAACTTTCTCAATGATGTCTAAATAAGAAATAATAAGGGATCAACCGAGAACTCTATGCTGTTACACATGTCAGGGTTTTCTTTTTTTTATTGAATGATGGCCATGCCATTTGACATGTATTCAAGGAGAAGATGTGTATTTCGGAATAAAAAAGGGAATTAGAAGCTTGTGGCAACATGTCAAACGTAGAAAGTGAATATGTTGCACATTAGGAGACAAAATAAAAAAAAAAAAAAAAAGATGTGGCTATCAAGTGAAAAGCCTTGAAAAGGAGTTTGCTTACCCATAGATGTTTGGTTGCCACATGCTGTATAATACCCTGTTAAAATAAAATAGGAGCGTCTGTTAAGATAATAGTTCTTTTTTGAATAAAACTAATAAGAAGAGTTAGAAGGAGCTCCCCTCTTTTTTATTTTTATTATTATCATGTATTGAATAAAATACCTTTGCCACTCCTTTTTCATAGTGTATTTCTCGAGAATTTATTCAAGCCATTTCTTTCTTTCTTTTCACCCATTCCATTCTTTTTTTATTATTATTATGTTTAAAACTATCTACAGACTAAGGTAATTACTGATATGTGTAGCCATGGTCTAATGTCTTGTTGTATAGAGTATTTGATCAAGAAACTGCTCAGCATCACCCAATTCATTTATGTGGTCTCAAGGACAAACAACCTACATTTAATGATCTTGTACAGAAAATTCAACGCATTACAAAGGTAATGAAAGCATCATTGATATACCAAAGACTTATCAACCTGTTAGACGACACATTTGGATGACTATGAGGTCATCTTTTCATCTCAAAATACAGAAATTTTATTAAAAGATGACCAAAGTTTCCAAAAGGTGCTTCGGTCTTTGACGTTGGATCAACAACGACTTGATATTTCTCTTAAATCAAAACATAAGCATTCCATCATCAAAGGTAATTGCCAACACGTCTATAGCAAAATGCCTTATATAAAAGCAGATTTACCTAGGCTGGTTGAAAATCCTTTAATGGAACAAGATATTCCGGTCATTAAACCGACTGTATTAAGATGGACACCGCATCATCATCATCATCATCATGAAGAGAGCGAGCCATACCGCAAAAAACAACGTACGATGATGACTAAAGATCACCCTCGAAAATTACCTGAGCCAACAGCCACAACACCTCCACATTTACCTTTGATAAGAAACAGTATGTTAATGGACTACCCCTTACATCCATTGGACATGAAGAAACCCTCTACAACCCCTTTGTCTTCGCCACCTTCACCTCGCCTATCGCTCACATTACCCACACTCTCTTCCATCACACAACCTTGTTCACTTCAGAAATTTGGTTCTCAACATTTAGCTCCCATTCGACAAAGCATGCCTACCAAACCATCCAAACGAACTCGAGCCAGTGTAGGAAGTACACATCATAACCATATCAACAGTGGTGTATTTCTCTGTGAACATGCTATAGGCAAAAATAGGATTTGCGGACAGACATTTCGCCGCTCTTATGATCTATCTCGACACCAAACAATTCATTTAGAGAATCGACCTTTTTGTTCCTGCCATCAATGTGGCAAGAAGTTCACGCGTATGGACGCATTGAGACGTCATGAAAGAGTACAGGGTCATCATTCCTCTAAGCATCGTTCCATGTCAACTTCTGCATTACCTCCTCTGGATAAAAAATAATATATATATATATAAATTTGTATACCCTCTCTTAACAGCTAATAAATCTTGCCCTCCCTTTTTTTCGTTTTTTTTTATTATTATTAAAACTGCTTAACGTCTGCCTCTTCCACGAGCACCACCACGTCCACCAGCACGCATGCCTCTTCCACGGCCACGACCAGCACCATCTATAAAGAACGATATCAACATCAAATACGCGTCATCTTTTTTTTTTTTTACCTTCATCCTTCTTCTTTCTTGATTTCGGAGAATCGTCAATCAATAATGTATCCAAAGGCAAACTGTCAGGCAGAATGACACAACGAATATTGTTGCCACGTACACTAAGTGTGTCGAGACTGACAGGATCTTTGTTCTTTACGGTCATCTTGACTGTCTTGAGATGGGTATTCATGCTCATGTCAACACCTGTAATGGTTCCATGGACCACAGTACCGTTCTTTAACTCAACAGACACTGTCTCATTATTTAACTTCATCAAGAATCTAGTCTAATAAGTCTATTGAGTTTATATCGATGAACTTACCTAACCAACTTCATTTTCGTCTAAGCTTAGGGATCTAACAAAGGAGAGAAAGAGAAAAAAAACAAGAAAGAAATTTTATTTGCCTGCAGATGACGTTCTGATTTGAAATCCAGTCATGGTCAAGAAATCATTTGCTTGTGTGTATTCAGTGAAAGAAAAAGGCATTGATGAGCATGGACACGCCTTGAAGACATTCTTGTTCTCATGTGTCTTTTTGCGTTTGAAGGGCATTTAAACACCATGTATGGGATAAAAAAAAAAGAATTATATAGGCTCATGCCATATCAAAACCTCTCTTTCTATCTATGCTCCATCAGGAAAAAAAAAAAGAAAAGAAAAAAGAAAAGAGTATTTGTTTGTAACGTTGGTTTATATGTAGAGAAATGAATTATTGATGTACAGTTTGGTAAAAAGAGATATCTAAATTTTGCTGCCAACAACAGTGTAACCTCTTGCAGGTTTTGCTGCTTTGAGTTCTTCTTTTGTAGGAATATGATCAACCACTTGAACTTGAACAAGTTCTTTTAGCTTGAGAATTAAACCTGCTGTACTGGCATTGACAGGCTTATATGAGGTTTGGTGAAGACGGAAAAGGCCTAATGTCTTGGAAGCTGCACGAACATCTTGGGGAAGACCAATGGTGGATCGCTTCAATGTAATTTTGTAGTAGTCTGCTGCTGTCTTTGTACTAGTGGAGAATAAACGGCGAGTCAACATGGCGTGTATTGTATAATGAGATGAAGTGATGCCTAGCAAAAAAGAGTTTAAAAGGCACCCTTGGACTTTTAAATTACAGTGGCTTGGACAATTTTTCATAGATAATCGAAAAATAGTATTTAGCCTACTTGCATGATTTGAACTTTGCCTGCTATATTTATGTTCAAGTCGAGCAGGAAACGATCATTATGGACTTATTCATATATCAAGCTGTCCTACTTCAATGTCACAGTATGAAGTTGCCTACTTTTATTTAGCTTGAAAAAAAAAAAAACTGCCAGGAGCTAGATTGAAAAGATGAAGAAAAGCATTGAAACTTACTCTTTATTATCCATTCTTCTTGAAGTTTCTTAATATCCATTTTGATTTCATATTATATCATTTGAGAACAAATGACATGCTTTATGAATCAGCAATCACCCTGACTCTTCCCATACGTATCAAAGGAGGCTCATAAGGGCCTTTTATGAGTCATTAGAGGCGTTATAAAATATAAACAGTGGTCATTGATGGCATTTCATAAGACTTTTGAAACAAGTTTGAGCCAATGCATCATCGAAGTTCTTTTAAACGATGAGAAATTGATACAGACCCAAACATGTATGGTTGGCGTCTTTAAACCTAAAGAAGTGCATCATTTCTGTAGTGAAGCTACTTCAAAGTGTCGCAAATAAGGTAGTTTGATGCCAAAGAATGTCCTTGTGCTTTTGGTTTACATGTTCGTGGTTAAAAATACTCTTTGGGTTTGCTTATAGTTGAATGCCATTAAGTCAAGACTAAAAACGCTCGCGCAACTTTTGGCATCCGAAAGCGAGAAAAAATCCCATCCAAAACACAAAGGCGATTACAACAGCGCAGAATCATCAAAAAGGTCAAAAAGATGCATTCAGTAAAGTTATAGAGAATAATATGGCGCATCGAAAAGTGCAAATAAACCAACACACTTGCTACAATAAGGTTGTGAAAAAGACAATAAACGTATTTCTCGTTTTCTGGCGATAGCGTACACTTTTTATATGTCTTTTGCAGAACTAATACTCGAAGTGTATTTTATAGCAGCCTATACATCATCATAACAAGAGTCTTATAAATCTCTGACAAACGACGACTTTGTGATTTCGAGTAGGATGGCCTCACTACTCCTTGATCATTTTTTCCAACTTTAGATCACTTTTATTTTTTCGTGGTAATTCCAATATCTAAGATGGTTCCAAAAATAGCTAAAGTAGTATTAAGCCCACTGAGTACGTCTTCTAAAGTAAACATAGGTAAATGAGAGAGCTTCAACCTAATGACCTGTGATTGGTCGGTAATCGCTTTGCAAGGAAGTACTTGCAGCTTTGCTTCGCAGAAATTGATACCGGTTCAAGCGATGTCGTTTAAGTCGTTGGCACCGGTCACATAAACTTCGAGGTAACGAATTGCTCCATCACTAAGAGCCATACAAGCGTGTACTTTGGGGTGTTGTTTCTTTGACACGACTATACACTGTTGATCATTATGCTGTTTTTTTTTTTTTTACATTCAGTAACATCGAAAAGGTATGCTCCGTCTGAGCGAGAGGAGCGATAAATTCTGGTTTGCAAAATACGGGTAATATCATCATCCTCTTCTGGGTGAGGAGTGATATTATTGTGGATGAGGGACACATTTTTAAGACGTGCCGCTTCAGCATACGTTTTATGCTTTGTTTTCGGTACAGAAGAAAGCATGCCAATTGAAGTTTAAACAAATGGCCACCAATTGGTTTTTAACTTCCGACTAATGATTTCAAAAAAGGTGTCCACTGTATCTCTTTTCATTATTCGCTTTCGTTATTCTAGTTTGCTAAAAACATGTCTTCTATTTCAACAAGTAATTAAAGTTTGCACTGAGGAGGAATGAATGAATTAAGCGTAATACTTTTTGCAGGTATTGGAGACTATTTGAAAAGAACCAAGAGTCGCGCTTCACTCACGCGATTTGTGGAGAATAATAAAGAGCAAACCAAATTGTTTATAAGGCAATTTGATAGTGAAACACAGGCGACAAACAATTTAGTAAACAAATATGTTGCTCAGTTCAAAATCATCTACCCGACAAGAAAGAGAGTAACAGGAAAGCAGGTGGACCTTGGTCCTATCTATGCAGAAGCAAGACTGGATAGAGGTGTTCAAATCGAGAGCTACAGAATACTGGAGACTGCAGTTTCGGTGGCTGGAAGAGATACTAGAGGCAGGATCAATGGCAACAATGGTGGTAGTGTAGAAGACACAGAAGACGCAGAAGATACGGGAGATACGGAAGAAGTGTCCGAAAAAGCAAGCAATGGTTACAATATAATCGAAGGATTTAATGTATTCCGGGAAGAAGCACGCACATTAGCAGAAAGACAAGGACTTTTTATAAATGGAAACCTACAGCAATTACTGTAAGTATATGTATTTTGTGTTCATTTCTTTTACACTAATTAAAACACAAATTCTAGGGCCTTGGATCAGATCCTTTTGCTTGTGAAGAAACAACATTCTGAAGAAATGTTGTCTTGTATTGGAAACAAGAATTTGGTGTGTTACCATAATGATTTAAAAAAGGAGTTTTTGGAATTGGAAATGAGGGTTGAAGGAAAGTTATTGGCAGAATTGGGAGATACGATGGCTGTAAGTTTTGTTATTATGCTTGATAATTTGATGCACTACTTTTAACAAATTGGATAACTTTAGATGATCGAACATTCAAGTCGAAAGGACATAAAGTGCCAGATATTTGATAGTTACAAAGTAGCAGATGACCTTGATGCCAAGATCTTAGACATTTTCTTAGCTTAGTAAGGACTGTTGAGTGTAACTCAAGTGAAATATATACTGATATCTGTTATTACTCTGTGTAGTATGGATAAACTTCCTGATGAACCCTTGTTAAATCATAAAATCAAAGAGACTGAATTGATAACAAAGTTCTTGGATCCAATATTGAATGGGATGTTAAATGATCATGATACAGATCATGATTTTATATGGTAAATATTGCTGTAATGTCTTCAATAAATATGTAAGCTTAATATAATTCTCTTTAGGACAAATACACGTAGCACTGGTACAGAGGATGAACGCCCAGATGCAGAGATGGTTATTTTAAAACAAAGAACTATTGATTATACTGTTGGGTACTGTGAGGTGAAGATCAGCGAAAATAGTAATAATACTGTCGAAGTGCATAATGATATGATGAAGTTGGCAAGGTTCGGAAAAAAGCTTTGTAATGAAGAGGATTTGGATGGTAGCTTGTTGGCAATGGTAGTTGGTAAGTTTATCACAAACATGTAAATTTCTTTCCCTGTATACTCATTTATTTTTTCTTCTCGCAACAAAGGAATGAAGCTTACGTTTTATATGATGGTGATGCGGGCAAATGTATTTTATACAATGTTTGAAATCTGTAGTATCGAAGTCCCCAAGTGTTTATCTTCCCTCCCAAGTCTCGTTGCAAAAGCACATCAAATCAAACAGGTTATTCATGCATACCATAATCATTGTGTTAAGCGTCTCCCTGAATCCCCAAAGAGAGAAAGAAGCAGATCTATGACCAAAGAAGATTACCAGCTAGTAGTAAATACCAACAAACCAAAACGAATGAAGCCCTCTTTAAGATTCAACTAAATCATACAAACTTCTTTTTAAGTATATTTAATATTTAGTTAATTGATAATAATAACTACAATAAAGAAACTGAAATAGCATCATACAATTTAAATATTAAACATTTTTCATAAAAGATTATACTCAGCCAAACAACTGAAAACCACCCAGTTTCCCGGATCAAATCCTCAGAAAGCTTTTATTAGAGATATCTGTATATTCTGAAAGCATTCTAGGATCTTCCATATAATAGCTCTAATAATAGTTTAATGATGTTGATGTCAAGTGTTTCTTTTTTTATTTAATAAATTGTACACTATTTCCCGAAACTATTGGCACACTTAATTTTAAGTTCAGTACAAATAAAAAATGTTTTGGCACAAAGTGTGCCAGTCTTAAAGAGGTTCTTTCTTGAGACAAGTTTCAAATTTTGAAGCTGAATACCTGCAAAAGCCTTTCAAATCGCTAAAGCGAATATCGTTGCAAGCATCCGATATTCTACTGGTGAGTGTCTCGTTATCTAAAAGACGCTCTCTTTTCAACTTGCTCTTGACAATTGACCAAAATTGTTCAATTGGATTGAGTTCAGGAGAGTAAGGTGGAAGATAAACACAACCATAGCCACGACTATCAATATACTTTCGGATGCCATCCGCTGTATGAATTGGAGCATTGTCCATTATAATATAATGGCCTTTGAATTCTTCGTGCTTATCCAAAATGTCAAGAGTGCAGACAATGAAATTAAAATAATGGCCAGTAATCGTACCAATCGTCTTTTGGGCCTTCGAGTTGTTTGCTTTTCTTTTCTTTGAAGGCGCTACTGGCCTTCTCACTTGAATATTAACAACGCCAAAAGGTGGAATAGCACCCAGAATCGTTGTTGTTTTAGCTCTTGTTGTTGGTTGAACAACTTCTGCACGAGTCCCTTTCTTTGACCAGGCCATCGTTCTTTTCAAGTTGATATGAAATGCTGACTCGTCAACGAAAACACAATTACTTTGGAAGTCCAGATCAGTTTCAATCCATCTCTGGACCCATTCGTAACGCTTGAGAATGCTTGAGGGTGAGTCCCTTTCTTTTGAATGAAAATGAGCTTTCTTAAATGACAAAGCGCACTTCTCAGTCATGAATCTATGGATTGAAGCCTTAGAGACTTTCAAATCTTTAAATTCATTTATCAGACTCTCCATAGCCTGATCTAAGGTTGCTGAAGGGAAATCCATAAACTCTTTTTCTAAGAATTGCTGGTGCTCTTCGTTGAAATTGCTTGGCCAACCTGTCTTAGCTTTGATTTTCTCTTTTCCATCACTCTGCTCCTTCTGATCTTTCTCAAACCAGTTGTAAGCAGTACGTCGAGCGATATTAAGCTGCGTGGCTGCTTTATCAGGTGTCAGGCCTTTTTTATAGACTAAGTAGAAGAACCTCTCCTTTGTATCGCTACTGTGCTTAACATACGGTCCTTTGCCGGAAGTTTCTGTTGACTGATTTTTCTTTGTTCCTCTCGCTTTACTGCTTCGCGCTCAGGGGGCTTTAGATCTAAGTATTGATCGAAGTTGGTGACGTTGTCCAAAGGACATTGTTCTTCATCGACCTTCATTTCAATAGACTCGTTTCCAAACTCATCAACAACATCGCCTCTTCCATTTTCATAGTATACTTGGATATTCATTTAAAAAAAATGTGCTAAATCACAAAAAAAAAGAGTGTACCAATAGTTTCGGGAAATAGTGTAATTCCAAACTACTTTGACCTCCCAGAGGAACTCAAAATAAAGCTTGATGAAGAGTATTGAAGAGATGAAGAGCTCTTGAAAAGAAACAACCCCAAAGATGAGTTGATTGAACTGGTTGATAATCTCTCCTTTTATAATTTCATTTGAGTTTTTTTTTTGTATATATTCCTTCATCCAATAAATTTCTTGCCTAGTCACAAAAAACTGTTACGTCACATTTTACTTTATTTTAATAGAGAAAAGTTGATTTTCTTTGTTGGTTGCTAACATTAAAGCTCTAAGAATTATCCTCGCCAAATCAGTAATTGTTGACCAGAAAACTAATGGCAAAGAATAGGATTATAAGTAACTATATTTCTCTTCACAACCACTTGAATATTCACTCATTCTTTTATTTGAAACGACGCCTTTTTTGGGAATGCAAAATACTTATGGTATGCATTGGAATCCATCTTAATGTGAGGTTCGCCCGTTATGATGGTACGTGTGAGTGTAATACCTACGGTCCTTTGCTGCTATGTTTTTGCTGCTATGCTTTTGTTATCAAGACTTGGTTCTGGTTCTCTCTTGGTGTGCATTGGAATCCATCTTAATGTGAGGTTCGCCCGTTATGATGGTACGTGTGAGTGTAATACCTACGGTCCTTTGCTGCTATGTTTTTGCTGCTATGCTTTTGTTATCAAGACTTGGTTCTGGTTCTCTCTTGGTGTGCATTGGAATCCATCTTAATGTGAGGTTCGCCCGTTATGATGGTACGTGTGAGTGTAATACCTACGGTCCTTTGCTGCTATGTTTTTGTTATCAAGACTTGGTTCTGGTTCTCTCTTGGTGTGCATTGGAATCCATCTTAATGTGAGGTTCGCCCGTTATGATGGTACGTGTGAGTGTAATGCCTACGGTCCTTTGCTGAAATAGCTGTATCATGGCGATTTATATATTTTGTCCGAATCTGACATTCTAACTTCAATAAAATAAGAGTCATTTAATTCTGTACACTTATACCAACGTATTGGTAGCTTATAGATGCACTCATGAAAATTTACTATTTTTTATCGCTTGGAAATTCCAAGAAGACTTCTGATCTACTTATTATTATTATACAATTTTCTACATAAATAGCAATGAAGTTTATTAAAGGTGCTTTCCTTCAAAACATAAGGACTGGTCAGTCGTGGTTAAATCAGAAAAGTGCAAGTTTTCTTGAAAATTTTAGGCATATCTATTTAAATATTATATTCGAAAAAAAATGCTTTGTTATAACAATAATTGTAGACCTCTAAGCTAATTTTGGCATCTTTTTCAAAGTTCAAATCAGAGGAGAATTTGAACAGAAAAAAAAAACTCAAGCTAGAACTCAAATGAAATTATAAAAGGAGAGATTATCAACCAGTTCAATCAACTCATCTTTGGGGTTGTTTCTTTTCAAGAGCTCTTCATCTCTTCAATACTCTTCATCAAGCTTTATTTTGAGTTCCTCTGGGAGGTCAAAGTAGTTTGGAATTATAATTTATTAAAAAATAAAAAAAAAAGAAACACTTATTGTATTTTCATTAATATTGGTTGACATTCCAAGTTGAAAGATGCGAAAGAACAGTGCTTGAAGGAACAAAAAATGCAAATGTGTTTTATACCTTAGTGACTTCTGTAAATTGTGTGGTCTGTAGTAGAAATTATAGGAATGGGTATGTAATGAGCACCAGGTTTATAATTGTCCAATTTTTAAATAAATATTGATAATGTTCAATATTCAACTTATAATGATAATGTTCAGTATAAGATTTGTAAAATTATAAAGATAATGTTCCCAATTTATAGTCAAAGAGGATAATGTTCTTTATAACACTTTAATTAATAATGTTCTCACAATAAGAATTACTATTGTAGGGTAATGTTCAATTAAAGATTTATGATTCGATTACTTGATAATGCTCCTTATAAAATAAAGATAATGTTAAAAGAGGACTTATAACTACGCTTGATAATGTTCCTTATAATATAAAGATAATTCTCCTTATAATATAAAGATAATTCTCCTTATAAAATAAAGATAATGTTCTTTGTAGATCAAAGATAATGTTCAAATATGGATTCGAAAATAAAAATAAAAGGAAAATAAGATGTTAACAAGTATGTTTCGGGAAGGAAGCCCAAAGATAAAAAATAAAATTATTAAGTCTGTTACCATCCACTGAGATAGTAAATGCTATGCTTTTATTCGTTACACAGCTTATAATGCTCACTGAATGACCTCCTTTATTTCAGAAAAATAGAGAGTATTTATAATAAAATTGTACATTTGTACTATGTGAAAAAGTAAAGAATAGGACTGTGGTGTTTTACATTAATATCATCTTTCTTTTCCATATTCAATTCTCGAATCTCAACCCCATAATATGACAACTTACTCACATATCTTCAAGATTTTTCTCGATCTGTGCGAAGAAAAGGATGATATACCATTACTCGCTGATCTTATTGAAAGGCACAGTCAGCACATAAAAGCTAACATTGGCAAAGATCAAGATGAAGAATATAGCAAGCTTGCAAGTGCCTTTTTCAAGTACGCCAATTCAAGAGGCATAGAAGCTAAGAAGGGTGATGCTAAGGCAGCCTGGAAAAAGCATATCAAGCAGCAAGCAAGCATTGCTATGACAGCAACAACAACCAACAACAGAAAAAACATGGTCTTATGCCAAGATTATGGTAAAGAAGAAGGTGTCTTTGGTCGCTGGTCTGTTGGTGATGAAGACTTGATAAAAGTTTTTCAACAAAGAAAGAAGACGTGTTGTTGAGCTGGTGAGGAACAAGAAGATGCTAAGAGAAAGTCAATACTTGCTGCTTTCCTTTATCTTGGAAGTGCCAGTTGCTGTTGAAGGATTCTGCCTTGAAGCCAAAAACTTCAAAAAAATAAGAAAAGCGCTCACTCCTGCCACAAAGAAGAAGCAATTCGAGCATGAAATTCTAGTCATGTTTATTGACTTGAAGACACAATGGGAGCTGGAGCAAGAAGAAAAAGAAGAAAAAGAAGAAAAAGAAGAAAAAGAAGAAAAAGAAGAAAAAGAAGAAAAAGAAGAAAAAGAAGAAAAAGAAGAAAAAGAAGAAGAAGAAGTGGAAGATGATGACGATGATGATAATGATGATGAAGAAGAAAAAGATGTGCAGTACTTGCAGTACCAGATGTCGCGGTATGCAAAGAAATCGAAGAAGGAAGAAGAATATGCCTTGGTACGAGTTGTTCAAGAAATGCTTGACAATTTCAAAAACTGGAGGACTGAGTGTAGAACTGACGAAGACTTCATTGACCAAGCATTGTATCCGTTTCTGAGAAACATACTCTTGCGTGACAAGAATGTCTCATCCACACGGTCCTATGGAGAAATACCATGTGGCCATCCCAATTCAGACAGCAGCAGCAGTAGTAGCAGCAGTAGTAGCAGCAGTAGCAGCAGCAGCAGTAGTAGCAGCAGTAGCAGCAGCAGCAGTAGTAGCAGCAGTAGCAGCAGTAGCAGCAGCAGCAGTAGTAGCAGCAGTAGCAGCAGCAGCAGCAGCAGCAAAGCTAAACCCGATTTTTTCGTCTTTCTGCCTATCGACGATAATTCTTTTGGGTTGCTTTGCGTGGAGGTCAAGAAGCCTGGCACCAAGTCAAGTCAAATTTGGAGTGATCGCTCTAAGCTGGCTCTAGAGTGCAAACGATCTATTGATCATCAGGTGTCTCTTGGTGTCCGTACACCTAAGTGCTTTGCGTTGTTTGTTGATGGTGAAATGTGTTCTTCTTTTGTGTGTGAGTTGACTTCACATGGAATCTACACTTTTGTGGAACTTGATGTGTTTTCACTCCCTCGCGGAAAAATGGATCTGGGCTCTTTGCCTGACACCGTCCTCTCTTTCTGTTGGCTTAAAGAGCTAATAAATGAACAAATGTCTTGTATCTACAAGAGAAGAAAGATAAATTCTTTTGCTTCTTTGACCAAGCTTGTAACGCCTACAGTTGCCCTGCCTCTGAAGAAAAGCAACCTTGAACAATAAACCTGTTTTCTTTTTTTTTTCTATTTGCTTCGTACATATAAACCCTGATAATGATTTTATCTGATTTAGCAGTATTTGGCCTTTGAAAATAATGAATGACAATCATATTCAGAGCTTATAAAAACACACTTTGAATAGGCTACTTCATAAAGAAAATAACTTGATTCACTAGCTGTATTTTAAGAAAGAAGCACAACCAAAACCTCATCTTACAAAAGTATTTATGCCAAGAACATATATATCTATATATATTGAATCAATACAAACGTATTTTATCTTTCGTTACTTCAAAATTACGAAAGCGAGGTGCTCTTTAATACGGAGCTACAGTTCAACCCTGCAATTCTCTTTCTAGTAGAATTCCAACTTAACAAAGCCATCGTGGTAATCTGAACATAATAAATGTCTTCTCTAGTACCTTTAGTAAAATCATTTAAGCTGCAATTTTTGTTTATAAAAAGGAAGCACACCTAGGTCTGTCTCACATTGAAAGCCTGTTTATTTCATAGACATGCTAGCTTTTACCCGAATTCAATTTAAACATAGCAGTTTTGAATAATACAGAAGCATAAGCACATTAATGATTTATCATGATTATATATGATAAGAAAAGAAGGAAAAATGACTTGTTTATTTTTTTTAATGATGTGTAAGTAATTTCATATATTAGGAAGAGGCAATTATTTTGAAGAAGAGGTTTGAGAAAGATTCACCAAATACAAAATAGAGCCAGAAATAGAACCAGAAGAGTAAAGCAATAGAAAGAGAGCCTTGATGAACCAGGAAACAAGTAACTAGAATGATGATTAAAAAAAAAAGGCTTTCAAGCATATATAACTTACCAAAAGACCAAAGCCATCATGCTACCCTCTAATGTGCTGATTTTCATAGCCCACGCGGCTCTGCGTAGTTCAGAGCCGAATGAACCGGCCCAAACTGGCCCTGCGTAGTTCAGGGCCGAATGGATGCCATCGCCGACAAGAAGAGGGCATTTGGAACATCACTGTACGGAAACAAGTGGTTCCCTATAAGAGAGTCAGTAAACGTGTCTTTTAGAATAATTATCTTACCTCCTTGATGGATGAGAAGAGGCTAGTAGATTTGCATACGAGGCCAAGAGAGTAGAAGAGCAAAGTAACAGAAAAAAGAAGAAGAAGAAAAGGGAGGAAAGAGGACATAATCATACTGATATCATTGTTTATATTGAGAGAATACAGTCCAAGTATTCCTTTTATTTTTTAGACCTCTACTTTTTGTTCTTTAAAGAGGTATACGTAGATAACAATTTATTTCCTTGTTGTATTCAAATATGATCAAAGAAAAGTTAATCTTCAAGAGGGCATTACGCGTTTTAAAGAGATAGACAATACGATGCGTATCACTGTTCAATTGCTAACACAAACAAAACAAACCAATAAAAAGAAAGCTTTTACTGCTTTCTAACCTAAGAAAAGCTTATATTTAATCAGTTGCTGTTTGCCATTTGATAAATAAAAAGATGGCGATAGGAAAGCATGATGAATAATTATCACTTTTATTGCTAGCGCTATTTTATCAAGGCCTTCAAATGGAAAAAAGGGGGGATTTTTTTTAGCTTATTCAATCTCAGCAGACGTGAGTGGATTTAATCCATTAATTTTATTTAAGACTGTTTTTGCCAATAACTAAAGATGAATAGACAATGCGCAAGCACAAGATCTAGTCAACCACAAGCACTGACTGTAAAACAAGAAAAAGACAACTATTACTTACATTAAAGACACCAGACAAAACCTTCTTCAGTCCAAAAAAAGAAAAGAAAAACAAGAGAAACAAACACTAAGCTTGAGGAATGCCTGGAGATCAAACCAACATTGAGCATGACAGTAAGACAAAAAGAAAAAAAACCTAAAGCTTTGGCTAATCAACACCACAATGCTTGTAGAGTATACACAAGAGAGGGCTTTTTACAGCTTCTTTGGAAACGATAAAACACGAACTAAACGAACAGCATAAACGGAGAAAAGCACCTAATCTATCTGTAAATACAACACAAAGACAACAAAAAAGAAAAGTACAAGTTAGAAGGAGAGGGGAGACACTAGTAAAAAAAAAACACAGCACAAACATATTGTGGATCTAATCAGGGTGATCAAACCTAACCAAACCCTCTTCTTGCTTCAATAAGAGCTGATCAGACCCTTAAACAGAAACAAGAAGACTCAAAGAAGGAAACGCACACCATGAAGACCTGTTGAGCCTTGAACAAACACCTTGGAAGGCCAAAGAGAACCAGAGCTAGGAAAACCAGTCTTGAAAGTCCAGTGATACTTGTACAAAAGACCTTGCAGATACCTAGAAAGCCAATGTAAGTAGAGTAAACCTTCGCCATCTAGAAACTTACGGACTAAGATAAAGCATTATCAAAGAGAGACAGTTTTGAGGTATCGGTATGTCTTGATGGATAGTCTTGAAGACGCCTAGGGAACCAGCTTGAGTAGAACAGACCTTGTGATCGTGGAACTTGCTAACCACAACCAAGCACAACCAAGCACAACCAAGCACAGCCAACCATAACCAAGCATAACCAAGCGCAACCAAGAAGAGACGATCGAGAGCCAGCAGTAAACATGGACAGATAGCCTTGCAGATACCTACAGAATACGGTGAGTAGTGCAAAGCTTGCTGTTTTGGAACTCACTGACCAAAGTAGAGCACAACGTAGAGGGAAAGTCTTGAATCAGCAGTACGCCTTGCTTGATCACCTTGTAGAAACCTAGAAAAGCCAACTTGAGTAGAACAACCTTTGTCATCTTGAAACTAACCGACCAAAAGAAGCACAGCCATACAGAGAGTGTAGGAGAGAGTCTTGAACCTACTGTTTGTCTTGATGGATGACCTTTCAGCCACCTAAGAAACCAGCTTGAGTGGAACAAACCTTGAGAACTTGAAGCTCGCTAGCCTAAAGAAACACAGCCAGTGTACCTTGATGGATACCTATGAGAAAAAAAATCGTAAGTA